ATTTACATAAAATTATTTTTAAAAAATATAATTAATCGAACTAAATTCATGTGATTGAATAAATTTAATAATTTAAAATATGATATGAATATAATAAAAAAAATACAAAAGTAATATATTTAAAATTTTTAATAATTATTATATATAAATTAAATATATATATAATTTATATATTTATATCTATATAAATTATAATACATAATTTTTATATAAAATATAATATAAATATACAAATCTCCTAGCTATATCGTCAAACAAGACATGTCAACCTCAAATTGGGCCATGGTTCATTGATTTTGTTTTTGGCATTGGAGCCCCCACTTTCTATCATTCTCAGACAAGCAAACGTGGCCCAAAAGCTCTTCATGATTCAATCTCCCCAGCAAAATTGTCAATCAGGGGTGGGACCCTGGAAAGAGAATTATGAGACCCAACTGACTTGCTAGTAGCAAGTAAATTTGGACCCCAATGCCCCAAAACAATTCCCCTTGTCTCGTTTTAAAATGAATAAATGGCTAAATATGCAAGTAAATAAAAATAAAAGAAATTCCACCATTGTTTCCTTTGTCTCATCTAATAGTGCATGAATTGAAAGGTGATAAATAAATAAATTAAATAATATTAAAAACACTATATAGTAAGCTAACAGTCACATGCTCTATTAATAAAGTATTAAATTTTTAATTTTAATGATCATATTTAATCTATGACAATCTCAAATATTAAAAAAAAAATTATATAATAACAATTAGTTTGTCATCTTAAAGTGCATGAATTAAAAAAAAAAAAAAAAAAAAGGGTGTGAATCATGTGAATCTAATGTATGGTAAAATTTAGTGAGTTATTTAAACTTTATTTTATGGATATATATATTTTTTAATCACTAGACTTCTTGATAATTAATTTACATGAAGAAATTATGAAGCTCTAATTTCAAGTATAAATGTAAGAATAAAATAAGGAAATGGGAAGGTCTCTTTTTCATATGCATTGTTTGAAATGGGATTTCAAATTGAATGGTAAAAATAAGTAAAAATTTATGAGGATCCAGTGAATGTTTGCCTATGATCATAAATTTCATTTATCATAGATATTGCACCTACCATTATTTGTTGAATTGCTTTATAAAAAATATTTACAATTATAGCTAGGGTTTAAATCTATGCAATGACCTAACCATTTAATGAACATAAAAAGCATAGAATTTTTTCTTCTTTTTGCTCAAAGCAACATCCTCGTCTATCCATATACTATAAACTAAAAAAAATAATAATAATAATTATAATGTTTCACCTTACCCATGATAAATTAAAATTATTTTGCTCCCAAATTTTGATATTATCAACATATTCTTTTTTTTACTTAGTAAAAATATATACGTGAAATATAATTTATTAATTAATTTATATTATTTAAATATTTTAATTATATTGAGATCTCGATTTATAATATTTCAAAAATTAATATGATCGATAATAATATAATACTAAAAAGTAATGATGGGAAGAATTAGTAAAGATAAATATTAATTAATATTTATAATTTATTGTTTAGGTGATAGTTTACGAAATTTTTTATGCTTAATCATTATTTACCTTTTAAATTTGATGAAAATAGTACATTAAATGAAAAAAATATTTTTTAAAATAAAATTTTAACTAATCCTAATAAGTTCCTAAAAACACCCGTGATAGAAACTCTTGCTCTAATTACAATCCTAAATATCTACATTGACTTTTAATTACTAAATTAAAAAATATTTTAACACAAAGTGAGATTATTATTATATATAATAATGCAATAGAAAATTATGAATAAAATTATTATTATAAATAAATATTAAATAACATTAAATAGTATATTAATATCAAATTATTATTATAAATAAATATTAAATAACATTAAATAGTATTTAAGAACAGTAGCTAATAAAAATAAAACTACAAAAAAAACTTACATACTTTTTTATTGATAGCTGTTGATGCATGTGATAAAGTTTAAAATCTGAATGTAAAATATTTAAATTTAAATTTTCATAATCTTTTATTAATAGGTGATTTATAAATTTAAAAAATTAAAAAAATATTGGTAAATTTTAAAATTTAAATGCAAAGTATTTAAATTTAAATTTTCATAATTTTTTATTAATAAATGATTTATAAATTTAAAAATTTTTGTATAAAAAAATTTATAAATTCTTTTATAAATTGAGATTTTATTTTAATATTAAAGATGAAATAATCTTTTTTACTATTAAATTTTATTTAAAAAATAAAATAAAATAATTAAAAGAATTAATTTAAGTAACAATAATTAAGAGCATTATTAATAAATTAATAAGATGAATTAATACGGCGGGACAGGTGGCAGCAGTGCCACCCTGTACCGCTAGCGCCGGCTCTTTGGAAAGAATCTATTTACTGAAAGAACGGGAAAAGGAATGATGGGATCGGACCATAGTCCATAGGGTAGAGGGAGAGAAGTAAAATGCTATTGCAATGACACGTTAGCCTGTTGCTAATAGTACCCACCTGGCCAAAAGCAGCTGAGCCTATCTTTAGAGCCATAACGCATTAACGTTCCTCAATGCAAATCTTTTCATCACTTTAACTCCTTATCTTTTCTCACATAAATTCAATTTTTTTTTTTGGGAGTCACTCTCTCGTGTACATTTAAGTTTCATACTTGCTTCATTTGTTCCAACACCTTTTATTTTATTTTTGTACTTCTAATTAGTTAGAATTAAATCTATCCACTAAGAATATTTTTAATTTTAAAAATATTTAGGTTAAATATGTATATTTTAATTTTTTTTTTTTAATTCAAACATTTAAAGCTTGATGAGTGTAGTTGAACTTTGAACATAACTTTTAAAAAATTAATCAAATCTAACTCAATTCAATTCATAACATATTTAATTAAATTTATTTTTTTAATACTTTTAGACATTTGAAAAATATATAGAGTGATTTTATTATGTTATAGAAAAGGTCGAAACAATAATAATAAAAGAAAATTCAATATTGACAACTATATCTAACACTATTGTTAGGTATTTAAATTGAAAAGTAATTTTACATAAGGATCAAAATAATTATTATATTAATTTTGATACCTTTCATGTTTGTGTTTGGCCATAGTTTTCATTACATATGTAAAACCTAGGATAATGTAAATAAACTACTTGATAAGCATATGAAAATGAAAGCATAAGATAGTTAACATATGATATTCTTTTAGTTTTCTTGTTGGCAATTTCTTTTATCTAATGTCAAAGAATGGTAACATATGTGCTTCTTTTCTATAGGTTTAGGGTTAGAAATGGATTAGGAAATTGGAATTCATTATAAAGTTTGAGTGTGATGTTATGTTGCCAATGGTGCAAGATTAATTTAAGAATGTAGAAGAAGATTTTGCTACTTATAATTAGCTCATCTTCTACCAATAATTAACTAACATCAGTAATATAATCAAGTTTTTTATTATTAATTATTAAATTGTCTTTTTTTTTTTTTCACTTTAAATTATTAAAAACGGATCTATGATCATTGAAATTAAAAATTTAATACTCTATTAAATATTAATCGATCAGAAAAAGATGAATTGATAAATTAATTTAAAATCCATCTATATATCAATTTTTCTTTTTCTTTTTTGTTTTTTTGCCATAAAAAATGAAGTGAGGTGGGGAAGATTGGAGAATTACTAGACCTAGATATGGAAATGTTTGATTGCTTAAATGCTTTTTTTTTGTGTCCTATTCACAAAAATAATTAAAAATCACATCATTTGGTAGTTCAGAAAATAAATAATTGAAAGGTAGTCTTTTAATGCTCCTTAGTCTTTTGGTAAGTGCTGTTAATTTTAGGGTTAATCTTGTTTGCAATATTATAGCTAGGCTGGATTGATAGCTTAATTATGTTTCTTCAATGAGGCTTAATATTTGTTTTCCTTTATTTATTTTTTTTCTCTTGCATCATTTTGCAAACATTAATCAAAACCAAAGCATGGACTGCTGTGGTTAATTTAGATTAAGATTGTCCAAAAAATCAGCTAATTAAAAACTCGTATTTTGACAAAAACACAACACTAATACCGTATTATTAATATATGATATGGATTCAAATTTTTATACTTATAATTTTTTTTTATTTTTCAATTGCAATATCATTTATATAAATATATATATATTTACATTCTCCTTAATGCAAATGACAACGCAAAAAACATAGTATGAATGTAGGATGTTTATATTAAATGAGTTAAATTCATTTCATTGGTGTACTATAACCATGTTGATATGTTTAAAAACAATACACAATTACATTAAATCCAAATCTTATTAATCATGAATTATATTCGGTCGTGTTAACAAATCATGTTTTTATGAAGATAAAATTCATAAAAAAAAAAAAGAAATGATTACTCTCTCTAATATCTTTGTAATCAAATAGTAATGAAAAAGAATTTAGATCTTAATTTAATTAATTTATATAATCATTTATAAAAGTTGATATTTAACAAATTTTAATTTTAAGCATTTATTATTATTTTTATTTTAAAAATGTGACTTTTTTTATAAAAAAATTAACAATGAAAAAATTTTGAAATCTAAATTATAAATACTTATAAAAAGTATTTATCGTATAATTTAATCAAGATGCTATTTTATGGAGAAAAGAAAAACATTTTTTAAAAACGAAAATCTATTTTTCATTATATTTATTTAACAATAAAACAAAAACAAACGCTGTGTATTCCACTCGCTGGAGAATGAAAAGGGGTAAACTTTAGGCTCCACCATAACAAGCTAAACTAAAAACAAAAAAAAAAAAGAAAAAAAAAAAACAAGAAATTGAGTAACAATAAGTAATAACGTACAAAGAAGCAGAAACAAACAAAATAGCATGAAAAAAGTGAGAAAAAAAAAAAGAAATAGAAACTAAATTAGAGGGACACGTGGCAGTTAAAATTCACTACAAGTCAAATCGCTGGCTACGCTAATCGTCCTCTGATACTGCTCTCTTAGCTCTGAGGACCCCACCCCCATCTCATCTCTCTTTCTATTTATTTTTCTCACCATTTTCCTTCCATTAGCCAACCCCAATAGCCAAGTCCCCTCCTTATTCTATCCTCCACTACCACAACCACAACAACCACCATATTTACAGAACAGAGAATGAAATATGGTGGGATTAAGTGTAGTTTTGGAGAATCAAAAGAGTGATAATAATAATATAAACAGTAAAAAAACCCCACAAGTTATTAGCAAAACAAGTATGGCAATCAACAGCAACAGCAGCAAAGTATCTTCACTTTCTTCGAGTTGTTTTTTGTTTTCTCATACTACAAATTCTCAGTTAAACTACCCAGTTACTGCTTTTCTTGAACAATGCTTTCTTTGCAAACAAAAACTCTTACCTGGAAAAGACATCTACATGTACAAGTAAGTTCTTTTGTTTTTCCATCTCTTTTTTTTAAGCCTTTTGACTGTTTCTTGGCACGACCTAGTTTTGTTTTTTGCATGAACTTTATGGGTTTCTTTTTGTTTTGAAGATTAATGTTAAGTGACTGATTTGGGTGCCTTTTTTAGGGGGGACAGGGCTTTTTGTAGCGTGGAGTGTAGGTGCAAGCAAATTTTCATGGACGAAGAAGAAACTTTAAAGAAAGAAAACTGTTCTTTGGCTGCCATGAAACCTCCTTCAACTGCTTCAGCTTCTTCTTCTTCTTCTTCTTCTTCTTCTTCAGCTTCTCGCCACCACCGCAAAACCGCAAGAAACCGAGCGGGTGGTTTTGCTTACTGAGAAGAGAAAAACCAGCAGCCAGCCAAGAACTGAAAAATGGTTTTTTTTTTTTTTTTTTTTATAATTATGGTAATTTCAACTTTATTTCCCGGTTAACCCTTGGCTAATTTTGTATTGACAATGCTATCCTCTGTCGTTTTGCATCCTGGGATGTAGCCTAAAGGGCTTTTCAACTATTTTTGCTTTACATCTCTATGGGAGAGCCTATGGTTTGGTTTGTTCCTTCTCATTCACCTTAAAAAAATAAAAAATAACGAAGATTAAGGGGAATTTTGCAATTGTTAAGGGCATTTACGGTATTTTAAAGAATCTTCACTTTGCTTAATATCATGGTGCCAACATTCTTTTGAAAAAAAAAACTAATTAGGCTCATAAGAGTTATCATTTTATTGGGACAATAAAATGGTGTTTGTTTGTTGTGTAGCAAAACGACAATGTTTTCATAAATGTTGTTTCATCTGATCTGTTGCTGCATTCTAGTTTTATTGTGGAGGGAATGATGAATATACTTTTAGACAACAATGTTTATCGTCCCCGTAAGAAGATACTAATTGCATTAAGAATCATCAATTTTTGTGTAGTTCTTCAAATTAACCCTTCCCTCCATTTATCCATTTATTTATTTTGTCTATTCCTTTCTTCTAATCTAGTAATTTATTATAGCCAAAGTCATAATTTCATGAAAATCAAATTAATTTGCTTGAGCATTGTATCAAGGGGATTCTTTATGTTTTGAGCAGACTAAGATATTTTAAAATATGATATGATAAATATAAAATTTTAATAATAATTAAATATAAATTTAATAAAATTAAAAAATATATTTTATGATTTTTTATTGATATATATTCGAATTGTGATATATAATTTTTTTATAAAATAAGATAAAAATATATAAATGGACAAGGATAATCTAAAGTATTGGCAATAATATTTTGGTTCATATTTGAGTTTTAAATTTAAGATATCTTTTATGGAGATAACCTATCATCTTATGAATTTAAACAAAGATTCAATTAAAGTTTGTCTATAAACATGAATTAAGATTAATTAAAATTTATTATAAAAATATTTTTATAATATATTATTTTCATCAAATTTAAAAATAGACAATACATTAATTATTATTTTTTTTTTACAAATATGACCATAATTTATGTGCCTATAGAAATGGCCAAAAAAAAAAGGGCCTATAGAGATTTGCCATTTTCCTATTGAAACCAAAGTTTTTTTTTTTGGGTGCCTTTGTCTGTTTGCAACAAAATAGCTAAGCTGCCTAAGAATTTGAGTTTGGTTTTTAAAGCTTTTAGAGTGTCTTCGTTTTAATTCGTGGGTGACAGGTAAATGTGTTTTAATGTCATTTAACACTTGTCAATAGGGCATATTTTGGAATTTATATTTTGGTTTTTACATAATTGAATAATTGTTGATTTTGAATTAATATGAGATATCTTTAATTTATAATTAAAAAAATTGATTCTGTCATTAAGTATTAATTTAGATGATATGTATGCTAATCAATTTTTTAAAATTATGAATTTGAAAGAATTTAAATACGTAATATTTTTTTACATGAATTAATTATTATTTCAACGATCAACTTTTCTTATAATAATATCTATGTTACTTAGTATTATTGTAATATCAACTAATTTTATTTTTTTAACTAATTACGTAAGAATTTGCAAATTAATAAAATCTGACAAGCAAATTTTCCATCTCTAAGGAAAATTACTTTGATTGATTAATAGAAAAATTCCTAATTCTCCTAACCTTCTGTCCTCGCATAAAATTCTTGTCTCGGTAATTTAAATATAGGAAAAGGGTTTTTACTAATAAAGATAGAGATTAGAGCATCAAGGCTAGGAATGGTAATTCAATTCGTTTTCGACGGGTTTTGATCCGATTTTATGAGATCGATTTTTTTTTTTTTAAATTTAGATTTCAGATCGAGTCGAGTAAGGTTAAAAAATAATCGGGATCGGATCAAGTTCGAGTTTTAGGTAAACCCGATCCTACCTGATATTATATAAAAAATTATTTTTAATTAATTTTTAATTATTTATATATTTATTTATATAATGATATTTTTAAATATTTATATTTAAAAAAATATTTTATTAATTTCAAATCGGATCGAATACGATTAATATAGTATCGAGTCGAGATCAAGTTCGAGTATGAAAAAACAAAAAAAAATTTGAGTAAGATCGGGTTCGAATTCGGGGCGAGTTTCGACCTAATGCCAACCTTAATCAAAGCGAGATTAAGAGTTTTTTTTTTTTTTAAAATTGATTTGAACAACTATAAATTTTTTAGTAAATGATACCTATTGTATAAAAAAAAAAAAAGAAAAAAGGGTAGAAGTGTTGCACACTCATTGAGAGGAAGGTTTCTTGTGTTTTGGTGCAATTTTCAGCTCTTCAATGCATTGCCTGCAATCTATAACTCATTTAATGTTTAATTATTAATTAATTTACACACTTTCTCATCTTTCTTTGCTAATCAAATAATTTTAATTACCATAAATGTGAGGAATCGCCATTGGAAGGAGTAAGGAGGATGGAGTAATGCAAATAAACAAACAAGAACAGAGTCCCAACCTGTCAGTCCAAATAAGGGGAAAAAAACAAAAGGAGAAAAATGGTATAACAATTTTGGGGTAAAATTCATTGAATTGGTGAGAAAGTTAGGTGCAAAAGGTTGAATTTCAAAGAATAAGAAAAAGTTAGGAATTAGGACCATAGTCCATAGAATCTTATACTTTTCTATGTGCCACAATCCATGGAGTTTTGGAAAAAATGGGAACCCTAGAAAGGGAACCATTAGAAAAAAAATGAAAAAGACAAGAGAGATTAATGGAGTGTCCGATGAATATTTCGTAAATATATTTAATTTGTATTTATTTATATTTGTTTATAAAATTTAACGAATAATTATAAATAATTTTTTTATAATTTATTAATTAAATAAATAAATCATGAATATAATTATATTTATTCAAGTTCGGTTCATTTACACTATTAAAAGATTATAATTTGGAATAAATATATAAGGTTTGCAACTTATTTGTATTTGTGTTCTCTAATACAGTCCACTAAATCTTCTCATGGAAAGGGTAAGGTAGATTTGTTCAAAAAACACAAAAATCATTCAATCATATATAGTGGATTAAGGGAATGTTTGATGTATAAAATTATAATAAAAAAAAATAAAATAATATTATAAATAAAATTAAATTAAATAATATAATTTTATCTTATATTTAGTGTATAAAAAAATTATAATAAAATAATTTATTTATTAGTCAAAATTATTTTTTCTTAAAATTTATATAATTTTTAAAAATATAATGGGACGTGTAGGTTTAATTTTATAAATTAAAAATAATTTTTTATTTTTTAAATATAAATTAAATATAATATAAAATAATTATCATTTTATCCTATTTATAATGTATACACCAAACATATCAAATCTTGTTCAAGCCTGTGTCCGTTTATTAGAAAATATGGGATTAGAGGTGATAAAACCAGCTCAAAATCCTATCTTGTCCAAATCTAAGACCTATTAAAGAACTCGAATGAAACCGGAAATGATTACATCTTACATAATAATAGTCGGATTTGAATTTAAAAAAAAAAAAAAAACCGAACATGAAACAGTTCAAATCCGAAATAATCTGATTTGTCCCGGGCTCGTTTACAACCTTTACCAGGGCAGTGTTGGGGGTGATGGGAATTAAACTAAATATGTGGTTTTGGTTAGTACATGATTCTGGACATAGAAGGATTCTTTTGGGTTAATTTGTGCAAAGGACTGTGCATGTAGTTAGAAGATTCTTTTGTATCCAGGGCAAAAACTGACTGGCCATTGAAGAAACAAATAGGAGAGGTGGGAAATGGAGGCTGAAAGACGAGCAATTAAATTCAGAGCCAGTGATCATGTTGGGATTTTCAGCAAGCCTTAATCCAATATAGGAAAACCCAACTGGGAAGATTGTTTTATTGTTTACACCAACCAAAAGGTTGAAGAAATTGAGACTTCCTAAAGCTGATCCTCACTGAATTGAATTAGCTCCCGTTATGTGAGTCAAACAGTGGGGAACTCTAGAAATTTTTTGACATGTTGTTTTAAGACTCTAGTTTTGTGCCCCAAAAACCCACTGCATGCAGCAGTAAAACAATCTGACCTGACTGCTATGAAGTTTTGTTTTCTCAATGGTTACTACTCACCGCCACTTGATCACATTTTCAGCAGGCGTCTACAGAAAACGAACTAGTTTCTCCATTGAAAATGAAAGGATCTTCTGTTAATACTGACATTGACATTGTCACAGGCTTACTTGTTTAACGCTGTTAGATCTGATAGTTCGTTTATCTATACCGTGTTTTTTTCATGTCAAATAAAATAAAAAATTATCGTATTATAATTCATGAAAATTATAATAGAAAGTAATTGATAAGCGAGGCTGAAGAAAAGCAAAAGACTGGAATTGAAATTCCATGGCTCCAAACCCAGTTCAGATGTAACAAGATATACAAGAATTTTAGGACGGAGGATTCACATACAAGCGTGTTTCGATTAATACATACAGTTTGCTAACCATAGCAGCACAAGTGAAAGCCTCTCAACTCACGTTCATCATGATCACCATTCTTCATCAATATAACAACAAGATTAACCAGACTTGAAGAGCAAAACTGCTTTCTGATCTAAATAGAAATAAACAAAGTGGTTTGTCTCGTGGGTAACATATGAACCTGCACAATAAAATCCAAGAAACGAATATTAATGAAACATAATTTGAACTCTAAACACAATTTTAGTTCTAATTTGTTTTGGTGTAAGCACGAGAAGATTGTATAGGTAACAAGATCAAAAAGGCAATTTCCTCTAAAACCTGAAAGGAAATTGTCATGATACAGAGAAATCCAAAAGAAAGGATTCTAATCTATGTACATAGTACAAGCATTACAACTACAAATGCACTTTATGGAAGTACACTACTGCATACTGACGATAGCAAAAACAGCCTAGGCACAGAACATTGAAAGGATTAATGGAACTAATTAACTGGGGTGCTGTAGCATGTTTACAAATATTCGTAATTTATCTAGGTTGTGTCCACCGTGGGGCAGTCTACACCAAGGATTATAAACATCTAGCATACAATCCACAAAATTTGGAATGAGAAAGGCACTATGCCCCAAGAGAATGTGATTTGGTTAAACTACCAATGCATTCCCAAGATTATAGCAGACAAAATTAGATGTGTTTAAGGAGAACTAAAACTGCCTCTTTCAAAATTATAGCACTATAATTTGTCAATCAGAGAAAATGACCATATAAAAGTGTATGATGAAGAGGGTCAATGCCAATATAGGTTGCACTCATAGCAAATAAGGATAGCTCTACTTGGAGATTTGTCAACCAGAGTACATGTGCACATAAAAGTAAATGATGAAGAGCCTGAATGCCAATATAAAATGTACTCGTACTAAATGAGTAAAGCTCTACTTGAATTAATTTCTAACATCGCATTGCTACACGCTCCATATGTATGTAATACACATTTAACTTATGTAACGTGTTTTTTTAGTAATAAGCATTTAACATGGTAGCCATATTCCATCCCGTTAATCCCATCCCACCCACCTCCCTCAAATCTGAAGTTTTAAGGTTGAGACGTCTAAGCTGAAAGTTTCAAGCTCTAACCACTTTCTTATTCAATAGACAAACATATACACATCTGATATATACAATATGTAATAGAGGTCCAACCTTAATGCTATCAACTAAATGTAAACAGAATAAGAACATGGCTGTTGGAGGTATCAAATAGGTAATTAAGCACATTGATGACCTATATTAGCCCATCTGACTAAATCCAAGCATAGCCAAAATGGCCATACTCACACCCCTATGAAACCCCCTCTATGAAATCAAGTAAGATAGATAGTGAAACATAATAATAAAATATAAATCCAGTAGAACTGTGTATGCATTAGCATTGAGAATTCGTTTAAAGTCACTAATAAAGCTGAGATCCTTGATTAAACAAAAAAGTTACAAGTCCTTCATTGAATAACCACATAAAGTTTGAGATTTAAAGATGGAGTTTTCCCTTTCATCAAAAGTAATCAATCTACTAAAAGTACTTATTGATCTTAACCCAGGAATTCCACAGCAATGAAAAAACAGTTATATTACACCCCAAAAACAGAAGGCCTAAAGTTAAGACAATCCAATCTAACATCTATAGCATTTATGATAGCTAACGTACTCATTTAAGCCTAGATCTACTCAGACTTCAACTAAAACAACAGCATCACCTAAAAGAAACTAATTCATATGAAGTAGTTTTTGAATTTTTTGATACCAAAATAAATAGACCATAAAAAAATCAAAGCTAAATGGAAAATTGGGTTACCGAAATTGCGACCAACGATGCAATGCCAAGTGGGTCCATGTCTCTTATCGAATTCCTTCTTTATGTGCTCTGCTACATCTTTCTCTACATTGTTCTTCTCAAATGCCTAATCAAAATCCCAGAAGAAACATCCACTCAAAGTCAACAAATTTACAGTGTTTACCAACAAACCAAGATCAAACGAACAAAACCCAGAAACGGAATCGAATCAAAAACCATAAAAACGACACCAAATCGAGTAAAAATGGAAGCTTGAAAGAAAGAGAAAGAGAGCTAACAGAGATGGCTATATTGACAGCTTCTTTTTGCATGTCGTCTTTCATGTCGGCGCTTTTGATGATGACTTTCTTGGCTGGCGAAGTAGCCGACTCCGCTGCAAGAGCCGGAGAAGGCTTCCGTTCGTTGGTTGACGGTTTCACCGTCAGAGCTCCGGTGATGCTTCTCTTTGCTTCTTCACTGCTCATTTTTTGAATTTTTTTTCTCTTAAATTTCCAGGGCCAAAAAAAATGAAAAAACAACAAAGAAGAGAGAAACAACAGAAAAGAAATAAGACTCACTTTCTCTCTCTTTCTGTTTGCAATGGTGAGTGGTCATTGTTTGTAATTGTACTGTTATAGTTGAATTTTTTTTATTTAAATGGTTTTCAATATTTTTTTGTCTGAAATGGGTTTTTTTGGGAATAGGAGAAGATGATTTTGTCAGGTGAAATTTTGGTAAATGAATAGGACTAATGTTGTCTGTTCTATGGTATTCGAGCAGTCTACCCTAAATTCTGATTGTCTTTAATTACTTGTTTTTTATTGGGTGAATTGTCTTTAATTGCCTTTTATTAATTCGGATAGACTTATCAATCCAATTCAAATTCATTGAGTTTTAACTTAACTCGATTTTATAATTTTTTTTTAAAAATTAAATTTTAGATTTTGAATTTATGATAAAAAAAGTCAAAATCAAGTTTTAAATAAACCTATTCGATTGGTATATGTATAAAATATATTTTTATTATTTATTTAATTTTATATATTTATATATATTTAATTTATATTTATATTTTTAAAAAATATTATTTTATTAATTTTGAATTAAATCAAATTAATTATAATTTTATATACATACGGATCAAATAGATATAAAAATAATAATTTAATATCAAGATTAAATTTAAATATTAAATACATAAAATCATATCATATTTAAACAAAGCAAAAATCAATTCAATCAAACTCGTTATTATTTCTAATTCGACATTAAAAATAAAATTTTAATTTAATAAAAATGGTACATTAAATATAAAATTTTTTTTAAAATAAAAAATTTATGAATTTAAAGCTTAGCCTTAATTAAGAAGTCTATCATCCTCCACTAAAGATGTGTTTTATGAATAAACTTTCAATTATAAAATACACTCTTGGGTGCAGGAAAACCTCCAATTGGACTCCAAGTGGAGGCTTTGTTCAGGTGTTAGGTTTTTATGTAAACTCGATCAATGATTTGTTGTCCATTTACTACCAAAAACGTAGCGCAAATATAAAAATGGGCAACAACCAACATAATGAAAGTCCATGTCAAAGTTGAAAACCAAATACATTGGGCTAATCTGAAGGCCAGTTTTTAGTTTTTACTGATCTTTCTCTCATTTTCTGTACATGCTTCACCTCCAGCACCTTTCACAAATGAAACTACTGTCTCACCTTTTTTATGGATTAATTACAAAATATTCATCACTTTCCAGGATAGAACAAGCCAGCTAACTACATCTATGATCTATTCCTGTTCTTCATCATCAGAATCATGCACTATCATACTCCTTTTCACCCTCTTGACAGTTGGAACAGAAGCTCTATCTTCATTTCCACATTCAGACTCCTCTTCAGATTGAGGTGAGAACACTTTGTCAGATCCATTTTCTTCATGTTCTTCAGAATCACTGCATGATGCATTTCCATCTGCACGAGGGTTGTTAGGGTTAGCATCATTGTTGTTGGGAGGATCTTCGTCTCTGGTAACAGTTGTTGGGTCCAAGATTTTGAAGTCTCGTGAAGTGCTACGCTTGGCATACTTCAATAAGTTAACCTTGGTTGCTTTGCTCAGTCGAATGAGATATTTTTCGTAATCTTCTATCTGGAATATCAGGTCTGGGATGCATTTATTCTCCCTTTTGATCTTGTTAATCATCCCCTTGCTGTTAGCATTTTCTTGTTGAGCCTGGAAATCATCAAAATGCAACTGGTCAAGGAAACAACTGAAATTAAACTTCATGAAGGGATAAAAGCCAAGAATTATTAGGTCCATACTTGTTGCATCTCTGCCACAAAGTTATAGAGTGGAATGGTTAGCTGCTTGCAAGTTAGTTCTACCAGCTTCTGGAATTGAAGGGTTGGTAAAAGCTGCTTGTGACCTTTAGGAGCAATCCTGAGCTTTGATATCTGAGCTAAATGCTTGTAAAACCTTGCAGTCAATCTAAGAAAATGCTCTGCTTGAGTATCTGTAGCACACAATGTCGTAAATTCAGTCAAAATAAGAGAAAGATTCAGATTCAGATTTTTTCTTTGTTTTTTAAAGGAAAAGTTGAGACTCAGATGTTAATGCGAAGTGCACACTTACCCTTGAGGCTCATTAAAGCGAATGAAGATAGTACTTCAACAACTGCTTTGACCCTCGAGTAAAGATTTTCCCCGAATGCCAACCCGGAATTATGGTCTCCATTCTGGTTAAGATGAGAACTTTTTTGAGCAATTTGTGAAGCTGTCTTTAATCTTTTAGTTGCCCAATCCATGTCCGCAATGACAGTGTCAGTTATTTGTAGTAGACAAGAAGCTATAGCGGTGGTTGTTGACTGGTTTATGATAAGGTATTGAGACGCTTGCAATGATTCGACACTGTTTGATCCCATAAATTTTAATAGCTCCTTTAACATGTCTTGAGCTACAAGTAAATCTGTTGGTGGTGAGCTCAAACTGATGGCAAGTCTAACCATGCTTTTCACTATGCTGGAGTTTGTTATGTCGCTGGTTTTGCAAATTTGAATAGCCCAAGCTCCATGAGAGTTCCTCCACTTGCAGGGCAATTTGTGCCCTATCATCAACATGATATCACAAAGAATCTGAAAACAAAGAATTACACTCATTGTTTTTGTTTCTAAACGTATCTGTAACCAAAGGAAATAATCATACATACCTCAACAGTCCGAAAAGCTGATAGTTTAATTAGCTCAGTGAACAGCGGCCTCAAAATTTTCAGAATGAATAACTGTTTGTTTCTTATATCTTGATCATCAATTTTAGAGGCTAGATCACATTCATCTTGCATACCATCATACTCAAGTTGGGGAACTGACAACAGATTTTCAAGCAAGCCAGTCAAACGAGAACTGCTCAAACTGATTGTTATGATTTCCTCCAAGCAAACTAATGCTAGATGGAGATGATCCTTTCTTTCCTCAGCATCTTTTTTTGCCTTGCTTTCTTTTTTCTTCTGACTAGTTGCAACACTTGACCCTGATTTGAGCAAAAGAGTTAATCTCAGCAATTGGGGCCCCAGCATATTGATTTCCCCATAGATCAACTTCTTCAAGGGATCTTCATTTCCCAGAACGGCTGAAGATTTTATATGATGAAGGGTAACATTCAAAGCAAAAGAAACAATCTTAAAACAACTTTTTGATGCCTTGCTCAAGGATGACTGGGTATGATTCTGTGAAGTTGCTTCAATGTCAGAGCTATCACTACTGTAAAGCTTCAAAGCTATTTGCAATAATTGATAGATGCTTGAAGTTGCCAAGAAAGGAATATGCTCTCGAATCAATTTGATGTTGCCCGAGTCAATTTTATCTGGTGTATCATAAGCAGTAACCCGTAAATTCAGTCTTTTGGTGACATTGCTTTGTCTTGAAGTACATGCGTCCTTTGCCAATGAATCATGAAGGTCAACAAACTGTATAAGCTCCTTTTCAAGTTCGACCTTCTTTTGATCCAATGCTTTCTCCAAATCCATAGCAATGATGTTCAATACCACCTCAACAACTCCTGACAAAATCAATGCACAACTTTTCCTTTTCTCTTCATAAACAGCTGCAGAGCTTGCATCTTGAGTTTGACCAAGAATTTCTGTTTCAATATGCAGACAACAGAAACTAGTAACAGGCAGAAAACCTAATTCAAAAAATCTGGTAGAGATTAAAGTATATTATATCCTAGAAATTAAACTAATGTATGTTCAGAAATCTTCTTTTACAGATCGTTTGTTTTTTTAATAATCAAGTAGAATGATACAGTATAAAATGTGGAAAATCCCCAAACCTTCCAAATTTGCATTTCTTAGAAACTTCCGAATCTTCAATAAAGCACCAGAAAACACCTCACTAGACAAGTTCCTACCATCCTGCAATAGTTTCAGATTTGTGATGTGAGTGAGACTCCATATGTTACCAATATGATTTTTAGATAAAAAAAAATTCATGTCATTTTTAACACCATGGATTAGATTTTTTTTTTTTATTACTCAATGAGGACAATACCTCATTCTCTTGTGAAAGGGAGAAACCAAAACAGGCCCCAACAGAATCTGAGAGTTGGTCAGTTTTGCCGTGTGGCTGAAGAAGTAAAATCCAAGAGACACAAGAAAGAAGGCAATCCAGGGGCTCCTGAATAACTACTTTTCCACTTTCCGACTTAATGCAAGAGCTGACTCCAAGTTGGACATCTGGACCTTGCTGACATAGTAATTCATATGTCAAATTAATAACTGCAGAGTTTAATAAATTACATAACTACACACCCCAAATCTCTAATATGCGGGCTGTACATGAATAACACTACAAGTTCTCCTTTCAAAAAACAAATTGCATGGTAAAATCAAATGTTAGAAAATGAAAGCTTAGTGTGCAAAATTCAGCATTACTACAAGCTTTAAACAATGCTATTCTGAAGCTTCAATTACTACCTCTTTGAAAAACTGGAGAAAATGAGGTAAGAGAAAATCAAAGACAAGCCCTCCAATTGATGGATCCACTAGAATAAGCTTCACCAGTCCTTGATACATGACTTCCTTTACCTTTGCCTAAATGCGGCAATTTCACACCAATTAGAAACATAGTTCAAAAGGAACAAAATAAGGGCAAAAAAATAGTAAAGCACTAAAATGAAAAACAAAGACACCTGCTGATAAAGACATCTCTGCAGCAAAGCACTCAACTCCTGAAAAAGACTTCCCCCCATGCTACAGGGTATGTCAGCTTGCTGACTGCAGCTGGCTTGACTTGATGAGTCTTGTAAAGAAAACAAGCCATCCTCCTTAGGCAGCTTCTCTGCTAGTATAAGACCAATAACGGAATTTGTTGCTGCAAGACGAATTGTATCTTCTCTTCTAAACATAGCCTTGCGCACAACCAAGATAGTGTAATCCTGAAATATCAAAACAAGCAATTAAATTAGAAGAAATCTACAAATGAGGCAAATCGTTCACCTACACATCCAAAATTGATTTTCATGGTCACAGACCACTGATCAGAATCTGAAACACAAATACTAATAGATTTATGTGATGTCAGTCAGATTTCTCTATTCTGAAAGCATTTTTGTTTCTTCCATCCACTTCTAGTGATTCTCCCTACATACCAAAAAAAAAATCAGCTCCCTACCACACCTGAGGCTAATTTGCATTTTTAAGTAGCTTTACCTGAAGATCACGACTGAATCTGATGAGAGGCAATAGAGCACTAATAAGATAAGAGGCTACTTTTCCATCCATGAAAGTGAAATAATCCAACAATTCCTTCAGACGGGGAATATGTTCCAACATAGGGTAAGGATAACGCTTAATTAGATGACAGAGCAGCCTGCACATCAAAACTAGTGCTATTAGTAACCAAAAATTAAATAAGAACAAACATTCAATCTGTATCCGTTACCTTATTATCGGCTGACTCAGCTCTGGCTTCAAAGAGAGAATGCGAAACTTGATTTGGTCAATAATCTGTGACAAACCCATCAAATCAATTACTGATAAAGGAAGGAAAAAAAAAAAAAACAGTATCAAAAAATAATTTCCAGGGGAGAAGGAAATCATAGTTCCTAATAATTATTACTAAAAATGAAGACATGTTCCAAAACCAAAAGCATTCAAGGAAAACGCTAATAGATATTTGAAAGTTGTCAAACATTCCTCATTTCCTGAAGGCAACTGCATGATGCATAAGCTTCATAAGAGAAAGGGAGAGAGCATTAAAAGGGAAGAGAACAAACAAGATAGATATTATCACCATGGAACATAACATTCGTAACCAAAATTTTCCATTAAACTGTAGCGTCATTGTTGAAGTCCTGTTTTTCTTCTCTTTCTATTTTTGTTGGTGGATGTTGGTAGCTTTATAAGAAAATTGCTGAGTGTAATTGTTATTACAGAGTTAGACAAACCTCGTTTCTTGCCATATCATGAACCTCAAATAGAGTTTTCAGCATCTGAATACCAAGCTCTTCAATGCCCAGAAGACCATTAGAACTGCAGAGCTCTTTGCAGTTTACCTCACCAACTGACTCTAGCAAGATAAAACCAAATTGCACAATGCTAGGCACCATATGCTCCTTCCCATAGTTGCTCTCATTTACCTAAATGCCAGCAAAATGACACATAATGCAAATTTAAATATCTGATTACGTGTTGGGATCATAACTCATACACACAGGGCAAAAGAAGGGAATTACAGCTCTGAACACAGAATTCTCGACCACTTTAACACTCTTCAGATATTCTTCCTTCATATCATCTGGCATCCACTTACAGTCTCTAGATGAAGGAAGAAAACACATACACATTAACATAACTATTATTACAACTTGAAGATGAACTAAGATAAAGATTCTTTAAAAGGAACGGTCCCTTACTTGGTAAATTTATAGTCGCGGTAAGCTGTAAGCAGTGCTGTTTTCAAAATAGTGATTGAGCTTTCACTGAACCTCCGAACCCTTGACACCGACAATAAAACAGCCACCGTGAAATGATTAAACGCCGTAAGATCAGATTTGACTAACCCCATAACCTCTTTCCCCAAAGAAGGATCCTGCTTCACTGCAAAATTCACATGCAACAACACAGTCCCCTCAACTTGCCTAACTGTGGAAGTCATTTTGGAACCCAATTCAGACCCGAAAAACCACACAATCCCTTCAAGAACCTCTCTTTTATTGAACCCTTTCGAAGCCAAAACTAACAACTGATAAACAAGTGAAGGCAAGTCCATCAAATCCACATTTTTAATCCCAACGAAAACTTTCTCTAAAAATTCCTTGCCTCTCATCTTATCGAGAAAGCTAAAATCTTTTGCAATCGAAACCATTTTAAGCAAAAACCCTTTTGACCATTTGGAATCAAGAATCTTGTCCACAACAGAATTCACATAATCCCCACCTTTTTTCTCCGCGTTTCGAATCAGCTCGAAACATTGGGGCAAAAGATCAAACAGTTGTGCATCATCCATTGTAACAACACAGGACAAATTTGATACTACCAAATCAATAACCGACTTGAGGTCGTCAAAAGGGATGTGGGTTAAAAGGGTGTTGAAGAAATTGATTGTTTTGAGGGAATACGAGTCGTGGGTAAGTGAAGGGTAGATTTGGGCGTAGGATGAGAGAAGAGAGGAGAGAAGAGAAGAGACAGAAGGGGTTTCGAGAGAGAGGGAAATGAGGGAGAGGAGAGAGATGACGTATTCGGAAACAGCGGTGGAGGGAGAAGGAGAGTTGGTGGCGCGTAAGTGGAGGTAAGAGAGGAGTGCCGCGTGAGAGTGAGAAGAGAGGAGAAATGGAGGCGGAGAAGCGTTGGTTTGTAGGTGGTTGCCGGTTGGTAGCTTTTGTTGCGCTAAACGCACGATATCGACGTCGTTTAACGGCGGCGGCGATTCTATGGTGGCCATGGCCTTGGTTGCGTTCCGAGAAAGTCTCTCAGTGTTTGTTGACACCCGTTTTTTTCGGAGTGAGGGGTTTAAGCTTTGCATTTTGCGCGGGAAAAAGGGTGTTTTCAGATTTATTTTAAATTTAGATTATTTCATATTTACATAGCCAATCCAAAATAAGATACGACGACGCTATGAAAATAAGATAAGGCGTAAGGTAATATCATTTAAAATTTTAATAATAATAATATATATTTTATATTTTATATTATATATAATTTTTATATAAAATAAAATTTTAATATTTTACATGATAATATCGTCCAAGTCTTAAAATAAAATTAATTAAAATTATGATATTTCAATTTCAAATTAAACGAATTTGTAGAGTTCAATTTAACTTTTACAAATTTAATATTCCCTTTCCTACAATTTGTTATCTGGAGATTTAATATTCATCATTTGTTTATAATCCTTGTAACAGGCAGTAAATGGGAAGGTTTCTTTGAAGCAACAAATGTTTGCTGATCTTGAGAAATACTGCCCACCATATTGCATACTTGCAAGTAACACTTCCACAATCGATTTGAACTTGATTGGTTAGAGGATCAAATCCCAGGATCTGATTGTTACTGTTTTTCTTCTTCCATCTGCTGTTCTCACTCAGATGGTTCATCTGCTAACATATCTGATGCAATCAGGCTCATGTCATGCCACTATTGGAAATTCTTCGCGCCAACCAGACATCTTCCCAAATAATTGTTGACTTGCTTGAATCGGTTGTAGGAAATTGAACAGGTTTTGTTGCCAATAGGATGTTGTTCTTCCCATATACACAAGCAGGCCTTTTCCTAGTTGAACGGGGAACAGATGTTTATCAGATTGACTGAGTAATTACCAAGTTTGGAATGCCAATGAACCCATTCAGGCACAAGTTAGGCTGCTTTCCACCGTTTATCTGGGTTCAATTGTGTGATTAATATTGAAACCTGTAATTTCTTCTCTTCTGATGATTGAACTGCTCCATTGCAGAGTGCACCGGTTGAGCAGGGAAAATCTAGATTATAAGACTGCTTCGATTACTTCACTGCTTACTGTTCAATAGGGATAAAATCATTTAATTTTATAATTTATTAGAATTTTTAATATAATATTTAAATATTTAAATATTTTGTTGAGTAATTTTATTTAGTTTATTTAAAATATGAAAAATTAAAAGTGTAAAATATAATTTAATTTAAATATATTTATTATTTAATTAATAAAAAATTAATCAGATCATTTGAATTAAATTTAATTAAATAATTTTTAAAATTTCGATTTGATTAATAAAAATAAAATAATTTAATTTAATTATTTAATTTTAAATAATATAATTTAAAATTAATCGAATCCTTCAAACGAACATCTCTAATTAATGATGTAATCTGCCAGCTTAAGGTATTGGTAATTGGTTGTTTTCAGGGTTCATTATCGCCGGGGCTCTGCTTTGGCAAAATGAATAAAGACAAGATGTGAGCCATATGTGACTGTGATCATGCAATTATTGGGTCAGATCTGCTACTTTCCTTACTGTCCACATGAAGTTGTGTGGCTTGTACTTCACGATAAAGGACCCTAGGCTCTAGTAGGGAAATATGACAAGACCTCGTAAAGCCTAAACTAAGAGTCCGTCATTTGCACGGTGAGAATTGCTTTATCCGGTGTTGGGTGCAGATCTGTCAGTTCTCGGGGTGACCCGATGCGTCCGGCTTGACTTTGCTAGAATTTTAGATAAGGTTTCTATTTAATTGCGATATAAATTAAATATCAGTAAAAATTATTAATATTTAATTTAAATTTTAAAATATATTTCAAAACATAAAAATAGTATTTTTATTATTTTTAAATATTTTAATAAAATTTTCAAGCCTTGATGCTTGATAAGTAGAAATTTTTTATAAAAATATTATTTAATCAAAAGATCAATCAAGCTAAAGTAATTAGCATCGTAGAATGGTCGTTTTGATGCTGATAAAAACACTATAAAACATATAGTAAAAAGTATTTTTCAATTGCCTAATTTAATAAACATATATTGTTTATGGATGAAATTATGAAAAAAATAAAAATCTTATACTGACTTAAGTAATAAACATACATTGCTTCTACCTTTTATTTTTTTATTTTTTTATAATTAAAGTTATTAAAATTTAAATTATAATTATTTAAATTAAGAGTTTAATATTTTATTAATAAATAATATAACTATTGTATATCCCTTCTTACCCAACAAACATACGAAGTTTGAATGTTTCAGTTTTTACATACAATTGAATAAATATTCATATATATTAAAAATAAATCAGAAAATAGGATAGATAAAAAAGAACATGAAATTATAGATTTGAAAAAAATTAACCATGAAAAAAGCTACTTAGTCATAGCTAGGGATGACAATGAATCTCGTCATGATGGACTTGATTTGACTCAAATTTTTTTTTTAATTTTTATATTTGAATTTAATTTTTAAATATAAATATATAATTATATATAAATAAAAATTTTAAAAATAATTTTTAATATAATATCAGGTCGAATCGAACTTACATAAAACTCGAACTCAATCAAAACTCGTCTTTCTCTTAATAATATTTGATCCGACTCAAAACCTGAATTTAAAAAAAAAAAATCAACTTTATATAATCGATCAGGTCGAAACTCGTCAGATTCGGATTTGATTGCCAACCCTAGGCATAGCTAAGGTTGAGCTTGAAATAAATTTGGAGTCATAAGTCCCACCAAAGAGATAACAAATAGTTTTGGCAACCTAAAATTGGATACAAATCTATATATACCTTAAAGATGCCATATTAAGCTTATGCTAAAATCTAAAATATAGTGTAATTCAAAATTTAGCCAACAATGGATCTAACTGGTGTTGTGAGATGTTAATGGACATATAAAGAAAATTAAAAAACAAAAAAAAAAAGATTTTTCTTTTGAACATCCTCAAAATTTTTTTCTATGCATCCTAAAAATTTAGAGCATAAAAAAATTTAAATGAAAATATTTCCCAAACACACTCAAAAATATTTTTCTAACATTATTTTTATTGATAAAATTAATAAATTCATCGATAATATTATATATATATATTATAAATGACACCATTAAAATAAAATTTTAAATATGTCATTAAATTTAACTCAACCAGTTAATGTAATTATTTTTAAAAATTAAAATCTAATAATTTTGAATTTTTAATAATTATAATTTTTTTATCTCATTTTACCATCTTTTTATAAAAGAATCCTCTAACATTGTTTGAATCGAGATTCCAATATAGATTTTTGTTGAGGAGAGAATGTTCCAACCCACAAAAGAAATAGCTCCAAAATCTTAAAAAAAAAAATTAAAAAAGAAAAGGACGGGTTGGGGGGGGGGGGAGAATATATTATAATTAGCAAAGCTGTAGGACCTCTCTCTTGATTAACATGCAAGAGAATGGTAGCTTTATTTGCAAGTGGGTGAGCATGTGATTCTCGTTCCGACATATTAAACTAAACAATGACATTTCAGAGTAACCTCGACATAAAATTTGCCTTTCGGGGTTTGAAAATGTAGTTTTAATTGGAGATACCTTTTCAATTATTTTAAAATTTATTTGAATAGACGATAAAATCAATATGATGATATTAAAAATGATAATAGATATATAATTATATATTATAATTGTTAAATTAAAATTAATAATAAAATATATATTTAGATAAAAAAAATAATGACAATAAAATGAATTTTAATTAAAAATAATAATTATTAAATATATTAAATTAAAATTTATATATAATTAAAATTTAATTATTTAATATTTAAAAATTAATAACATATTAAATAATAATTAAAATTTATTTATTATTTAATAAAATAGTTTATTTATTATTGCATAATTTTGATAAATATTTTATTTAATAAATATATGTATATAGATTTTGATTAAAAAAACCATATATTTTGTAATTAATGTATCAACGTGATTATAATTTAACGGTTTTCATATTTTATATTTATTTCATATAAAATAAATACGATATAAATATATAAATCATTAATATTAATATTAAATTATCATTTACATTATTTAATATAAAATTATTACTGTAAAACGATAACCTACCCTTAAAAAATACCAAACTCTTATTTTTATTCAAAAAGCAAGATTCAAAAAAAAATTTTCAAATTAAAATCAAAATGAAAATTTTTTGCTATATATAATATTATGTATCTACCACAAAGTTTAATTGGATCACATTATGCTTTTTCTTTCTTTAAGATTTGTGGTCATTGTTTAGTTTAGTGTAATGATGATATGATGTTTTTTTTTTCCTACAAAATAAATGCTAATTAAATTTGGTTGTTAAGATATTGCTGCAACTTGCAAGAAAAAATCAGTCTCTATGGCCCCATTAAAACGAAAATTAAGCATGTGATGAATAAATTTGTACTTACTGTTAACTTATAAGCTTGCAAGGAGCAATTTTAAAATATTATTATTTTATAATAATCTTTAAAAAAAAAAAAAACAAAACCCTACAATAAAAAATAAAAATCGAAGTCGAACCCTAATTTTGATATTTTCTTAAGATTATTTTAACCCTAAATCACAAAACTGAATACTATTATATTAACTCAAAGCTATTAATCTTTTGAAGCATTTTAAATGGATTATTATTTTATAAATGAAATTAAAATATTATTTCATGTGGCAGGGGTATCTCGTTCAGAAGATTTTTGTGCCTTTCTCTGTTGTGTTGTGTTCTTTTCCCACTCTACTGAATAAATTATTTTGCTTTTCAAACAAAAAAAATTAAAATATAATATTTCGTGTCTTGATATTTATTATATATATATATATATATATTTTTTTTTTTTTGCAAAACTTATTAACCGTTAAATATATCTTAATGAGATATCTAACAACCTTCTAACCCGTCCATAAAATTAAAAACTTCACTCATAATGTTTCGAAATATAAGTTTAAATTTTATTTGTATAATTTAAAACAAAAATATATGAATTTAATATATGTATTTAAAACGTGTCACTTAGTGACAGCTCGATTGATAAGTGTCTAATGCTTTAGATAAAATTTAAATGTGATTTTTGTTATTAATAATAATTTTTTATTAATTGATGATCTATAAATTTTTTCTCAAAATAAATATACAATTGATAATAATTCGGATCGAATTGAATTTTATTTAATTTTTTTAAATAATATATAATATTATCAATTTTTTTTAAATTAGTCCAATTTGAATATAAATTTGTTTCGGTTCATCAATTTTTAAATTTTAAAATTTATATTTTTATATATTATTTTAATAAAATTATTAATATATTTAAATATATTTATATAAAATACTTATTTTTATTTTATAAAATATAAAAACTAATAAAAAATATAATTTAGTTCAATTTTTTTAAAAAAATTTTTTACATCCCAATTCAAAATCAAATCTACACTTAATATATATTTAATATATGCACTTAATTTAAATTAAATAAAAAATTATTCAAATAAAAACTAATACTATAATTTTAAATTAATTTTTTATTTTTTATTTTACCCTACATAGAGCATGCCCGTTAAGACTGTCATATTTATATTTTTCATAATAATTCATAAACGATTTAATTCAATTCATATTAATTTATATATATTACCACTTTACATATATTTTTTAATATTTAAATTTATCTAAATTTAAAACTTAATAATTAAAAAAAATTATTAATTTATTAATAAATCACGCAAATGTCGGCATCCATTACAGAACCCGTTTGCATATATCAACAACCTTTTTTAAAAATGAAATAGAGATCGTGGGGGCCAGCCAATATGTAGCAAACTAATCAAAATAAAGTACGGTCTAACAGAGAGAAACGTTCTTACTATGCCGTAGGCGAGCCTTTTCAACTAGGTATCTAGTCAGCTACTACGAGCAAAAAATCTCGAGTAATTCCTTCTCAAGCTAGTTTCCCCATTTTTGATCTTCCCCCTTTACTCCCAAACATTCAATCTTGATCTCCTCTTTCTTTTGCCCATCATTTTCAGTAATATATGGCAGCCTTGAGTTTCTTTGTGGGTGTTATAGGTAAAGGCTGAAACATCAGCTGTTTCCCTTCTCTTGTATAGTTTTAATCATGGAAGTTACATGTGTTTTTTCTTGTGCAGGCAATGTTATCTCAGTTCTGGTTTTTCTTTCTCCAATGTAAGATTAAATGGTTCATTTTTTTTTCATGTTTATTTCTTACTTTCTTTTTTTTTTGTTGTGATATTGAGAAGATTTTGGTTTGCAGTGGAACGTTTTGGAGAATAATAAAACATGGATCAACTGAGGATTTTGAGAGTCTTCCTTACATTTGTACATTGTTAAATTCAAGCCTGTGGACTTACTATGGAATCACCAAGCCTGGAGAGCTTCTTGTTGCCACTGTTAATGGCTTTGGTATCTTGGTTGAAGCTGTATATGTTGTTTTGTTCCTCATGTATGCACCAAAAAATATGAGGGTAATTAAAATTACTTTGGATTTATCTAATTTTGGATAAATCTCATTTTCATCAAGTTGGGTTTTTTTTTTTTTTTAAGTTAATTAATTAATTAATTCCAGGTGAAGACTGGCATTCTGGTAGGGATATTGGATGTGGGTTTTCTTGCAGCAGCCATTTTAGTTACTCGGTTAGCATTGCAAGGAGAAACTCGAATTGATGCAATAGGATTCATGTGCGCTGGCCTTAACATCATCATGTATGGCTCTCCCTTAGTTGCCATGGTAAGAACTAAGAAACCCTTCATCTGATCTTTATGCTTTAACTGCTTCATTAATCACAGATTTCTTTTAGGTTTGTTGAATTAATTATCAACTGAAACAATATTAATTATTTACATTTTTTGCTCCTTCCAATGTTATTATGAGTTGTTTTTTAAGTACAAAACCGTCGGAATTGAATTCTGATTACTGATAATGTAAATTTATGTTAGTTGAGCGACTTAAAAGAAGTTTGAAAAAAATTCTTTTGATATTATTCAAGTTTTTTCTTTGCTATCATCTTCTGGTCTGTCTCCTAGTTTTGATACGAAATTTCCAAAATAGGAAACATTAACCCTTTTAGCTTTTAGTTTCTTCCTTCAGCCACTTTATTTCTTTCAAGATATTTAGGGCATTGGGGCCATTTCTATGGCATGAGTGGTTTGCAATTATGCTTTCTCTATCTCTCTCTCTCTCTCTCTCTATATATATATATATATTTTTAAAGATGAAATAAACTGATAAATAAATATTTATATTGAATGTGTGGCTGCCGCTTGCAACTGCTGCTCAGACTTCAGGGTCGTGGGAAGCTGCATGGGGGCCCTTTGCTTGGTTAGAATAATGGTTGATAAGATTTCAAAAAGTCAGCTATTCCACAAAGAAAAAAATCTGTTTAAGGAAAAAAAATGCAGTGGTGTGTAGGATGTTCATTCGATGGATTTTATTAATTTTAAATTAAATTATTCAAAGTTAGATTAATTGAATTATTTTATTTTATTTTAATTAATTGAATTAAAATTTTTAATTTTAAAAATTAATTGTTTGAAATTAGTTTGATCATTTTTTAGATTAATTGAATAATAAATATATTATATTATATTATATTTTAAAATTTAAATTTTTTATATTTAAAATAAATTAAATAAAATCATCTAACAAAAATAAATATCAAAATATTAAGTTAAAAATTTTAATAGGTTGTAATGAAAGATAATTTCATATATAAGTTTTATTATATTTTGATTAAAATACCAATTATTTTGATTAAATCGATTCAAAAATCAAATTAATCAGAAATTTAAATTTGTCTAAAATCATTTTTGATAATCGATTGAAATTAATTTAGTGATCGATCAATTAATCGAATTAAATTGATTCGATTAGTTAATTCGATTAAAATCAAATTTTAAACACCATTATCAGTGCGATATATGTTGGTAAAATATTTTAATTTTAATTACTAAAATTTAAATTTTAATAATTTTAAATGAAAAAATAAGTGAAAAGTTGGATTAGGAAAATGCCTTTAAAATATTTATTTGACTAGAATTATAGTTTATCGAGATCATAATTATAAAAAAATAATAATAATATTTCATCCACCCACAATTTATGATTAAAGGTTTCACAAGTATTTATTAATATCCTTTTATTTTCTCAACATTTTTCCTTTAAAATTTTCCAAGAATCAAAACATAATCTAGTCTATGTGAACAAATTGCATGCTCTTTTTTTTTTAGGTGATTTTAATTATATGGTATTATTATATTATTTTTCAGAAAACAGTGGTGACAACCAAGAGTGTTGAGTACATGCCATTCTTCCTCTCGTTTTTCCTTTTCTTGAATGGAGGAATTTGGGCTTTCTATGCTTTGCTCGTGCAAGATATTTTCCTTGGGGTAATCAAGCTCTTCCCTTTAATCATCATAACTATGTTCACCAATAATGTTGAACTACTAAAGTTTTTTATTTGATTTGTAGTTTAAATGTTGAACTATTTTGAGCTAATTAATGTTTCTAATATTAAAATCAAATTAAAAGTGTTTATAAGGTGAGTAAGAATCTGATAATTTGTGTATTTATATAATATAAAATATTTATAATTTATGTATTTATATTGTATTTTACATGAAAATTATATGTCACAATTTGTGTTAATACGAAAACTATGAAATATATTATTTTGGTTTTGTTAAACTAATTTATGATTTTTGTTAAAATTTTAAGCTGTTTCACTCTTATATATTTTATTTGTATCGTTTTCATATCGTATCATCATGTCATATTTTAAATTGTTAGATCTAGACCGAACCAAATGCGATTGACATAATTAAATGCTAAGTCCAGGTTCAGCATGTCCAAATCCATCCATGGACAAACTAAATCATAATTTTTTTTTTAAATTTTTTTTAAAAAAGGAATGATTCGAATTTTATTCATGTATCAATTATTAAGCTAAATGATTAAGTGCATGGTTTGAGAAATTTTAGTGAGTTATTTGTGGAGATTCACACCTAATATGTGAAAAATTATCCATTTTGACATGAAAGTTTCATGATTTTATCTCACAAGTTTTAAGTTTAAGCCTCTACATATATATCATATTATATTCATACATTCTTTTAATGTGAGATCTTTAAAGTTTAACGTCTTTGTCAAGCTGAGTCAACTATAGAGTCAAGATCATATCAAACTTTAAGGTTTTAGAGTTAAAATCACACCATACGTTGGGATTCTAGAGGTAGCTCTCACGGTCTCACCCTGTAGCACATAGTCCCCACTAATTAGTGATTGTTCCGATATCATTTGTGGAGATCTACACTTAACATGTGAGATATTATTCATTTTGATATGAAAGTCTCACGATTTTATCCCATAAAAAGTATCTCACAAATTTTAAATTTACTCCTTTACATATATATAATATCATATCTACATATTCTTTCAATATGAGATTGAAGTGTACATTAATAAAGATTTTTTAGTATTTGTGTTACATTAGGTTAATTTTTTATTTGTCTTTGATATATAGGTACCAAATGGGATAGGTTTCCTACTTGGAACAGCACAGCTATTGCTCTATGCCATTTACAGAAATGCAAAACGATCAAACAACAAAATTTCAGAAGGATTATTGGAACAAGGTAAGCAAGAGGAGCCCCTTGTATCGCCCTTGCACTAGGCAACAGCATCATGTTTACATGTTAAAAGGCTTGTGTAAAAAATACCATTGCTACAACTGATATTACTCATATGAGAGGGAGAATTTTGAAGTAAAAAATATTTGTTTTTTAATTTAGTTTTTTGGTTTATTAATTTTTTTAAATTGAATACATTGTGATATTGGATTTCATCTGCGAGCGTTTTATTAGTGGACTATATATATTCTTTGGTCGTGTAGTTTATTAATAGAATATTAAATTGTTTTTGAAAATTTTAATCTACTCTTAAATTTTTTTTATCCTACTATTTATCTGAAGAAAATATTACGCATATAAGTTCTCTCGAACTCGTATCTTCTAATTGACAAATGATCGAAGAAATAATTGGTTGGTAAAATATTAAAATTTTAATTTTAATGATCAAATAGCAATTTTAAGTACCAAAAAATATGTTAGATTTTATTTTTTTAATTAGAGAAAAACATTATTATGATGAGAAATTATAGTTTTGTTGATTATAGAGGAGTTAATTAGTTTTTTTTTAAAATATTAATTTCTATTGTGATGGTGGTTAATGTCTTAAAAGATCTCTTGATGTGAAGTTGAGCTCAAAATGAGATGTACCAACCCAACTTAGCCCAACCCATATTGGCATTTACTAATAAAATGTCAGAGGCTTAGAGCTTTTTTCAAGAAAGCTATCAACATATTGGCCTCAATTAGGAAACCTAAATTACAACTTTTTTGGGCAAATTTTTTTTAATATTCTAAGTATTAGTTTGACCAACTTTAATTATTCTATTATAATCAAGTTAAAAGAGAGACATCCTACCTTTTCTTTTAAAAACTATCATCAACTGTGTGTTAGGTAATTTTTTAAAAAAGAATTTATAAAATACAGTACCCCAATTAGTCAAATGCAAAAACAACAAATAAATCCTAAACTTTATTATTTTATTTAGATATTTTTTAGTTTTTATTGTATCTAAATAAAAATTTAAATTTAAATTTGTATTTCGATAAATTTTTATTTTTAAATTTGTATTTGAATAAGTTTTTGACCTTTAATTTATACTTAAATAAGTCTTTATCATAAATCAATATTTTCGTTTAAAATAAAAATTAAAAAATAGGGATTTATTAAATACAATAAAAATATATAAATTTATTTTAAAAAATAGTTTAAAGATTTCTTTAAATATTTTAACTTAGTCCAATCTCAATTTTGTGATTCAATTTGGGCCCAAAATTAGTCGATGTAGTTTGTCTGGTCTATAGGCCCATACAACTCAGTGCTGTGACTTTAAGATCACCACCTGACCCGGCTCCTACATTTCTTTTGGGTTTGCCCATTTATTTTTATGAATAACCCTTGCTTTATTAATTGATTTAGTCGAATTCAAATTCAAATCATATAAAAAATTTAAAAATTTAGTTTAAAAACCTACTTAGATTAAGATGTTAAAATTAAGGATTAAAATCTAATTCTTCAATTTTATTTTATAAAGTACAAAATATCATGAAATATGGAATATATTAACATACATAAAAATTATTATGCAATTTAGTCCTTTTTATTCTGTTTTTGATAAACAGATCATCATCATTTTCCTCTATTCAAATTTCTCTGCTTTTCTATATATACCCTTCACTAAAGATGGGCAATTTTTTATAGTGCTGTGCTGTTGTTGCTCACCCGTCCATGCAAATAAACAAATCATTTCATTATTAAAATGAAAAGGAAATTGAAGTTGCATTCTTTAACATGGTCGTGCATTTGTGCCCCAAAAGTATGAGATGTGCCCTAAAAGCATGAATGGTCCCCCACTTTTTATTTTTCTCCATATATATAGGAAAAATTACAGATGTTGAAATTTGAGATTCAAATTTACTAATTATTACTTTTAAAGTTAATTATATGAACCAACGAGATGAAATTTTGGGTTCAATTATTTTTGTCCTTATATGCTAATTTTAATTACTTGGCATCTGGTTTAAACCCTAAGCCAAACTGGCACAAAAGCACAAACATTATATTCCATATATCAAACAGATCCATTAAATTTTTTTAATAATCAAAGATTCAACACTTTTGGTTTTGTTTGGACCTTTGACACTAGTCCATACCTCAATCACTCTATATATATTATATATATAGTCTTTCTTTGTTTTTAATTTCGGCCTTATTTTAAGTATTGATTTGTTGTCTCAATTTCATGCATCATTCCATGATGATGAAGTGTTGAATTTGGTAGTTTTATTATTTAAATTCATAAATCAAATTATGGGTTTGTCTAGTGTATTATTCTTTTTTCATGGTCAGATTGAAATTATAAAGAAAGCTAAGCTACTTTTGTCTTGCTCATTATTAATTATATTTTGAGTAATTCTATTTGTGCCCATGTTCAATGTCAAGATTTTCAATTTGGTACTCTTTAACTTTTAATTGAAACAATACCCTTCAAATGTAAACATACTTTGTTCTTGGGTTTCTTGAAATTTTGATTAATAATTATATTCCAATGTTTCTAAGCACATAATTTTCAAGAATTTTATCAAAATAAATAAAAAATGCTAGTGATCATTTAGATACTATAAAATTTATAGCTTAGTCGTTTATCGTTTTTTGGATTAATAGTTAAACAATTTTTAAAAAAGATATAAAATTTTGGTTTCGAGTCAAGAATTTTTTTTTTGTTTTCGTGAAAAAAAAAAAAAATTGTAGCTAAATCTTTTAAAGCATTAGAAAATGTGTTAGATTAGAAACATTGAAAGTGACCTTGGGGAAGAGGAGTTGCATCATAATAGAAAAATATGGGTAAATTGAAATTGACCTCAAGATGTAGACACTAGACATCAACCATGTATAATCAATCCTTTGTGCTTTTATGTGACTAGTAATAAATAATAAACTAAGATTGAGCACAACACAATCAATGCATCTCCAAGGGAGAGTTTTTATATCACATATGCTATCGTGTGAAAATTATTATGAAATTTTGATTAAAATTTCAACCGAAATAATATTAAAAAATTCATATAGCAATTAAATTATGTTCAAATTAAATTTAATTTTAATATTTATAATTTTTAAAAAATTTTCAAGTTGCAACGTCTTTTATATTAAAAAATTTGTATAAAAATTTTGTATTAATTTTCATAAAACCAAATTTATTGCATCAAAAAATAAGGTCGAAAAATAACACTCAAATATGATCAAAGTTAAAAAGGAAAGTTGATTTGAATTCAAATGATTAAAGCTAAGTTTGGATTCCATCGCATTTTTTGTGTGGTGTTATTGAACTAATCGCGATTGAGTTAATCATATCGTGAGATTTATTTAATATAAAATTTTAATTGAATTTTATTTATAATTATAATTATAATATATATTTTTTCAATCACAATTATAATAATTTTTATTATTATTTTTAATTTCATTAAAACTAATCTTACAATCCATCCAAATTAAGCACAAGGAAAGGACAGGAGATGAAGGGTTAAGATGGTAAGTAGAGTGGGGGCAAGTAACCATATCAAATGGCAAAAGGAGCAGTGATACCGATCAGAAAGAGACGATCAAGTAAAATCCAGGGATGGAGACGATTCACTCTGTGAGTTAGGCAGCCTTGGAAATTCAATCATGTGGCAATGGAACTATAGCATGCAACAATAACAAAAGCAAAAGTGAGTGAGTGAGAAAGAGACCCGTACCCAACATTTGCTTCCATTGATAAATGCAAAAGTCCAACTAAATTATGTACAATCTTTTCTTACTTTTATCACGGGCTCACATGAGGCACAAACAGTTTGGATCTCCATGTGCCTCTTCGTCCGACGACTCGATAAATCTTATATTAAGCTTAACTTATTCCATTAATTCGATTCATTGATAAATACATATATCTTTAATTAATGAATTTTTTTTATGAAACAAAAGATTTCGGTCAATAATTTATTAATCAAGTGATTAAATGATATATTATGATATATTATATAATTTGAGTTCAAATCCAGATAAAACTTTAAAACTTGTCTAGCATTACTCGTATACGAAAGTTATTTTTTGGTTAAATTAAAAATGTAAAAATATCAGAAGTATAATATTGTTAAATTTATTTTAATTTAACTTAAATAAAATAAGATATTTGTATAATTAATTTTTAAGAAATTTAGTAACATAAATTTTAAGATTTAATCAAGCTTCACTTGTCTATAGTATTGATTATTTCCACTCATAACTCTAGGTTAGTTTTGTTGCATTAAATGTGTGACAATGAAACCAATTTTATAGGTAGCATTAAACAATTCTATTATTTATTATAAGGATTTATATTTGATATATTATCAGTATATAGATTTTATACACTGTCGGTGAATAGAATGATATTATCTTATTAATGAAGTGAACCAGATGATGTCACATAATTAATAAATAAGTTTTTTAAAAAATATTAATTTTTGTATATTTATTTTAAAAGCTTATATTTATTTATTAATGATGTGACATCATTTGATTTATTGACAGTGTATAAAATCTATACGCTGACAGTGTATCAAATATAAACTCTAATTATAAACATTATATATAGTTGCTTTGGGCAATTAAAATTTTTTTTGGCAGATAAATGTTTTAAAGACACCCTTTAAAGTTATCAAAGTGATATTTCTTTTCAATACATTCAAAATGAGCCTATTAATAATGCTTATCGTATTTAATGAAAAAATATTGTACATAATATATTGACAAAATTTAAGTGTAGACACGATGATTCGTGTATTCATATTATAAAATAATAAAATTTGTATATTCGTATCGTATTTTATATAAAAATTATGCTTCATAATTTATATTGACACGAAAATATAAAATATATATTTTTGATTTTATTAAATCTATATATAACTATTGTTAAAATTTTAAATTGTGTCATTTTCATATTTTATTTTTGTATCATGTTGATGTAATGTCAATATATTTTATTTTAAATTGTTAAATCTATTTAAAAGTACACTCTTGTTCATCTTTAACTATTAATTAATGAATTTTGTTTCTATAAAAATGCAAAAAAAAGGTACAAATTAAGGGCCCTAGTTCATCTATATGGTGTAATCTTGAATCATCATCTTTGTGAAAATGGGTATTGAAGATTGTGATGTCCAATATTAGAGGCTGAGCAAAACTACAACATGGGAACCCACCAATGTTTTAAAGATTGTGCATGAATCCAGCAATTGGACAATCTTTGATAGCAACAGATTTTCTCACCAATTCTGAGGCTTTCATAATGGCGTGAATTGAACAATGAAAGCATGAAAATTCTAATCAGACATGTCAATTTTCTTTGTTTCTTTCTTTCTTTTCTGAAAAATTTATTGAGTAAATTGATGGCATAAAGTTGTTTGAATTTCATAATAAATGCTGCATAGTTTGCAGATAAGGAGTCCCACCAACAAAATTGTGTTCAACTATGAAACGTCATGGAGTTATTGTAGAAGGAGAAACTTCTCACGGGCCACTCCTGTGGGCCTTGCTCCCCCTCTGTACAGTCTAATTTGGAACTGGCTCAACCAAGTACTCATAGTTGCCCTTTGGAACAGGTTGACATCATTTTCATTCCTGTGGATCCAAAACACTCAATTAACCGGGTTCTACGTGGTTCAACCGTAGAACTGGCATTTTTCTCGGTCACTCTCCGGTCTGGATTTAACAATCTGAGCTGAGGCATGGTGACAATTAGGTTGCACAAACAAGTTTCGATAACATGTGATTCAAATATTTCATTTCTAGGAATAAAAATATTAAGACACTGTCCACAGTACTGATACAGTCAAGTGACTGTTAAAGAAGTAAAAACTTGATCACGCGTAGCTTTGAGATCAGAGGTAGAGAAACCAAAGAGTAATAATCTAATCTAATGGCAGAAACAAGGAATCTGGCTATCTATCCAAAGAGAGCAGAAGCATTTTCTTCTTCTAATTCTAATGTAAAAAACAGGGCAAACCCCAAAGCAAATGACTTTAAAAAAATCCCAGAGCCAAGTTCCGGAGAGAGTCTTTTGTTTGCAGGTTCTTTTGCTGGTGCTTTGACGGCAAAAAGTTTATGGTTTCGCCATTTAGCTTGTCTTTGTTCCATCACTTTATTTAATGTATCGGTAAGTCAGTATTACACGTGCTCCTGGGGACTCTCTCCCTTTCGGTCCTTCCCTCACCCCTCGACCCTCCTTATTTAAATGTCATATTTTTTTTTTCACTCAATTACACTCTCTGACACTATTACCCTTGTTTTGTTGGCATCTTCGCTTACCATCTCTTTCCTTTTCTCTCTCTTTTTCTTGGCAGGAAAAATAAGTGACTTGGGAGAAAATGCCCGTATCTTTGATATGAAAAGAGAGCACTAACAATATCAAGAAAAAGATTTGTTGCTTGGAGAATCTCAACATGATGGAAGGAATCAAAGGAGGAGGAAGAGTTGGTGTTGGTGAATCAGAAGATATGGGAGATGGTATGCAGTGCAGTGATCATCCTTATAGGAACAACCCTGGTGGGATCTGTGCATTTTGTCTTCAGGAAAAGCTAGGGAAGTTGGTTTCTTCTTCTTTTCCTTTACCTATTCGTGGGTCATCTTCTTCCTCTTCGTCTCCTTCTTTTAGATCTGATACTGGTGTTGTTGCTGCTAGTGTTGGCAATGGTGTTGTTGGTACTTCTTCTACTTCTTCTGTGTCTGTTCGTCCCACGTCAAACAAAAGTCGGAATGATAGTGGCAATAATAATAGTCATTATCAAGAATATTATACAAGGCGGGCCAGGATCCCATTCCTTTTGGCAAAGAAGAAGAAGAAGAAGAAGATCCTGGTTGCATCATCAGATCATCATCATGCTGCTGCTGCTGATATTGTTTTTAAGAGAAGCAAATCGACTACAACTCCTAGGAGAGGCCGGTTCTTGGATGGGTCTGTTGAAGATGGTGAGGACTTTGGCCCCAGAAAGAGAGGTGGTTTCTGGTCATTTCTTTATCTTTCTTCTAAGACCCATAGTTCCAAAAAACTAGATAAGATTGCTTCTCTAGCAGCACCACTAACAGCAGTAACAAACAAACAACAACAGAAGCTGGAGCAGGAGCAAGAGCAAGAGCTGTAGTCACTGGTTCTGTCGTGAAGCCAAAGGATAAATGTTTGGGATCATCATTGTCAAGGAAAGGAGGCATTGTGGTTGTGGAGGATGATGACAGTCCTAATAGTCAAGCCACTCCCACTGCTGCATCATCATTTGAGCGCAAGGTTTCAAGATCCAGATCAGTTGGTTGTGGAAGCAGGAGTTTCTCTGGTGATTTCTTTGAAAGAATCTCAACTGGGTTTGGAGATTGCACTCTCAGAAGAGTGGAATCACAAAGGGAAGGCAAGACAAAAGTTGCTGCTCCATCATCTGCAATGAAAGAAAGGGTTAAGTGTGGTGGCATATTTAGTGGTTTCATTATGACCTCCTCCTCATCATCCTCATCCTCCTCCTCATACTGGGTATCCTCTTCAGCTGAGGATCATGTCAATGGGAAATCAACAGCTGGGCCTCTTGTTCATGGAAGGAGTAAGAGTTGGGGTTGGGCTTTTGCCAGCCCCATGAGGGCTTTCGGCAAACCTTCTTCTGGTAAGGGAGATACAATCATCAGAGAATCAAACAACAAGAACACAACTCCCAATCTGGCAGCAATTCCTTCCTTGTTAACTGTTAGAAGCTAAAATGAACTTGTGGGGCTCTTTGACTTCGGTTAATACACATTACATTTGGTTACCTGTTTATTTTTGTGTCTATGACCTTTCTTGGACTTTATTCCATTAGTAATGTTACACTCTTTTCTTCCTTTCATTTTTGGTTTCTATATATCTGCAAATAATTCTGTTTTAGATAGTTGCCTGGTCCTTACCTCTGTTGGGTAATACCATTATCAGAAACTCAGGTGAGTTTTATCAAAGTGAAACTAGTTCAAGGAAGGAGAAGATATATGTTTGACCAGTATTATGATTATCTGTTTCACTTTGTGATCTGAAGTTAATTTTCTGCTAAAAAAAATTGTATTCTTTAATCTTTGTAGTGTTTATTTGCAAGTTGCACCTTGATCGTAATGGCAATGAAATGTGGTTTTCAATATTCTTTAGTGAGAGTATTCCCTGATCACATGCATACACATGTTTGTTGGTCTTTTTTTTGTCATTCAAGGGGCATAGCCTTACATTAAGAGGGAGAAAGTTGGGTTCGAACTCAGACTTATATTTTCTTTAAGGTTGTTTGATCGTTAAACTAAGCAGCCGAAGACGTTTGTTGGTCTTTGACACACTGAAAAGATCTAATACAAAACATATTAATTGCCTAGCTAATGCTATCGACTGATCGATTTTTTCGGGCCTTCGTGATTGTAAAACCTCATCGAAGTTTTGCCATTAAATGTAAGGCTTTTTCTACCAAACGAGGCAATAAGGCTTTTCTACCAAACGAGGCAATAAATATTTTGCCAGCTGCAGCTGCTTCAACATCTGTCTTTCAGGGAGAAGACTACTAGGGTTATCAGTTATCAGCTTGGGGTAGGGCCAGTTGAGCTGATATTTAAGAGATCTGATGCAAACATAATCTGCAAAATAAATGAAGATTGTAAAGCTGGGTAGGAGAGAATTCAGGTTAACTGGAGAGAGTTGGAACAGAAAAGGATAACATTTCTTCAATGTACTCCATCCCTCATTCTTCCTCTATCTTGGGCCCCCTTTCTGCCAAACTGAAACACAAATTAATTGGCTTCACAGTCGAGGAAACTTGATAGAACAGAGGAGGCATATCTAGTTGAGCAATATCAGCTGCTACTAGCTATGGGTAATTTGCATTCAGCAGCAGACCCTATGGTTTTGTAGTGAACAAGAAATAAATGCATGAAATAGTTAACTTTGTGAAATTTAACCAATTACAATTACTGAAAATTTGGTGGCTTCAACTTTGTTTTGATAATGTGAGGGGAAAAGAAATATCTGGGAAACCATGATAAGACACAAAGACCTTGATGATGAAGTACAGGATTGCAATGAGACATGAGAAAAGCTGCTGCTGTTGCTGCCTTTGGGGCACTGTTATTGGAGCAGAACATTAATTTTGTGGACCATGGGACATGCACATCTGCACTTTTTAATCCACCAAGACTTGGGAACTTCCTCCTGCTTGGTACCCATGGATGCTTAGATGAGATATTATAAAAGCTTTAGAAGGCATCGGGAACGTGCAATCCTCAAAAAGGCTCTGTCACCTAATGCTGAAATTTTCTTTTCATGTCCCTTTTTCAATCTCTCCCCAACCCCATATAAACCTTATTGTGAAATTCATAATACACTGGATCTCATCAACGTGCAAGAATAGTATCAGGATGGATGATTTTTCCAGTTCATATTGCATCTTTTTATTCGATTACCGACGATCGTCTGATCAGTTGATAAAATATAACAATAAAAATTAAAATTAACTCACAAATTTGATCTTAATCTCTTATACTTGTATCATCAAAACATACATTAAGACATGGGATCTACAAATTGCTGGATTGAAAGACTTGTTACTGGCAAGATACGTTTGTAATGGTACCTTAGAACTATGGGCAAATGAGTGAGAGTTTGGAGTTTTGTTTTTTAAACAAGAATCTGGTTTGCTGTGGTCCATTTTGCGTTGAGATTTCGATTAATCTGGTGCATCCTTTGTGGGGTTACACATGAACAAATTAGTCTTGCCATTATTGTGAAAAAACAACTCACCAGAGACTAATTTCCATATCAAAGAGCTGTTCATCTGTTTGTTTGCATTCTTATCAACATATTACTCGACATGAAATCGTAGGATGTAACATGTTTTGAACTTTTCTATATTTGAAACATGGGACATCAGTCTTAAATGCTTCTACAACCGTACAATTTGCTTGATGGGATTCTTGGATTTCCAAATGTGTGGCTAACTAATTAATCATTGTTTAAAATTGGGCCATAGTTAGATTTTTTTTCTCCCATCTGTCTCTTCATTCATCTTAGTCGATGGAAGTCTATCATGAAACCAAAGTTGGCAACTTCATTGCAAAGTTGCGACTTTGAGAACCAAAAGCCCTAAAAGTAATTCATTGTCGGTCAAATTTAAATTTAATAATTTAAAATATGATATGATTATGTGATATGAATATGATATAAAAATAAAATAAAAAAATAAAATAATTTAAAATTTTAATAATAATTACATGAGTTTAATGAAACAAAAAAAAATTATATTTTCGTATCGATATTAATTATGATATGTAATTTTTATATAAAATATAATGTAAATACACAAATTTTAATATTTTATATGATATAATACATAAATCATCAAATTTAATCTAATTAAAAAATTTTAAAATGCAACTCCACACTTACTAAAATATACTTCAAAAATCTCATTTTAATGGCTTATTCTTCACATTATCATTCGATAATATAATGAATTTAAAATTTTATTTTTATAATATTTTTTACAAGAATCGAAACTTAATTAGTGTTATCAGAATTAGACTAAAGGAATTGGTTGAACTAAGAATCAATATTCAATTGGATTCTTAAAATTAAAAAATCGAAGGTTCATCGAATTTATCAAAATCTAATTAAATCAAGTTGGATCGAACTGGAGTAACAAGGTTTTGAACAATTTTTATTATTTAAATTAATAATTAATCTTAAAAATAATCTTAACAAGGTTCACAAAAAATGCAAAAATGAGAAGAAAAAATAAAACTAAACCAATAGTATATAGTATAATATTGATGGTATTAAATCAATTAGGATTTAATCATTAAAATATTATTTAATTCAACATCAATAACTTTGTGGCCGTGGGTACTTACATTGTTAAAATAAGGATAAACCTATATACTCTCCTCTATATTATAACATTTTTATTTATATTTCATGTGAAATTTTTTTTGTGGGTTTATTTTTATTATTAAAAAAAATTAATGGTATCAAAATAAGAATAAGGGTAATTTTAAAATTTTATTAAAATTTGATTAACTTTTGACATAGTTTTTCTCTCTATTTGGGCTTTCTCATTTCATACTACCAAATCCAAATGGATTTTGGTTTCATTAAACTAAAATGTTGTGGTCCAATTTCAATAACATTTGCAGAGCTTGAGCCCATCATCAGAATAATTTGTTATAAATAATTTTGAAATTATTAAAATTTAAATCTTGATTATTGAAAAAAAATTAAACTACCAACAAATCACATTGATAATTTTCTCTAATACTATATATCTTCATTTCGTAGCATTTTTTTTTTTGTCTTTTGGGGTTTATTGCTTATAATATACCAAGGGAAAATAAGTAGAGAAGAGAAAGGTAAAAACTAGTTGAAGAAAAAGAAAAGAAACCTTTTTTTAAAGGTAAGCCATTAGAAAAACAAATTGAATTTAAAAGTTAAAACCTTCCTATGATTGAGTAAACAATACTACTAGAAATTAAAGAATCCTTTTTGTTTTCCTACATTTCTCCAGCCATGAATCAAACAATCACTTCCTTAGCATTTGTATTTTAAGGCCCAAAAAGACTGAGATGATAAACCATGGGTTGAGCCATGATTGATAAAAATACCCACTGATCCACCGCCACCACCTGTTTTAGGAGTAGGGTCCTTGCCCATTTAGCCCATAGGCCTAACCACCAAAGACAAACAATTGTGGTTTCTGATATGTGCTTTGAACATTTTTCAGATGTTGAAGATTTGTGTCATGGGTTTTCATTCATATCAGGCAGTGATTATATTGAAATATATAACTGGTAATTTAGTCTCCTCCATTAGCTTAAAGTTAACCATTACAACACTAATCACTCTTACTCAACAATACTGATGATGAACATGATCAAGATTCAAAAAACAAAAAAGAAAGAGTAGTACAATCCCAATCTTTGAAGCTCAAGATCAGCAACTGATCTGCTCTGCTGTGTTTACATGCTGCAAACTTTTCTAGTGTGGTCTCACCTTGTGATTCAACAACATCTCCCGGAGTTCAGCAGCATCAATCTCAGCTGCACAATTCTCAGGCCTATAATACCCAGTAACAGGATCAGGTGCCCAAGCAGAAGAAACCCCAGGCCCTGACTCTTCTTTCATCACATCCACAGCACCCCTTTGTTCAATTTTCCCCACCATACCAGGCCTTGAAGCCGTCAAAGCTCCATGTGGTGCAGCAGCCGAGTACCCTCTCCTATAAAGCCACGTCCAAAACAACACCAATAACTAAACCATCATAACAAAACACTTATTTTAAAAAAAAAAAACCTCGATTACCTGAATACGGAGAGGGAAAGACCATCAGAAACAGAAGTAGCAAAGAGCTTAAAGGAAGAGAGAAAACGAGCCATTATTTCTATTTGCTTATATATATGTATATATAGTTTTAAACGTATTATTAGCTACTGCAAAAATTGTTCTTCTGGAGAAGAAAACTCCTGCAGTAGCTTAGCTACGGAAAGGGCAGCGGCTCTGCTGTATCTTCTCTTCTCCGCGACTGGGTGATGAAGAAGAAGGCTAGGGCTTTTAGTGGTGTACTTATAGGATGGAGAGATATGATGCTTTTGGTTGGGTTGGGCCTTTTCCTTTTTTTTTTTTTTTCCAAAAAGAGTCACGCTAGGATTTATATATTTATTATATATAAAATATTAAAATTTATATATTTATATTATTTTTTATATAAAAATTATGTATTATAATTTATATTAATATAAAAAATATAAAATAATTATTAAAATTTTAAATTATATTATTTGTATATTATATTTTTCTCGTATCATAGCGTAAATTGCTAAATTTTAATCCGAGTTTACCCTCTGGTATTTCGTAGAGTCTTCTTCCTGGGAGCTGACACGCGGTTCGCTGAACATCAAAGTGCTGTCTTTGTTCGGACCAAACAGTCTGATGTCATATGATAAGGATCTAACAAAAGTTGATTTTGATCTTAGCTGAATCTTATCTTGTCAGTGTTTAAAAAATAATAAAATTTTTCATTATTTAATATAAAGTTGATTAATTTATTTTGAAATTAATTTATAATTAAAATTTAATCATTTAAAAAAAGTAGAAAAATAAATAAAAACAATTTACTAAATATTAATTAAAAAAGTATTAATTATAGTTAGAGTAATAAAATCTTTATTATTTAAAAAAGTAATGGAATGGAGATCCAAAAAAAATTAATGGAGCAAAAAAATATTATTGAAGCTCTTGGATAGACATAAACGTGGATTGCTGTGATTGTCTGATTGACGAAACCTTTCACCGGCCAGGAGACAATGAATTTTAAAATATTCTTGAAATTCTCCGACCGTGGATTAATAATAAACATATTGTTTTATTATATGGACGGTCCATAAGGATCACAAGTGTTCTTCGCTTACTCCAAATTAGGCATTGATGTTTCGTTTTCTCCACCATGCCATTATAGCCTTGCCGACCAAATTAAGCTAGTTTCAACGTTCATGTATTTATATTATATAAAATATTAAAATTATATATTTATATAATATTTTTATAAAAATATGTTAATATAAAAATATAAAATATATATTTTTATGAAATTTAAAATAATAATTATTAAAATTTTAAATTATATTATTTTTATTTTTTATATTATATTTATATTATATTATTTAATCATATTTTAAATTATCATATGTTTAAATTTTTTTAATAATAAAGTTTAAAACTAGTTTGAATTTTTTGTTAGTCTTCATTAAAGGAGTTTAATGAATGAATTATTATTATTATTATTATTAAAGATGAACCAAATACTATAAAAAGATGTGTTATATGTTCTCTTTGTAATTGATTTGCATATGGAGATCCAAAGTAATTATGCATTTCCTATACTAAAAAATTGAAATAAAGATTTGTGTGAACAACTACCATCTATTATCTCTGATAAAAAAGAATTTTCTGAATTTGAGACTTTTTTTTTTAATTATTTCACACAATCTTAATATTATACAAACAATTCTTTAAGAAAATTGAGGTATAAGCTAACAGAGTTAAATTTATTGTAATTTATCAACAAAAAATTGGTTTAATTGACAAAAATTATTTTTTCCAACGTAAAGATCTTGAGTTTGAGTTCAATCGATAATTTTGTTGTTAAATCATCTTGAATGTATAACTTGTAATCTTTGTTTTTAAACCGTTAAGTATGAAATATCTTACTTTGATCTGAAAAATTAAGTAATTACATATTTTCAATTTTTTTTTGTACCAAAAAAATTTATTGTAATTTCACTTTATATATATATATATATATATATATATAGCATACTGGCTTCTATGTTTTCAAATTTGGAATAAAATCTTCATTTACCCAAAAAAATTGAAAATAAAAAACATAAACTTTGTAAGTAAATATCAAATTTATTTCTTAGAAGCTAGTAGGGTACTAGGGTTACAATACTGTTATAAAGCACGGCAAGCTAACAATTAGACCTTATGAGAAACAGATATTTTGGTTGTCATTAACATTACAGATGAAACCTTATTCATGGATAATAAATTACAACTGATTGATCATGGTAAGAGCCGAAATCTTGTAGGGATAATGTTGGCGATATTTAGGAGACCAACAAGGGTGTTTCCTAGAACCTGTAAGGAAGAAAACAATCCCCCAACAGATGGAAGCGTGGCGTTGCAATTGGAGAGAGGAGTTTTCACTGCTAAGTTGCAGTTGTTGAGCAGTGAAGGGAGAAGAAATTGCAATGGATCCAACAGGATTGAAAATATACCAGATCCATTAGTTGTTGCACTGAAAACCACATTCCCTCCACACTGCAGCTGCACCAGGGCATCTGAAACCAATTTATAGTTAATGGTGTTCACTTTTGCATGAAAAATGAACAAATGATTATAAGGCAACGCTAACTGATGGATAGATTGCGTGGTCTGTTGATAGAATATTGAAATCTTAATTTCGATAAGTAAGATTCAATTATTGATAATTTCAAGTATGAAAAGTGATACATAGGTGTAGAAACTTACTAGGGAAAACTGGGGTTGCAGTGCCATTTTCACCCATGTTGCCATCGGCAGTGCAAAAGACAGTGCCTGTAACTCGAATCAATCCAAGGAGGTTGCCGATAAGCCCACCAAACTGGGCTTCAGCCATTGGCACTACCAATGCCATTGCAGCAACCAAGAAGCAAACAAACACAAGGGTTTTCAAGGCCATGGTTTGGTTAATTAATTAAATCACCAAAAAATGATTCACTTGCAGCTACTATGTTGTAAATGTACATATTTATAGGAAACGAGAGGCCAAGTTGGTGCAAAATTTTCACCCAATTTGGCACACCTATCTCTCCTTCGATTCCTCTCTCTACTAGAGGTTTAGATCAATCGATTGATCTGCATATAATAAAGCCAAGAAAGCAAAGACAAACAGATCTCTTTCTTCTCAATCTCTCCTTCAGAATCTCAGTTTGTCATGCAGCTCAAACTCCACCATGCACGCCATCTTTGTGGGCTTCACCTACAACCCAAATCTTACCCTCTAGGCTTCTCTAATGCAAAAGCTTTTTCTTGTGTCATGTCACCAGCAATGGTGGGGGCGATCTCTAGTCTGTAAATGAGTTCAAGTTGCTGTACCTAGATGAACTTTGGCCTCTTTAAGAAACTGTATCCCAATCGTTTGGAAAAAATTTTTAGATTGGTCCATAGTTCTAAGCAAGCAATATGGACAAGCTTTGTCTAAGCTGCACAATATGGTAATAATCTTGTTTCAACCATTAGACTCTAAGAGCAAGCCAAAGCCGTTGCAGCCAGTTGTCCATTGACGCACTTATATTGAATTTCATTGCTTGGAGAGTTGGATTCATGGTATCATTGCTGTTATTTTCACTGTAAATTAATGCCCATATTGATTAAGAGTTAATGGTGGGCGATTGGCAATTGGGAGTGATATGAGATGTTAAAGAGTTGAAATGAAAAGGAAAAATGAAGAAAAAAAAATCTTGTACAAATTTTGTTTTCTAGGAATGGCTCTCATTTTTTTAACCTATCACTTCTCCTAGTCCAAGCATGGACAAGAAGATGGTTCAATTGGCTATTATTGATCCGAGCTTGATGAAGGCCTAACAGGATTTTTAATGATATTATTGGCCCAACATGCTTTTTTTTGTTTTTTTTTAAGACATAGCAATCTTAGATACAACAAAGTGATTCAATACGAAAATATTGAAAATAAAATAATTTAAAATTTTAACAAAAATTATAAATAAATTTAATAAAATAAAAAAATTATATTTTATATTTTTGTATCGAAACAAATTGTAACACGTAATTTTAGTATAAAATATTACATAAATATATAAATTATCAATATTTTATATGACACGAATATATAAATTATCAGATCTAATTAATATTTGATCATCCACCATCTTAAAGTCAAAATAATAATAATAATAATAATAATATAAAATTTAAAAATTCCCTTGATTTTTTGAAAATTTTTAAGTAAATTATCTTTTTTTTTCTTCTATTATATAAGATGAAAATTTTAAAAGATTGTATCAGACAGATTTGAAATTCAAATTATAATATTTGTTATACTAAAAATTTAATCCTTAAAATATTTTAATTATGTTTTTATTTTCATATAAAGCACTAAAAATTCATTAGACAAATAAAAATACTATTTTTCAGCCCTATTTTCTAGGCTTTTATAGCCATTTCTTTCGCAGCTCTTCTCTTCCTACAATCATGATTAGTTATTGACTGTGATCTGTATTATGGGCCAAATACCAGCCATTAATCTCTTATTGCTTTTTCTTTTTTCTTTTTTTCACCATGTCTCAAATTTTCTCTCTGAACCCACTTTTCCAATTCACTTTCTTCCAAAATTTTTTTTACTTCAATTTCATAATCAATCATTGATTATTCTCCAACATCAATCCAAACTTTCCCTTCTTTAATTTTTTTTTCATAGATCATTGCCTTTCACTTTCTTTCTCCAGAATTTAGTTTTTTTTTTTTGGTCACTCATATCTCAAGAACTCTATCAAAATTTTCTAATGGTTTTACTCCAGCATTTCATTTACACAACCACATATCTTTTTAAATTATGGATGGTTTTCTTTAACATTTAGATTTCTGTTTTTGCTTCTGCCTTTTTGTTTATATTTTCATAGAAAAAATGTAGCACAATTAAATGTCAATTTTAAACTCCAAGAAACAAAATTATTTCACCTCAAACAACAAGGTAATTTTTCCATAATTTGCTGATTAATGACTAATTTCCGATTTTAATCAATTCAATTGTGTGGGGAAAAGTTAATTCAAATTTAATGATAAGAATTCCAAATCAGAATGAGGTATGTACCAATATGATTGTGTTTTCTAGGTGCAATTGTCATTTTCCTTCAATTTTTGTGGCTATATATAAATATAAATATCTATTATTTTCTTTTAACATGCATGAAATTAACTTTATGGTTTAATTTATAAAACAGTGTTGAAGGAATAAAGCCAAGATTGAGATTTGAGATCCCAAGTCGCCAGTGCATGCAAGGACGGTGGCTGGCTGGCAGGGAGGAAACTAGTGAGGATGCAACAACTAGTGCAAGCAAATGCAATGACGGTTCCGATCAGCATGCCTGGCTTCCACTTACTGAATCGAGGACTCGAAATCTGTTCTCTGTAACTTGTCAGCTTCCATGTCCGTGAACCCAATTTCAAGTGCTTTTACTTCCCATGGCAATTGCTGCTCTAGGATGGTAATCTTATCTTGCTACAAACTTTATATTCATGTCCTAAATACTTAGAAGAATAAAGATTGGATTTCCATTGAGGTGTAAAAAAATTTTTGGGGTTAGTACTCAGGAAAAAAGAAAGATTTAGATTTGATGCACTTTTAATGTAAAAATGACGGACACTATCAATAACTAATGGTCGATTAGTTTGTCACGAGAGGAAAATTGGTTTTCAAACTAAAAGGAGTTTGTTTTTTTACAAAGAAGATAGCATCTTGAAATGTAATGTAAGGTACAATCAAGTTCCTGCTTAAGAAAATAACGAAAATTTAAACAAACAAACAAACATGGTGCAAATATATCACAAAAATGTTTCGTTCTCCACCTGACAAAAATAGTACCAAGATATTGTCTGCCTTCCAACATTTGAACAAAAACAAAAAAAAAAATCGTTTCTTCAGCCCTTTTTTACAGATGCTTTTTGCTATATGTCTACCTGTTTATTGGAGCTCAAAGCGGGCAGGGTGGAACCTCAAGGGTTGTTCCAGCCTGAATTTGGCCCCATCCTATTAGACGCCAGTGCTTCTCAACGCGACGACTTAGTGCAATCTTCTCTCCCCTGCTGGTGCACACAGGGGACGTGAGTTGCAGCTTTGCCAAATCATTCTTTACAGCTATGACTCGAGCACCAGTTGACATAGATCCAATATTCAACATTAGGATCTCTCCCTTGGCCAGCTTTGACACCTTTCCCTGCCTCTCTGAGCCCTTTGTCCTAACACCAAGAAGCCTCCGAAGAAGGAAGAAGTTTACCTAAAACAATTAGAACAGACAGTTTCAGAAGATGACAGCAGTCTACATTTATTTTTATTTTGGTTATTAGGCCACCGTTTCTTTGATAATTGTTCACTATGGCAGCAGCCACCGACAACATCCAACAGAATAAACCAACAACACTTTGCAAACCAAACCCATCTTGCTCTTGGAAAAGAAAGGGAGTGAGTGTGTACATGCATAAAACAGTTTTGAAACTAAAATATAGTTAGAATATATAGAAAAATGATTTCACCACTATGGGTTCCCAACTAACCTATCAAGAACGGAAAAAAAGAAATAGACTAGATAACCAACTTGCACTTGCTTAAAATAAGCCACAATGGTTAGCAAAAAATGCAGGCCCTGCCAAAGCAATTCAGCACCTACCTCAAGCTCAACAAAAACTTCTGGGAGTGACCCAACCTCTCCAAGAACATGACCCACCAACCTATCAGCACGTGTCAAAGTTGGGTCCATAGTTGTTCCAACACCAATTAGACCTCCTGGAACGGCAAATTGTAGCTCATTTTGTTCGGCATACAGCGAGACTATTCTGGAATATATGGGCGTGCATTTGATGTTTCCATTTTCATCTTTAGCAACAATCCCAGGACGAACTTCAATAAATTGGTTCACCTTCAAAACACCCTGAAAAGAAAAATTTAACAAAATAATCATAAATACAAAACAAAGCTACAGAAGCTCACTCTAAATCCATGCTCTAGCAACTACCAAAAGGTAGAAGTCAGTATTTTGTAAATTTTCCATTTAAATGCATGCTATTTCTAGGACTGTCAATTAATTAACAGATAATAGACTTTAACAGTGTTAGAGAAAAGTGCGAAACCAAAAAAAAAGAAAAAAGATATGGAAAGTATCCAGTGCGTAGTAAGTAAAAATGTGCATCAATTGTAGCATTCATCTCCAAATAAAGACTAACAAGTACTTTCTAAATATATACTTACCCTGAGTATACTTCCACCAGCAACACCACCTTTAATCTCATCAACCTCAAATCCTGGCTTATTGACATCAAATGATCGGATGACAATCATGTTAGGGGGTGAGATGAAGTTTCTCTCTGGAATAGGGATCTTCTTAACAATGTACTCGCACACAACATCGATATTATATTTTAGCTGTGCAGAAATTGGTACCACTGGTGCACCATCAGCAACGGTATCCTGCAATGAATTATTTAGAGAAAAAGATTCAGACAAAAGCAAGAATGAAATATCTATCTATTTTTTGAAAAACAAGACAGGTAACCTGAATAAATTTCTGAATTGCTTCATGCTGATTGATGGCTACATTCTCTTGAATAAGATCAACCTTGTTTTGAAGAATTATAATATGCTGGAGTCGCATGATTTCAACAGCAGCTAGATGCTCAGAAGTTTGAGGTTGTGGACAGCTTTCATTGGCAGCTATGAGAAGTAATGCACCGTCCATAATTGCCGCTCCATTAAGCATGGTAGCCATAAGAATATCGTGACCCTGATGGAAAAATTGAAGACCAAAAATAAATTCATATATGACAAAATAGAAAACTTCTATAAATCTCAAAGGCAATACATTTATCCTGAAACAGAATGAGCTAGCAAGTGAGTGGGAAAATGTAATGTAATCTCATCTCCACAGAGCAGGACATAGGACCTTACGGGGCAATCTACAAATGATACATGTCTCAGCAACTTCATCTTGCAGTTTTCAAAGCCAGGCACATCACAAAGGGGACTATCCTCCTTTCCGCTTCCATATGCCCTACAAAAACAATTTTCAGATCACAGTTGCAGTTGTTATTAATACTCATGAAATTGATTTAAGAAAACAATTGCTAGATATTAACCTACTTGTAGCACATAGGACGAGGGCACCGTTCATCTTCACATTTGTATATCTTTGCATTTGCATATCCAAGCTTGATAGTAATATTACGCTCCAACTCATTCTTAAAACGAACAGTCTGCAGAACAAACACAAAGCACTTAAGGCACAATGAGTTACATTACTAGACACCAAAATTCAACAGCAACACTAGTGACTTTACACAAGGCACTAATCACCTGAACGCCAGATATTGCTTTCACAACTGTTGACTTCCCATGTGCCACATGCCCTATGGTGCCTGATAAATTGAAACCCAAATCAAAGTTTTGATCAATTAAGACAGGAGCAACAACTAGGAGATAAAATAACCATAACTATTTGCACTAGAACAATACATGCTACAAGTAGACGATCACAACAGAGTTTGAACATTACCAATATTTATAGTAGCCTGGCGAGATATAACTTCGGGAGAGAGTGGATGCAACTTTGTTACATCCAGTTTACTTAAGTCTTGTTCCATCAAACCTTTTCTCGACATTGTGGCTGCTCCTAATAAAAGTCTTTCTGCTACAATGTGACCTGTAACCAGAACGCATCCAAAGAAAGGAAATTATTTCGCTTAATCCAGAAATAGTATAAAGAACGTTCCATAAACCTAAGAAATCAAATTGAGATCATGTTTGGTGTATAGGATGATAGATAGGATAGGATGATAATTATCCTATACCATGTTTGGTTTGTATTTAAAGAAAGGAATAGGATTAAAAAGGACATTAATTATCCTCTTGGCATAGGATGATTCAATCCTCCTAAAGTGAAGGGGATATTTTTAATCCATGGGATTAAACTTACATGTCATATTATACCCTTAAAAATTACATTAATAATTTAAATTATATAACTTCGAAGATGTATAATTTTGACAAATAAATAAAATTATCCTATCTTAAACTTAGCACACATCAAACATAACATTGGATGACATTATTTAATTTAATCCTATTTATAATATCATTTTATACTATCCTTTTACAATTTTGTGCACTAAACACACCTAAAATCCAATAAATTACAGAACAGAATCCTTCAAAGGTCGGTTCCAACAACCTACGAAGCATAAATACGACAAGAAATCTAAGCCTCAAATGAAAGAGAGGAAATCTTTGGATTTGAAAGAGAAGAAGGGCAATTTTGGTAACGAGAATAATTCTGATTACTTAGTTCCTAATTCACTGCAAAAAAAACCCTAATTTCAATAAAACCCCAATGCTCGAATTTAAGTTGAATTAAACTTCAACCGTCAAAATCAAAATAAAAAAAAAATTCTCCGAAAAAAAAAATAAAAGAGAAACGATGAAGCCACGATGCATTAAAAATATTAATCAAATAATACCAAATTTGAACAGACACAAGTAAATATAGAAAACTCAAAAAAAAAAAGAAAAAAAAAGCAAAAAAATAGAAAATAATGAAACGAACCTGATAGGTGAAGAGAGTTGGTCGAGGTTTTCACTCAGTTTGCAGAAAGAAAACGCAGCGTTTTTTGGGAGAGAAAAAGAAGCGCCGTAGCTTGGGAAGTGATATTTATAGGAAAATAAATCAGGGGTGTTTTTGTCAATTCAGTATAGTTGAGTTGGTTGGCCTAGATGGGTTTGGGCTTTGTTTATTCATTATTTTCCTGCCAATAATTTTTATTATTGTTAATCGATTAAAGCTGTCAAAACTGATCCGAAATTAAAAAATTCTTTTAATTTATCCGAATTTAAATATGATTAAATGAATATAACTTAAATTATTTTAATTTTAAAATCGAATAATTTAAATTTAAAATAATTTACACATGATAATTTAAACTCAAAAAATTTAAAAATAAAATTTTAATAAATAAGATCGTTTATTTGTCATTTATACTTTCAATTATTTAATTTTTTTAAAAAAATAATAAAAACATTTTTCGATTCTTAGCTTACATTAAAATAATTTTCATTAAAGATTCTTTAAAAGAATCAATAAAATTTTTTTGAGAAATTCAATTAATAACTTTATAAAGTAGTTTCATTCATAACTTATTAATTATTAATTGTGTTCTTCCTTTTTTTCTTATAAAAAAAATTGTGTTTTTCCTCTTTTATTGTCACACAATATATAATACATACATATACGCGTGCACACACATATATATATATATATATATATCTATCTTACGTTCAAGAGGTTGATGCATATTAAGAAATATTTAATTAATTGCATCTCCAAACTTCAAAGGCTAAAATTTAACAGAAAGAGAAGCAAAAGGAAATTGGGATGGCTCTATCAATCTCGGGAAAAACTTAAAAAAAAAAAATCTACATGGAAGGAGGAATATAGCTATGAATGATCCAAATATATATACATATTTTGGATTTATTCAGGGGTTGCAGTTGCACCACCTGCTTTATGATCACCAAAGATTCTTTGCCTGAAATCTGAGACCATAAGAGGCAGTCCTTTGCGGAGGGACACCGTTGGCTCCCAACCAAGAAGCTGTTTAGCCTTTGAAATGTCAGGTTTTCTTTTATGTGGATCATCCTCTGTGTTTGGCCTGAATTCTATCTTTGCATTTGGATCAATTGTTTCCTGTACCACCTGCAGCAAAACACAAAATTAATCCTTAATAATGATTTAAATCCAAAATGATTCAAATTTCTTCAAAAACAGTTGACTACGTAATACTTCTTCAGGATCTACTCTTCCTAAAGGTATTTCTGACTTAAATCTTGCAATTGACAATATGGAATAGAAGGGACAGCAAATTTAGTTTGGTTTCTATAAAAATAACGGTAGTCTTGATCCTTGATCACCATTCTCCCCTTTACAGGTGATTGAATTGGTCAAGAACTAGTTTAAAATTACACATCAAACTCATCGAAGTAGAATATATAGTCCAAAATGATGATTGATGATAAGAAGCAAGTGCATTTTGGATTGAAATTTAGACATTTTCATTGATTTACCTCAGCAAGTTCAAGCATGGTGAATTCACCAGGGTTTCCAAGATTGAAAGGACCCACGTGATCGCCTTCCATCAATCGCATTAGACCCTCCACCTGTGTTATTTGTGCATATACAACAGAACATTGCTCATCAGAGTCTTGTTTCTTGACCAGTAATTTTTGTACGGTTTATAATTTAGTGGACAAAACTGTAGAAGTCTGCCCCGCACTCTCGCCACCAACCTTTTTTTTCGTTTATTTATGTGATATAAAATATTGATAATTCGTGTATTCATATCATATTTTATATAAAATTATATGTTATAATTTGTGTTAATATGTAAATATGAAATATATTTTTTAGGTTTTGTTGAACTTATTTATAATTTTTGTTAAAATTTTAAAGTATATCATTTTTGTATCTTTTGTTTACCAGGAACCTAAGTAGGCCATCTGGCCGTGTGATCATTTGATTCATTAATGCCTTTATGTAAACAGGATACTGAATATTAACCCATGATGATAAATGTGGCATGAGATAAAGTTTACCAGGTCTGAAACATATTGGAAACTCCTGGTTTGCTTTCCATCACCATAGACAGTCAATGGCTCTTTCCTCAATGCCTGGGCCACAAAGTTGCTGACAACACGGCCATCATCGATGCACATACGTGGTCCATAAGTGTTAAAAATCCGAGCAATCCTCACCTGATGAATGAACAGCTTACAGATTATTGTGTTTCCTTCCATTACAATTCTAGGGCATATGAAGCAAGCGAGAACAGTGAAAATGAAAGATGAAATGCAGTCAAATATAATGCAATACAACCTCTATGCCATGGCCTCTATGATAGTCCATCGTCAAGGTCTCTGCTGTCCGTTTGCCCTCATCGTAGCAACTCCTTACACCTGCCGGCGTATCAAGATGTGTTGTTAATAAACCATTTATAAGAAAACAAAATTTCATATTCAGAGTTCTTTGTCACGATTTTATAGAATTAAAGTCCACCATTAACAACATTTAAAGGATCATGAATGTTCATTAAACAGTTATATCAATTCATAAATATAAGGTCCGAGTGAGTTTCTTATGGTATGCTACTATGAACTAACCAATAGGATTGACATTGCCCCAATAGGTCTCAACCTGGGGATGCTGCAGAGGATCACCATAGACCTCACTGGTGCTTGTTAGCAAGAATCGGGCACCGACTCTTTTTGCAAGCCCTAGCATGTTCAATGTCCCCACCACATTGGTCTTGTGGATCCATATCCCCCAATCAAATCAAGGATTCCAAATTACACCACAGACAGAAAGAAGATACAGATACATCTTTTTGTTATGTCAAATGAAGAAACTGACAATAAAAAAAAGGTAAATTAGAACTTTGACAAAGAAAACATAAACCAAAGATTCATATCTTTTGGAAAAATGAAAAGATATGTAGAACAAAAATGTAAATTTTTAAAAATATATAGTTATTTTCTAAATTTCATTACTAAATGACACAAGCTACGTGTCTTTTCAAAATAAAACAACATTATGCTAAAATTTGGTTATTAATTTCTATATTACTTGATATGTGTCCAAAAATGATAAGGGATACCTTATTATTATATTTTTAATTATATATTTGAAAAGTCAAACCTCCATATTTATCAGTCTTGGATATGTACTTAATATAATTATTTTAAGAAAAATGAAGAGTCGAAGCAACATGGATTAAATTTTTACAAATGAAAGCAACATGTACTTATGTTATTTTGTCATCCTACGTCTTCTTTGCAACCAAACTAAATAACTAATTATGTGACAAAGATTAAAAAAAAAAAAAGGATATAATGGTCTTGACAGGATTGAACTTGTAATGAACAGGGGAAGCAGGGCAAGCCAAGTGATAGATCTGATCAACTTCCAAGAGAAGAGGTTCAACAACATCATGCCTGATGAGCTCAAACCTAGGATCACCAAAATGGTGCATCAAATTCTCTTTCCTTCCTGTGAAGAAATTATCAACCACGACCACACTATCACCTCTTCCTATCAATCGGTCCACAAGGTGGCTTCCCACGAACCCAGCTCCACCAGTGACAACAATCCTCAAGCTCTTCCTTTTCACTACCAATGGCACCTTGCCAGAAACACTTCTGCGTCGTAACGCTTCGGGGTACACTTCATAGAGGACTCTCCGTGTCACACGACTGGATTCGGATGCCAAAACATGGTTTGAAATTATACCATGACTAGGTTCTTGTGATGGTGACACAGGAAACGAATTGAAAAACAGTGCAGCTATGACAATACCGACAAGAACAAAGACAAAACGTTGCTTCTGAAGCATGTAACGAAATGGGGTTGTCGAGTTTTTGACGAGGCTAGAAGGTTTATTTCGTGACGTGAGAGCTGGTAACTCTGTTGAGCTTGTTTGGTTCCTATGAATCAGTTCGGATGTCATTTTTGCTATAGAAGGTGCTGGAGGAAAACGTTAACAGTTTTTTCCTTAGAGAGAATGGGATGAGAGAAGCTTTGATTTGGAAATTTTTGAATGTTTCCAAAGTGAAAAACGAGAGCTTTGAGGAGAGAGTGAGCAGCTGTTAGAAGTGACCGGTACAGTTGGGTTCATGCATGAAATTGCGCTGCATAATCGCTCCAAGGTTTGTGGTCGGTGCAGCTTTATGATTTTTATGATATTTTAAAGCTTGTTTGCTTAGTTATATGCCATTGCTTTTGTTTCGCAATTACATAAAATGGCATTACCAATGTTTTATTTAATAAATATTTTTTTACAAAAGAGGTTGCACCTTAAAATAAGGAAGAAATTATAAATATTGAAATTTGAATATGTATTTAATGACACCTTGAATTAAATTTTGAGTTTTATTTAATATGTTTTTACAGACTGAAAATTATTACTGGTGTTTTGACAGCAATGCAATGCTATTTTCAGCCTTAAAAATTTCCTTCAAACATGCCAATAAGAAGCCTGGTCTTACTAACAACTAAAATAGTTAATAGGTCAATATGAACGGAAACTTAGTTAAATTGATTCATACAGTTATTTTTAAAAAAGAACATCTAACAATTATTTCATCACATGAGTTAATCACAGTATTAAAATTTTAATAGTCCATCTTCATCTCTAACAATGAAAAAGTTCTGGTCTGACAAATTTGATTCCATAAAAATTACCAAATTTTTATGTAATTTAATCACAGTTACAAATTTCAATAGAAATCAAACTCTTCATGTTAGGATCAGGGAGAGAACTTTCTCCGTTCACTTTCAGACAGCCAGCAATGATTTTTGAATATGATAATCTTTCCTGAACATCAAAATAGGGTCAATGAACCGACAAACTTTTATCTCTTAAGCAAAGACATTTTTTGACAAAACCAGCTTCTCATTTAGTTTGATGAGAATACAAGTAACTTAACAGCAATTTCTCCAAGCCATGCTTTGGTTCAGACAAACATTTTGGAATCAGATATCGACATTTTGATAGCCTTCAATTTGCCTTCTCGAAAACATTGTACAAAACTAGGATGGGTTACCAAGCAGACAGACAAAGGTGTACCTAGAACCGGCGGATATCCTTGGGTGGTTTGAAGTTGACAGGATGAGTTTGTTCAGTTGCGGTTTCATCTTCTTTCCACATTTTAATTGTCTTGTCTGCTTCACAGCTAATCAATCTTGTACCAGTTACATCATAAGAGAGAGCATAGATACCGGCTTCACTATCCAACGAGCCTGTAATAAAGCACTCATTCTATTAATCATCTTCCCACTGGACAATCAACAACAACAAGCTGAAAAAGAATCCGGAAAAACATACCAGGCTGTACAATTGTCTGAGCTTGCTGGAAATTGTGACCACTCCTCCAATCCCAAAACCACAAACTCCCATTGTCACCTTCAATAATTTGCATGGGTAAAAGATTAGAAGCCTTACTTGCATATTTAGAGCAAACAAAGAGGCATTTACACGATAAAATTCACCAAGACAAAATTATTTTGAAATGAAAACAAAAATTAGAAGCACCTCCAGTAGCCATTACTCCATCCTCATTGACAGCCATGGTATTAATTATAGTCTTTTGCTGAGAGCTGCTCCAGAAACACAAACAATGATACTATGTTAGTCATTAAAAATACAAACAAACACACATCTAGAATTACAGCAAGGAAGTAAAAGGGCTATCACTTACAGCATATTGTGTAAGAACTCTCCCTTTGGAAGACTGAATTTCTTAATGTTGTCAGCTGATGCAGATGCAAAAGAATGCCTGATACAGAAAAGTTGAGAAACATTTAAGAGCAGAGAATAGCAACATAAATTCAGCCATAGTTTCATTTTTCACATAAATTAATAAATAGGATGTAGGGGCACACACTCTTTAGGATGTGGAGCCATTGCTCGCACAGACTTCTTGTGGTGTGTTAGAGTTGACATCGTTTTTCCTGGACATTCAACAACCAATATTGTAACAAATGGAACAAAAGATGAGAAATAAAGAAACAAAAAAGAAAATGTCACATATAAGTTTAATTTACCATATCTAAGGTCCCAGAATTTTATGGTTGTATCATGGGAGCCTGTAACAACTTGTGGATCCTGTAAGATGAAATGCATAAGTTCAATTAAAAGATAATCCATCAGCCCAAAACACAAATACATAATAAAGTTGAATAAAAGAAACTTGAAATCAAATTTTCTGCAAACATGTAAGGCAAAAATTTAACAATTTAAGAATTTCTCGTATTAAACAATTGCAAAGGAAAAAAAGATATTTGTACCGTTGGTCGAGTAAAAACTGAGCAAACAGTGTTATCATGCCCAGACAATGCAAAAATTTGCATCTTGGTGCGAATATCCCATACCTGAAAATCGTTGTTGTATCAGATATAAAATTGATTTCATGACTCTAAAATCAGCAAAAACCATAAAAACCCAACAACAAAAGCCACTAAAATCAACTTGTATTAAAAACGAAAATTTATAAGTAGTTTCTATATGTCGAAAATTTTCATACCCGGCAGACAGAATCACGTCCTCCAGTTAGCAAAATGTCAATAGTGGGATGAAGAGCCAAGCAATAAACACCACTTAGGTGACCATGATAAGACCGGATAACCTATAGAGCAATTCATAAGTTTCAATAACAAGAATGATTTCAACAGTTATAGGGGCTAAAAGATTCTTCTGAAGATCCAAAGCAATAAGTTTATGCAGTTCTTACCTTGTTCTGTTCAAGGTCCCAGCATTTAACTTGCTTATCATCACCAGCAGAGAACATGTATGTGTGTTTGCTACTGACAGCGAGGCCTGTGAATAAAATATAAATTTCAAATGATTCTAAATCCATGATTGATAATCATCATCCACAGCATGTTTAGCCAGTAAAAACTATTCACACCTGAGAAAATTTCTTAAAACAAACCTCGTATCTGTTCAATGTGTCCAGTTAGTGTGAGTTTTAGCCTTCCACTTGCTACATCCCATATCTAACATGCCAAAATTAAGGCAAGGAAAAGACAAAAGTCATTTTCAACAAGTAATGACTAAATTTTCAAATAACTATCCATTTTATGGATCTCAAATACTAGCAGAAGAAAAAGAAAGAGAGAAAGAGAAAGAATAGATAACTTCCAATCGCTTAATTATATACCTTGATTGTACGGTCTGCAGAACCAGTACAAAACCAGTTATTACTTGGATCAAATGCTACAGATCTCACCCATCCCAAATGTCCACTGATGACCTGCATTACCCATTTAAACATGTCAAGTAATCTATAGGAACCGGAATGTAAAGAAGCAGCCATGAAAGTTGTTCAACAGAAGGAATACAACAAATGAGATAGACTGTATCTAGTGAATAATACTCTCAATGTAGCTTATAAACATGTTTATTAAAAGACTAGGACACACATATCAACATGATGGACAAGTAACCCAATGGAAGAGAAGGAAGGTGTCCAAAAGTGCTTGTGGGTACCTGTGCCCCCAAGGGGAAATAAAAGGAGAGAGAGAACAATTCTATTCTATTGCATGTGACCATGAAATCAACAACAAATTCAACAGACATTTCTATCAGCCACCTTGTCATAAAGAAAGAGATTCTCACCCTGTAGTTCTTCCATGGACGATGCCACATGGGACGTGGCCATTTGCTTGGGATTCTTTCTATTATTGCAGAGGTTGTTGACCTATCACATGAAGGAAACCATAAAGCTTCAATGTCCTATATTCGCAGGATATGAGTGGCACGCCATAACAGAACGGAACTTAAATGGTCTCACCAATGTGCAATTCACTTATAAATCTTATGACCAAATAAATACTTTCATATGCACAAGTCACAACATATCTGTGCACATTCACCTATAAAGCTTGCTGCATGCCTAAATACTGCAAATGAAAGATACATCAAATGATAGGTCTAATTGCATGAGAAGATGAATTTTCATATATGGGAGCATGTAAGCAATTAAAAATAGACCACCATGGGAAAGAAATGTATTAAGGCAAAATAACAATCAAATATAGCACAACTTCTAAAATTATCAAGGAGCCAGAAGACACATAATAGGGAGAGAGTGAGAAGACCTTTCCGAAAAGGGTGCAGAAGAAGAAATCATGGCAGTGCTTTTGCCTGTAGTACCAACATCATTTCTGGAAAGAGGAAAGAAAGATAAAAACAATTAGTCACACGACTTAGTAACACAGTTTCTTTTACATAACAGAAACAGGTTCCAAAAGAACAAAGATGCAAAGGCCTATATATCTCAGGATCAATCCTATTTAACATTAAAATTAAAACCCACATCTGCCATTTCATTGGGGAAGACAGTACCAGAATCAGCATATAAAAAATTTAGAGCAAGAGAACTCACTGCCCCTTTGGTTGCAAAGATGGACCAACAACTAAAGCATTTTGAGCCCCTTCCTTTTGTGAACCCCTAGAATCTGCTGAACCTGCTCCATTTACAATTACAGTTACACAAATCTCAGCATAGGCAACAAGCTACTAAAATATCTAACAATCATTAGGTAGCAAGTTGCTCAGATACAAACCAAGAAACTTAATTGAACAAATTATCAAGCTAAAAGCCTTCATTCTATTCAATCAAATAAGAATATTACCCGTAAGGGCAAGCGCATTCGAAGGCACCGAGCCTTGATTCCCGGTATCAGCTGCATCGGAATTAACTTGCCTCGAAGGTTGACCCTGGGCGCCTTTAATTCCACCATACTCAACATTTATCTAACAAATTTAAATTAAAATCAACAATCCATTTATAATCCAAAGAACAATCCCCATTACAATAATACCAATAATAAACCTAGTATTCAAGCAAATCAGACTAACCTTGTGGCTCATGCGAATTTTTTTGCTGCAATCAACAAACAAAAAACTTAGTTTTCAAGTAGGGTTTGACGAAATTTCAGTAAACAAAAAAAAAAAGATTGCAAATTTTTTTATTCTGAAGACAAAAGATGAAACCTTTCGTGGTCAGGAGCAGCGAATTGTCCATGGATAGGGCTAAAGAGATCGAGTGCGCGCTTTAGGGATTTAAGGCTGAGCTTCTTCAATGACTGTGGCTCTACTGGCTCCATCTCCAGCGTGGCTCCTGGCATCTTCTCCCGATTTGGGATTAGGGTTTTAGGTTGGATTGAAACGAAATTGGAATGCTTAAACCCTGATTCGATTTTTTATTAAAATGAGAGAGCGCTGGCCAGCGACGAGTAAAGCAGCAAAAAGAAGTGCCAACCTGTTCAACCTTTAAAGCCCAAACTAACGTAATAAATTTGTTCATAAGTTTTTTTTTTTTTTTTTAATAATAATTACTAAAATAAATCCTCATTTTCCTTTAAAAAATTTTTTAATAAAGAAAAGTCAATATATTTTTATGATAAAGTTCATAACTTAATACATGATAATTTAAAATACGTTACAATCATAAGATATAAATATAATATAAAAATAAAATACGAAAGTGATATGATTTAAAATTTTAGTAATAATTGTATATAAGTTTAATAAAATTAAAAAACATTTTTTATGTTTTCTTATTAATAGAAATTATGATATATAATATTTGTATAAAATATAATATGAATATATAAATTTTAATATTTAATATTATATAAATACTCGCATCAAATTAACTTATTTAGACGTTTTTTTTTATTGAACTTGTCCACGGTGTTTTTTAAATTTAATTTTTTTAAAGTGATTTTAAAGGGTATTCTTTCACATTGATAAATGTATGAAAAAATTCATTTTTTAACCGAATGGACTAACTCATGTGGGTAATGCTCAATTTGATGCTTAATTTGGTTTATATTGTTTTGAGATTTGATGCTTTGGAACTGCAAGGAGAAAGGGAATATACAGTGAAATATATATGATATGCATTAATTAATTCTTTGATCTCCATATGTGATATAAACAATGGCATTCTTTGGCTACTATGATTACATAACATTACTGTACATAAATGACATTCTTTGGATTGATAACAATGGTATGACAGCTCAAATCCTCTTTTCTATGTATATTTTCTATGCCAGAGCTTTTGAGATATTGGTTCTCAGCTAGAGGGGGATCCAGCCCTGTTCATAAAAGGGATTTGGAAATTAGAGTAAAAACATCAGGCTTGGATACAGAATCTGGATTGATAGAATCTGAAAGTTTGATGATTTGGATTAAAATTTTAAGATTTCAAACCTTGATTAGCCCTGATTCTGTACCACATAGTACAATGTCATTGGCAGTGATGAGGCTTGTTATCCTACTTCCTGCTGATATTCTCCCCACTTTCTGTTGTGTTCCTCTCAACCAAATCTGTTCACAAAAAGGTACAATAAGTAGTAATGAAATGTGAAAACAAATTTTTTGTATGTTGATCCTAATCATGTACCTGAAGACTGTTTGCTGATGAGCTGCAATTTAAGTATATGAAATCTTCCACTATTTCCATTGCCAGTATGTTTGCTCCTTTCTCTGGTGCCATTGACATTTGGGGCTCCGAGTTTCTTCTCCATTCCTGCACCATAGTCTTTAAATCATATCTAGGCTCTTGTTCAGTGTACCGGTTTTTCGATATATGAAGTATTTAGTTGTTACCCTGATATTGGAACCTTCAACCATTGAACTTGCACAGTAAAGCCAGTCTCTGTACACGATGATTGAATTGATGGGCTTGCTATGCATTCTCCATTTTTTTACTGGTGCTTTGATCTCCCTCTCATGGTTACTAGCTATAGATATCTCCTGGGAAGAGTGATTTATGTAACTAGAGGTTTCAATTGCTTCATAAATTTGTATCAAATTTGAAGGTCCTTTATCTAACCTGAATGCTTGAATCCATGCAGCCTGCATAAATCCTTCCCCGAACCACCCTCATGCACTTCACACTTTTGCTTTTGCAGATACCATTAACTGTTCTTAATGAATCAAAAACCTGCAGAAGAAGAAAGAATTAAAGAATTGTATCTCTCAAATAGTCCATATTTGTTAGCTGTTCTTATTTTTTATCACTTGTTACCTTAATACGATGGCCTTGGGTGATCACAAATATCATTTGCCCATATGTTTCTAACTTTTGAATTGGTTCCTTTGTTGCTATAACTTCAATGCACTGCAATTTCTTTTGGACCATCTGCCAAACCTGACAAAGGAATGTGGTGCATTTTGAGAATAATTAGTAACCGTCCATGTAAATAGTAGAAAACAAGAAGGACAAGGGGTTTAACATACCTTAATTGTCTTATCAGCAGATCCACTTAAAAGGCTCTCCCCTGGTTCAAAGAGGGAAAAGCATGTTACTGCCTTCTTGTGCTCCTTCACATCCCATAAAAGCGTGGCTGATCGCGATCTGACATCCCATACCTATTCAATCAACCCCTTCTGGTGATTATGTTGGCTCCATATTAATTCTTTAGTTAACTTTGAATCACCAGAAAAGTGCTTTTTGTTGGAGCTGGTGGCCATACCTTTATTGAACCATCAGAGTATCCACCATAAAGCATTCCCTTGTAGTAGATGAGGGCTGTTACAGCTCCACTGTATTTGTGACTTGCCTCCAGAATTTGTGTGTGAACGCAAGAAATACGCTGCTCTCGCCATTGAAAGGAGAGGGTTAGAGTTAGATAAATAGATGAACATCCATGGTTGATGTTTGCTAAGGATACCAAACTAACAGTTTCTTTTCTGATCCTACTGTTACATTTAATAGTCCATTTTATTGTTTAGATGGCATGATTACACAGTTATGCCTTAAGATTTCCTCAAGAACACCAACCGATCTATTGGACAGGTAGAAGTCAGCTACTCTATGTAGTTCCTCCGCCATCCAGATTACATTTGAAAATCGTCTCAGTGATTCTCGTACTCCCTCCGAAAAGTGAATTAGTTTCTTCATCCCTGAAGAAAGAAAATGCATCTAAATAGATCAACATGATTGTATACTTCTCCCTCACCTACCGTGTCACTTGCGATTGCGTGAAGATTTATTGTGATCTTGATTCATATTGGATATTGAATATTGATTTATCATATTCATGGTGTGGAGCTAATTTCAATTTTTTTCTACTAATCTTTTCTGCTATTTGCTTAATGAAATTGTTGTTGTTTACCTTTTCCAGAAGCATAGTTATAGATGCATAGGCATGCTAGAAGTCTTTCTTCAAGGTCCACTCCAGGATGCAAAAATTTCTCAACTTCACCGAGTAAGATCTCACATGCTGAATATCTAAGGCTATTTGGACTTTTGGAAATTTCACAACCGAGCCATGCAATGGTTGTGAGAGAATCCCGAGCAACGGTCTTTATCTCACTCTTTAGTCCTTTTTGTAAAGCAACGAATGCCGGTTTCCCAAATTCACAGATGCTTCTTGCAATCTTGCTGCACCATAAATCAATTCCTGCATCCTGCAAGTTGAACATTTGTCATCAAATTTAAATATATTCACCTCCTTGGCACCAATAATCACATCTGATAGTTATAAGCTACACTGCATTCTCCTTTTAGCATCTTACCTGCAGGCTCTGGTCCAACCAATCAAAGTTTCTTATCATGTTTCGATGATACAAGGAGGTTAAACCTGCCTTTTTCACTAGCCATGCTACTGTATATGATTCCCCTGTCCAAGAATAAGTTCCACCAATATTTGAAAGAATGAATGCTGACAATAGCTGTGAATTTGAGCTTTCTTCAGATGCTATTGACTGAAGGAGGACCTTCATAGCCTCTTCTCTGAACATGCTTTTACCAGTTGAGTTTTCCTGCAAAGATTTGTTAAATGGCTATGTCAGTTAAGGAATATTAGTCTGGTTTTATCTGATCTTATAGTACCTGGCCATGATAGAAACAACATTACCTAGTTGAAATGTGAGATAGTTTTTTATTCTACTTGTATCTATCCAATATTTTACCTCAAAAGTTGTCCTTCCTAGAAAATAATTAGTCATTTTAAAGAATAGGTTTGTAATGCTGAGAGTTGAGTCTATCAGATAAGTGAGGATACGAATAATTAGTCCGATTTTGAAACAAACACGATTAAGACTTTTTTATAAAAGATAGACAAATTATGTCAGGAGTACAGATGGATCAACATTCATTTTATTACATTCTAAACAAGTTTGAGTGAAGTCACTTTATTGGTACATGATCTACATTTATTCGCCTGAAAATTTAAGTTATCCAATTTCAATTGTGCTAAAAAATAGGACTAAAAATATCAGCCGTGTCAATGACTTTACCAGTGTGTCTAATTGAAGCAACAAATTTGCTGCCAGAAGTTGGTAGTCAGGTGGCAATTGGCAAACACAAGTCATTAATATGTCCATAATATTGATGCCTCCATTCTGTATCTGCTGCAATAGGCTAATGGCTGATGACCTGAAAAAGGAAAATGTAGTTACAGAAATCTGAGAATGCCCTCTTAGACAAGTTGCTGCTCTAATAAATTCTTCTGTTTAATGTCTGTACAAATTGATGATAAGCATGTGATTCTGTGCTTTCATATATAATATATAACTATAAATAATCTAGTTGTATACATTTAGACAAAGTTAGTGTTAGCTACATGTGGTTATACTGTCATGTCTTCTATTCCATCCTACCAAAGTTTACAGATTACATATAACTATCAAAGTAATTGCTCATACCGTGGAATGCGAAGGATCTCGTGAAAAAATTCAAGTGCCATGAACCATGCACGCTTCTCTTTACTTTGTAGCAAATTGATAAATGGAGCCACTGGAATAACTTGAGATATATGTTTTCTGCACTGTCCATCAAACTGCATACACTTTACAAGAATTGTAGCCAAAGAAATATGTTCTTCCAAGCTATGATTCCTTGCAACATCTAGGAGTCCAGATAGGACACGAGGAGAGTTTATTGCTGCTAAGTGCATGTTATTTGTAGCATAGTCAAATGCAGTTACTAGTACTTCAATAATCATCAGTGATGCTGCAGGCGGTGTCAGCATAAGTGACTTTTGTAGCATACATCTATAACTGTTTGAGGTGCAAATTACCTCCACAAGTGTCGGTAAGAGCTCTAAAGTCTTTATTTCCGCAGGAGATGGCCTTATTAAATATATAAGGGTAGCTGCCTCATGCACATTGTGTTTTAGGGCCCTTGCTAGATCAGTCAATTGTAAACCCTTCCTCTTGATATCCTCTATGAGTGATATGTTTGCTGAAATGATGGTTGTTAGTACAGTAACTGATGCTCTTATCACTGTTTCCTCTTTGGAAGTTGAAACAGCTATCAGCAGTTGGTCCAGAATCACATCCTTTAACATTGTGTACTTCACGCCTTGTTTATTGTTCAACATTCTGTAAATAGCTATGACTTCAACAGCATAATCTTTGCCCGATTTCTCAAATTCATCTGACAAACATAGTTTTGAAACTGCATTCTCGATTATCTCCAATAATTCACTCTTAGAATCTCTTCTCAAAGATAGGCATAATTCACTATACTTTCCCCAGCAATGTGAGTCCAGCTTCTCCTTTGCAGCAGTCATTTCTTGCTTCATCTGAATCAAGCTTTTGCTCCGACGATAGGTTGGTTCTATCTGTTCAAAGAGCCGGATCCTTTGTGGCTCTAATTGTCTCTGAGCATCTTCTACATGGTGAAATGTGTTTCCTTTCTTGTCTCCAATTTCTAACATGGATAGATTTAAATCATTGAAAGATCTGAACAATCTCTCAGGAAAATATTTGGCAATGTTTGCTTGATTGACATCTTCCTGTGGTGGACACTCATCCTCAGGAACTTGAGGAAACATTATTGCTTTGTACTCTTGGCCTAGTGTACCATTAGGAGGTTGCAGCGTCCTGTGTAGGTCAGCACAATTGAATTGGCAGATATCAGAAAAAATATACATTTTGATCATCTGTAGAAGGCTTAGCATTGAAAATAAAATGTATTATAAATGTCTACCGAACTGATCATAACTTGCTTGTTCTTGGTCATCAGCATCTATTTTTGCAGTATTAAACAAGGTTGTACTGTCCTCCATGTTCTCCTGATTCAGGCAGAGGATAGTGAGAATTATGTGATTATGCAATTGAAGTTCTTGAACAATTACTGGAATTCAAGCCAAAGGGAAAATGGGATGGGAAAAATGGGAAACAAGAATAGGTAATTAGGCATGTATCCAGCATTGATAATGTCGTTTGAAAGATCACCTCCAAATCATTTGCATCCTCAAAATCGGTATAGCCTGAGTTTACTGAAGTTGGTGTATCTGACTGGGATTCCTTCAGCACATCCTGCAGGCGTTTGATACTTTGGTTCCTGTATAGCTGCATGCTTTGAAGTTTCAACCTTGGAATGTGATCCCAGTCCTTTATAGCTTTTCTATGAACTTGACTGTCTTTATCTTTTCTGGATGCCTGGGTTTCGTATGTCATGCTCCTAGTTATATCTTCTCGAGGATCAAGTGGATGAACCTTCTCAAACTGTATTAGTTTTTACCAGACAAGAAAACAAAATTTGGTCAGTCCAAGATATATGTTCTGCTTTACATGGTTAATATATGTAATTTTAGAACTTGGTTTCAGAACTCAGTTGTTGCATCAGTATATGATAAGAAATCTGAATCTCTTCTTCTGAGACCTAAATTGAGTCTGATTGGAAGCTCGCAATAAACAAAGGCATGGTCGCATACCTTAAAATTCGTCTGCCCTCTATATCGGTGCTCAGCTGACGTTGAAGATTCTGTGCTGCTGGCTACCTCATGGCTGCTTATATATTAACAGAATAATAATGAGATGTGAAAGGAACATTATAGTCTTAATAATCCTGTTTTTACAAGTAATCCAATTCTAAGTGAATTTTTTACTTTCATCTTAAAAGGAAAAACATTAATGACGATGATTAATTAATGGATATTCATGTTATTCATGCTGAGTTCTAGCAAAAACGAATATCAGGTAAGTTTCCAGGCTACTGCCGATATCTAGTGTTAACTAGACAGCATGAAGCACAAAACTGAATAGCAGTTTAAGTGGAGTCCTTCCTGTGCTGATTGAATCATTACTCTTATCAGTTTTCTACAAGCTGAGGACTGAATCATGTTACAAACTTAAAATGGATTGATCATTAGGTTAGTATACGACATTTCCCTATAATGTTATCAAGTATATCATAAGAGAACTTACCTGAAATTCTTTGATTCATAGTCAGAGGACTGAATATCACTGCATCTGTATTGTGGCTGAGTTGTCTCCCCATATAACATGACCTGATAATACATTAACCAATCTCTGTATCTCCTTGCCATCTGCCTTGTCGATGCGCTAAGGTTGTCCCTAGCAAAATCCTTGCTGGAAGCAGATTGCAGTCGTCTCGTTCCACCTATTTCTTCCGTCTCAAACTTGGTGAAGGAAAGGAAAAGGCTTTCGCAGAGTTCTGAGGCGAATTCTTTTCGAACAAGTACTGGTGAGACCAACAGAGCTTGGAGAAAATGCAAAGCAGCCTGCAACTGATCATTCTGCAGATTCTTAACTACCGACAGGTAAAAGTAGGAGCAACAAACCAAAAACTCATTTGAAATTCCAGCAGTGATTCCTTGTTCATCAAGCAAAGCTGGAACCTGAAGCATTTTCTCCGAATTCTTTAGCCGACAAGTTCTCTCTTCTTGCAACTTTGCCTGGAATGCAGCTTCAATGCTGTCAATGCCCCAATATAGATTTGACAGGATCGCATGCTCAGAGAATTCAAAAAACTCCTGCTTTTGGAAATTTAGCCTGGAAGTGCATTTCAATCTCAGAGAATTCCTAGTTTCATTATCGGTTATCAATGCACAAATGTATTGGTTGATTGAATTCACAACTACCCTTATGAATTCAAGGTCTGGTCTATCATGTTCATAAGATGAAGCAAACAAAGGAGGAGAAATGGGAGCCATGAAAGACATCTTAGTTGCTTGAGGAAGGAAAGTTCACAACCGTACAGAAGATAAAGGAAGGGAAAGAGGAAGAGAATGACATAGAAGAGTTGCGGATTGGTGAAGGTTCGTAACAATATCCCGTGACAATTCCAGCCAAATTCCAAACATTTCATGGTCCCTCCATTTTTTTTCCCATAGCTGCTACAGACAAAAAATTGACCGTTGCATCCTTTCGGGAATGGAAAGAAGAGAAAAAAACAAACAAGAAAGAAAACAGGCATTCTTTTGCATTTATCTGTTACTTGTTTTTATCATATCATTTCCAAAATCTGTTTGTTGCTAAACATAATTTAGAAAAGCAAAAGCCCCAATTTTACATAATTATTGACATTGATTGGATTATTAAAATTTGATAATACACGATTTTAGCTGTACTAATAGAGATTACTTGGATTTGATTATACCTTTTTTCTTCATCAGCATTAGCCCTAGTACCATAATTGTACTACGTTCTATATTTTTCTTTGCCTTTTCTCACGGGCCAGGATTCTTCCTGATTCGTGCATTATTGAAATGGGATTATCAATCTGTTCTTAAATATTTAAACACCCTTTAGGCTTAGAGTTTATGTTGCTTCCACTCTTCATTTTCCTTGTACTCGTGTCAAACACATATTCAATGGACATGAGTAAGAAAGTCCAACTCTCCAAATAAATGAAAAAACTTAAAAAAAAAAATTAGGCATATCCATGTTGGACACGTACTTATATATGACACTCACCTTGGAATTCAAATAACATAACTTAGAGTTTGGACATCTAACTTCAAAAAACAGTCTACTGATGTCACCAGAAACCTGAAAACTTTTAAACTTTAGCTTAGTAAAAATGGTAAACTTCAGTATGTAGTTCAACTGTTTTAAGTATAAACTTAGTACTTAATATACCAGATTTATTCTAAGTATTCTAAATCTGTTCACCAAGGACTTTGCAGATGTAAACAAGATGCTATTTTGTCCCTTTACCTTGGTAGAACTTTGGAGGGTGTCAAAATAAAATTGCTTTTACCCTTTTTTTTTTTTCCTTGTATTCAGTTCCAAACTACAGATAGCAGATGTTGACCTCTCAGAAGATTTCACTGCAACATTGGGTTTATCCCATCACTGGTCTGTCGACCATTTGTATTCCTACCATTTACAAATGAAGTGACAATGGAATCATGATAATAGCTTCAATTAATGTTAGATAAATTTCTAACATTTCCTATGATCATTTCTAAGATGATCCCGAATTTCTTTATTGTGGGTCTGATCCAGTTGAGCTAACATAGCAGCTCTGGTAATCTACATTCTACTTTTGTTTGGCTTGATGGAGGCCAACTTTGATAGCATTTATGAGGCTGTCATGAGAGTGACATATTGAGTGTATAGGATAGAACGCTATGACCCTCTAAATTTGTTCTGTATCTCCTGTCAATGTGAAACAATGACAATCACACATACTTTTATTTAACAACAAAAACATCTTGATCTAAATTTTAAAGAAATTTTTGCTGGAAAAAGGAACATCTTCACATGAATACTTAAATGAACATTTGTTAATCTTCCTATGAATTTACCAAAAAATAGTATCTGTTGTGTTGGGTAGCATCAATTAGATCTTTAGTGAAATCTTGTAGCTTTCTTCTGGTTCATTTTGGGAACAAATAAGGCATTGAATCAATGACTGCAAGGCCAAATTTTGATGTAATGCTACCCCTGGTGGACCCCACTTACAGATGGATTAGACCTTTATCTGTCACGGGCTCAATTTTTTTCTTTTATTTCCAAGAACATACAGAGGCGTTTTCAACGTTGGATCCGAATCACATGCATGTAACCCTATCATTATCTAGTTTAATAGAGAAAAAACAGGTAATAGCTTTCTCTTGTGAGGGCTGTGACACACAAAAGAGAATAAAATATCATGGTCATGGGCCAGGCCTACCACATTGTAATTCTTTGGAAATTTTGTCAAATTTAGGATATCTCTCATAAGCTGCAATTGCAAGAGCAAAAAAGCTTTTTGAACTTATACTAAAGCATCACATTTTTAAAATTATAATAATTTCACATGCTTTCTGCAAATTCTTGTCAGCTTTTCCTTATCCTAGTGTTAACTGAAACCCGTAATGGGGTTGCTGATGGAAGGGAACTTAGTTTGCTGCAGGAGCCTGTTGTTCCAACACATTTGAACTTTTCTCAAGCTGCTTTGAGTGGACGGAAAAGGGTGTTATCATGTGCTAGAGATACTAATATTTTAATGGATCGTGAGAAGAATCGTTTGGGTAGTAGCACTTGTTGTTTTCCACAGTTTTGAACTGTGGAACTTGTGGTTGGACATGTGTGTTTGTGCTGAGTTCCGATTTTGGGGTCTTCTTGGAAAGATAAAAAAAAAAAAAAAAAAAAGCATTGAGGTGCAGGAAGTGTTATCGTATTTTGACGCGTAAATCAAAAATTAAGATAAAAAAAAATTGAAAAGTACGAAAAATTAAAAATGAGAACAAAATAAAATTTGAAATGATAATACATGAATATTCATATTTATAAATAATAGAGAGACCAATAAAAGATATCAATGACATAACCAAATTGTTATAATACTAAACATATCAAATTGACTCAAATATTTAAAATACTTCAAGTTGTTTGTTGGCAGCCTCTAATAGAGAAATAAGCACAACGTCTTTTTAACCATTGAATGCCTCAAACAATGTGCTTATGGACTCGTTTGCTGTAAGATGGAAAATGTGCTGATATTCAGAATGATCCTCACAATTATGGTTCTTGTTTTGAAGAATGTCATGGACAGACTTGTTGCATCCTTGCAATGTGTGATTGATTAATAAAGTTAGTGCTTAAAACAATTCTTCCTTCTGTTTTAGTCATGCAGCCTCAATTGTTCACTCTAGCATCTGCCTTGGGTTGGATTATTTCGCTTTTAACTAAGGTTCTTTCTGCTTCCTATTTCCCATCCAAATAATGATTCTACCGAAGCTACTGAAATACATCATTTCGCTGTCTGCTATGTTGCTTCGACTCTGCATTTTATTTTTAAGTACTCGTACGGGTACGGAGATCCGACCTTCTTAATATATATATATATATATATAAACTTAGTATATGATGAATGTATATGTATCGGATACATAACCGGACCTGGATCCAAGTCTCACCCGAAATCCAGGTAGACCGCCATATATGAGAGCTATATGGTTAAAGATTGATTATAAGGTTTCATGATACTGAAATACCTAGCCATCTTCAAACTTCTATGTTGGCTGTTGATCAGATGATAAGTACCTGACACTCATCAGCAGCTATCCAACATGTTATTATAAGAGAAACCTAAGGATTGTGTTTCAGATTCATGGTTCAAAACCGTCAGTAATGGGGTGTGGCCTAAGTTAAAAAAATTAATGTAATCATAGAGGTGATACTGTAAATTAAAAAAGTTTATTTTTTTCCAATTTTTTTCATAAGATCATAGCATAGGAATTAGAAAAAGAAATGTTTCTTTGTGGCATGTGGTGTGGGATCCAATCTAACTGCAATTATTTATTTACTCTGCACCATGTAGTACTAAATTGTCCACTTGCTATTGGCACAGATTGCCCAATTTTGCTCTTTAATTATCATCAAATTATAGATTTTCTTACTCTCATGATCTGCAAATGCTATAAACTCTTCAAATTGTTACCAATTGATCTTATAAAATACCACACAAACTCTGCTAAAAGAGAAGAAATGGAAATGAACACTTGGTCACAATTAGATAGTATTTTTGGTCATTGAAGAAAAGTTTCTCCAATCTTATTATTACTAAGGCTCTATTTAGATCTCACCGAACCTTCAATGAGGTGAGATTTACTGATCTTTTTCACTTCAAACGCATCATTTTTTCATTTGGATTTCATTTTTGAGGTATGATTAATGCCAGTGAGCAAAGTGAAAATTATGTAGTCCTGTCACACTTATTTTTCAATTTTATCCTGATTCTTTTTTTTTTTTTCATTTTTGCATTATAATCATAAGTTTTTAATAATCATTTTTCATTTTTACTTCATCACACATATCTCATCAATACTTTTAATTTTAGTATTATAGTAATTAATTTTATTTCTACAGTTATTTTTAACCTTACCGAAATGGAATTTAAGATAGAAAAGATTATAATTATTCAAATGAAGGCTTAATTGATCTTCTAAACATTGAAACCTTCCTAACTTTACTCAACTAGCAGTGAGGTTCCCACATGCATCTGCATGTAACCTAAGAGTCAAAATACCCTTCAATGGCTTTATTGACTATAGAAACCACCCTTCCAACTTTTCTCATGTATTCTCTTTCGCCATAACATGAAACCAAAATAATGAGCAAGCTGCTGCAGCTATGGTTCTGATACAAAGTAAGCTGAAGAATTATAGTGGCTATGGCTCTGATTAACGGCAGCATTGGACCATAACCCCCTCTCACTGGGCATCCACAGGAGTAGTCTAAGCTATGGGAATATTTGGTTAAATGCTGCTTGTGCCAAGCTATGTTTCCTATACAACTGTAGTACAATGGCAAAGCAGCCATGGGTGAAATGACTTGGAAGCTTTCCACACACGTACGTACGCCGAGTCACCCCGGCAATTGGAAGGAACTATCCTAGCTTTGACTTTGTTTCCACAAAACAAACAACGACTACTCAAATAAGTCTTTGTTTAACCAAGTAGAAAATACTTGGTTACTTCTAACAAAACCCAAAATAAAAAAAAAAAAACAAAGGTGAATGACCCATCTTTCCGTACAATTTCAAGCTTGAATTATGAACCACCCCATGGAGTCGGTGCCCCTACCGGCTTCAAATCCTGCCTACGCGAAAAATTATACTGCTTTTGCTCGTCGTATGCATTTAAGAGGAAAGGAAATATTTAGATGAAATTTAAAATTTTATTTTTAAATATTTTTCATAAGTTTAAATTTTAATTGAAATTTTTTTTTCTTTTCATCGATCTAATTAATTATTGTTAGTAAAATATTTCACATTTGCTATTTTTCAAATTAAAAAAGAAAAAACTTATGGTTCATAAAATATAAATTTAATTTTTTTATATTCATATTTATTTCAAGTTAAATACATATAAAATATAAAAATTATTTTATTATAATTCAATATAAAATATACATTTTTAATTATTATCATATTTATATAAAATTTTATTAAAATTATAGAAGATATCACTTTCGTATTTTTATTGTTTTTCATCATAAATTTAAAATAATTAAAAAAAGTCGAAATCTTACTTTATTGATGAGTGCATGGATGATGGAAGCAGGAGTGCCCAATTAAAAAAATAATGAAAGTCCCATCTTCACACGTACAAACATGGTTGTGAACAGTTGAACTACCCATATTACTTTTTGATCTCCCCCAAGTAAACAAAAAGAAAAACCTAGGTACAACGCGTCGCCCCCACCCTATTTCAGGTTTCGACCTCGCATTTTTCCTTCACTTTCCTTCCTTACAAGCCCAATAAAAACCTTGAAAAGAACCAAAACCAGACCGTACGAAACCACAATGTTTCCAGAAAGACAAGGCGGAGGTGCACCCCATGGAGTAATACTAGCAGTGGTGGTAGGTATCGTGGTGTTAGCTCCATTCCTGTTTGGTGACCAAGGTGAAGCCATAACTGAAGCCATTTCCGAGCTTTTAAGTCCGGTGGGTCTTCTTCTTTTGCCCATCATTCTCCTTCTCACAATCCAGTTCCTTTCCTCGGATCGTGCCTCCTTTGTCTCCACCATTTTCTCGTCCACTGGTGAGCCTGACACTATCCATCGAGTCAGTGGCTCCCCTGTTGGTGTTGCCCTCTTTCTTGTCCTCATCTTGTTCTTGCTTTGGCATCGTGTTTCCATCTTTGGCGGTGGTGATGACTCGGAGGATTGAACTCAGATCACAGTACCGTCGATGATAAATGACAGCTTCGATCTGGGGGGGGGGGGGGTTTCAGTTTTTGTATGCGGTATAGTAAGTAGACTTTGTTTATCATTTTGTATATTTTTGTGATTTTACGTGACTACCCAAGTGATGAAAGGGTGTATCTACGGGGGGATATGAGAAATTGAGAGCATTGTTGTCATTTAAAAATGGAACTATGAAAATTTTAACTAATATTATAGAATCTCACTGTTTAATTATATGCATATAGTTGTTTTTTCTCTGAATAACTGTTAATTATCGGTGCATGTGGTTGTTGTCCGGGCGGTAACACGGTGGTTGCGACGGTGCTGCAGCGATAGCTCAGTCTAAACTCTTTTTTTGTCGTTTTATTGAGGCTCCTTTTTGGACTGACTTTCACTCTTTCGCTTTTCTTGGTCTTGATATCTTTACAAAGAGGCACGTGGGCACGTGCTGCTCCTTTATCAAAGGATGTGACGCCATCATTTGCATTTTTTTAATGATATTATACAAATAATTCCTTGAATGAATAATTTTTTATACATTTAGAATTCACCTAAGAAGACTTCAATCCTTTTATAAGTATATATACATGAAATATTTCAATTTAGTTTTTCTTTTCAAATTTTATCGAAATTAAAAGCATAACCAAAATACCATAATAAAATAAAATGATAAGTCATAATATATTGAAAATTTGATCTTAATTGCATTTTTTTTATTTGTTTATTCCAATTGTTGGTTCAAATAACACCTACCAGTCCACCTCCATCGTCCATGGCCAGCCCTACTTGTCAGTTGTTGGCCCAGGCTTTCTTCTTTTTGCTTAGTTAAAGCAGAAATACTGCAAAAGATTAAGGCCCTATGATATAAGTGGAGAAATCAGATTACAGTGTCAACTACAAGAAAAGATTCCACCCCCCCACCCCCCCCCCCCAAAAAAAAAAAGGGAGAGAAGATTAGGGAACAAGTCAACTAAAAATGGAGGTGGAAATTGGTGTTTAATGCCACATCCATGGGAAAAAGCAAAGGCATTGATTAGTCCCATCCTAAAGTCTTCACAGAGAGTAGCAATATGTAACAAAATTTAAGCAATTCAAACTAAGCAAAGTGAAGAATAAAGAACAATAAATTTTACATAATGCCAACATAATCACATGGAGGATCCAAGGTATGGATCTCAAAAAAAAAAGTATAGAGATCCCTGGAAATCAATAAGAATGAAACAACAAAAAGAAACAATCTTGAAGACCATTACATTATTCGTGCTAACTATCATTTCCTTCTATTGGCACAATAATCATACTAGGTACAAGCAGCAGACTGTAGTATTCACATTACCAAAAGAGAAGCATTATGGCTTGAAGGTGTCCCACAAAGCCTCATTAGCACCTTGGCATACATTGCAATCAGTCCAGAACCATCTTAGCAGATGATCAACTATGGCAAAAGAATGCCCAAAAAATTGTTGTGGGTTCCATGCCCATCAACATAACATCTTGTTGATGATTTTGCAGAATCTAGTCATATTCCCTATTCAATCAGGAAAAAATGGCATATTTAAGTATAATTCAAACTGCAAATTGGTAACATCATATTATATAGCGAGCAAATAAATAAACAGAGATACATGGTTTAAAACACACTTATGTACAATTAGACACTAAAACTACATAATAAAGAAGATACAAGAGCCACAATTTTATAGTTAATATTACATTCATGCAAGTCCAAGACTTTGTAGTTTATTACAGTGAGGAGTTGGCAAATTCTTATTCCAATGGCGCTTCTGGCATTCCATGTGGCAATAGCACCACAGCATATATTTGTAATCCTTAACCACATTGTCCTCGATGTTAGCTCGAGCAGGACTTCCATGGAGAAAGTTCACATCAGAGGCTGATGATTTAACATAAAATTCCACTCCAAATTTCTCGGTTTCCTTAGGAACCTGATAGGAGTAATTCCTAAACAAAGAGTACTCAGGCTCCGAAATGGGCAGAAAAGCAAGCAAGAAAATCAACAAAAATGGCAATATTTGAAGAAGAATCAAGAAATTAGGTCCTCCTGCATTCTGATGGCCACCCATCCCTCTAGTCCCGTAAACATGAGATGCCCTAAACATATCTCCCTGACCAAAAAACGACCTAAATATCTCATCAGGATCAAAATCATCATCAAACAAATCATGGCCATATCTTCTCCTCCTTTGTCTCACATCATGCCACTGATTGTACTCAAATTCATCAACCAAACCAACTTGATCATACTGCCTCCTCAAATCATCATCACTTAAACACTTAAAAGCCTTGCATACTGTCTTAAACGCCTTATCAGAACCTGGAGCCTTATTCTTGTCCGGATGAACTTTCAACAACAACTTCTTATATGCTCTCCTAATCTCATCAACCGAACAAGTCTTTTCTACACCAAGAATCGAATAATAATCCTTGTTTCTCTTAATCTGCCTAATCAACTGAACATGTTCCTCAGTATAACTCCTCTCCCCATCCAAACCCTCATCCAACTTAGACGAACCGCCTTTATTCTCATTACTTGAAACACACTTTTCATCAACAGGAGAAACCGGGGACGACCTGGAATTGAGATTTTTACAAGCAGCCAAAAGTTGGTCAACAGATAATCTATGATTAAGGCGTTGAGCGATTTTAATGAATTTCAATGCACGCTCCGTGTTACCAGAAGCAATTGCTTCTTCAGCAATGTGAACACATCTTAAAGCTTCATCTTTATTACTATCCATAATTTCTTAAAAAAATCCCAAATTTCTCTAGTCCAAACCCTAAATTTCCCAATGAAATTTCACAAGCCTAAATAGAAACAAAATTCCAAATTAATCACCTAAGACACCTAAATTAAAAAGGAAATGGGGATTAGGGAATTAAAAATTCAGCTAAAATGTTTCGAATAAAATAGAAATTTAAATTAAAAAATTAATTATAAATTAAAGATAAATTAAAGAGAGTAAGAAGACTCACCATATCGAAAGTTGGTGTCAGTCCGAAACAGGGCAGAAAGGGGAAAACAGAGAGAAATGGGGTTAATAGAATTGACCCGAAAGAGAGGAATGACCCGGGTTTTGAAATTTATACGTTATGGGAATCGAATGAGACCGCGCCACGTCATTTTCAAAGGTATCAAGTATAAGTAGATATGGCAATCAATAGAGTTGCGATGATTTGATTTTATATTTTAAATATTCAAATTTGGTCCGATTTAATTTTAAAATATTATTTTTTATATTTTTTATAAAATTAAATTCGATTTAATTTGATTTAAAATTAATAAATATTATTTTAATATAAAATTTTATTTGGTAAATATAAATATAAAATTAAATAAATATAAAAAATATATAAATATAAAATTAAATAAATAATAAAAAAATATTATAAATATATTGGATCTAATGGAGTTTACATAAAATTCGATTATGACTGTTTTCAAAAAAAATCCGATCCAACTTAGAACTCAATGAAAATAAAAAAAAAAAAAAACTATAAGATCATACCAAAATTCAGTGAATTTAGATTGAATTGTTAGTCCTACGTAAAAGAGCTAGGAATTTTTTGCCTAATTAATTAATAATTACTAATTAGTAGTGTTTTCTAACTTTATTTTATTTGTTTACCTTTTTTTAATGCATGTATTTTTATAATAAAAAAAATTATAATGATAATTAAACTTATCAATTCAAATATCTATATAGTATATTTTTCATGTGAAATACATGTAAAATATAAAATTTATTATTTACAATTTATGTTGACATATTAAATATAAATATATATATTTTTTAATTTTTGCCAAACTCACGTATTATTTTTATCAAAATTTTAAACGCATCACTTTTATTTTTTTAATATTTTTCATATCTAAAATTAGCAAAAAATAATACAACTTTAAGAATGTGTCTATATAGAGTGGTTCGTTTAAAAATCATAATATGTATTCACTAATTATTACATCACCTTATTTTATAGTAATTTAAAAATCTTACATGACAATGATCTTAAATCACTAAGGTGATAAGATCACTATATTAAAGAGTGATATAATTCCCATGATGTGAAAGTTTTATCACCACAAAAAAATAATTTTTAATATTATTTTTTGACTAATTTATACTCATAAAAAAATATAGTTAACATTACCGTAAAAAATTTACCACTAAAAATTTTTAAAAATCAATTTTGTAATCACTTATTTTAAAAAGATTTTTATGTTATAAATGTATATTGATTAGGAAAAAAATAATGAATTTATTTAATAATTTTTTAAAAAATTATTTTATCAAAATTGATTTATACTTTATAGTTTTCTATAAAATAACATTTAATTATTTTATAAATTGTTGATTCAATAAAATATTAAATATTTTATTTTTTTGAAGATTATTTTAGATATTTTGTATTATATAATTTATTTTTTCATATAATACTAAAAGCAGTGATTTAAAAAACACCAATAATTTATAATATTATATTAAACATGATAATTTAAAATTACTAATAATCAAATCACGATTTTATCATAATAATAATTAGATCACTACAATGATCTTAAAAATAACACCAAATATTACCTAAAAACATCATGTCAATGGAAGAAAATATCCTCTTAAAATTATTTAAAGAGAGAATTAAATCTAAATTAATCTTTGAAATATCTCTAATTGTATTATTTAAAAAATAACTATAGGAAATTTTTTAAAAAAATAAAGAAAATCAAAGAAGAATAAAAGAAAAGAAAGAAAGAAAGAAAGAAAACTCTTGAATTGATACTCCTATAGATTAATGACATGCCTTAGCATGGCAATAATGTATTGCCAACGTAAAAAAATTTGAAAAAAAAAGGTTGAATTATGTTTACTATTTACATTAACTAGTGGCCAAATGAAACAAAATGTGCATTTAGAAACGTTAGTTTTCATCATCAGAATTGAAGGATTATTGTCTTCTCAAGGGTTCCAAAACATCTAAGGGGCGATCATTTTGTGGATTGTTTCCTGCCTGGTTAGACTTGAGTTTTGGCATACTAATAGAATTGAGTGGTGATGTCATTGCTCCCTTGTTCACCTCCCTTAGCACAGATCTGGCAGTGGCTTCAGCAGCTGCATCTGCCATTGCTGATGCTACTTTCGGATCACTCTACAACTTCTGGTTCAACTTGTTTTTGGCATGAGTTCCAGTTGCACCTTTTGAAACACATGGTGATTGGTAGCCCCTTTGATTTTGCATGTTTGCAACTGCCTCTGCAGCTGTTGTTCTAGCCTTGACTGATTCATATTTCTGCATGTCATATATGAGCTCTTTTTGAAGCTGTTTATCTGCAACCAACATGTCATCGATCTCATTTTTGTAGTCTTTGAGAAGGACTCGCAGGCATTCCATGAGGGAACCTGTGAGAGGGCTATTCTTGCTTTGTAATAACCGTTTTAGCTCTATAAAGATGGGGATGGTGTTTTGAATAAGACACTTTCGGACTGCCTGAGTTATAGCCCTTCCTTTGGCGGCAGCTGCAGATGCACCTCTACCTCTGCTGTGTCAGATGCAGATCCACGAATGGACAATGCTCGAATCTCTTTGCAGGCAAGAATTTGGAAAGCATCCTGCTCCCTCGACATAAAAGAAATGTTTTGCATGGGAATTATCAGCATACGTTTCTGGACAGGAGCCCCCCCTCCCTTTTTTTATTGCTGTAATTGGCTGCCATCATGCATTATCACAAAAGAAAAGCACAACATCTTGGGGAGGCATAATTTACAAATGTGCAGATGATCAGTACCTGCAGAACAGACTGTCCAGTTATATCATCTATGTTGAGCATACCATCTGATGCAGCTGCTAGAATCTCAGCACATAACTTTGCAAAGGTGGCCAAAAGGTGCTCCGGAGCCATCTGTTTCAGCAAACACACATAGATTTGCATCCCTTTAGACCTGGACCTCTCATCATTACCCCTGGAAATAGTAACATAGAATTTATCAAGGATGGAAACACTGAATAGATCATAAACATGTGCCTCAATCACAGAAATCCTTTTTCCTGTGGCTGAATGAAGAACATGAATACCTGATGGAAAAAATTCAACTCTGTCCATAAATTCTTCGAATCATTATGTCCATTGTGGGCATGGCAGTCATTCAGAACATAAATGGCTTCCACAAAACTGTTGTAAGCTAGAAGTGGAACCTTGGCTGGAAGCAAAACATACACAAAAGTCAATCCAATGAACATTTATGACCAACTTCAGCAATGTTATAATGAATTGTTAAAGCTCCTTACCTTTCAAAATACTTCCTAAGAGAAAATCAGCAAGTTGTCTTATTTTTTCTGATTCATCAACAAGACATAGAAGGAACCGAAGGAATAGCACTCCCCTCCACTTCAGGTAGTCCCTCTGGATTTAAGAACGAAATTACAACATTAAATAGGCTATTAAGATAATATTACAAATGAAAAAACCTGTAACACAAACTTACTTGTAATAATCTTGAAAGCAGTTTAAAAGTCTGCCTTCTGACAAGTTCACATGGATCACGAAGACACTTGGTGATCTTTGCTATATAACTGTATATTTCAAGAATTGTCCATTAGAACAGCAAACAGTCTCATAGAAAACAAATCTTTGTAACATTTTTGCCATTCATTCACTCCTCAATAGTCAGTTTGACTATTGCATAATTAGTTGCTTATGAAGAAACTAACCGAGTAAGCTCATTTTTATTAAATTTCCAGATGACTCACCAATCAACTAGAGCAGTATAGCGAACACAAAAATCTGCCATAATCACTACAAGGTTGTTGCGAAGGGCTGCACAATCACTCTGTTCAACTTCCTGCTTTTTAAAAAATGCATCGTTAACATTGTTATCAGATACCATTTGGAGTGATGACATTGAGAAATACTGTAGGAATATCTTGAAAACAATAGTGAGGAAAGAATGCATATTAGAGAAGAGCATAAGCATGATACTTGGAAATAATTTAGGAAGCTTCTAGTATTCTAAGAATTGATGCTGCTAGCTATGCTTATAAATGTTTTCCCATGCAAGTTGCAATGAATATGAATGAAAAAAAAATGGTCTAAACAAGTATTTCTAACAAAAGCAGAGGTAGATGTCACTTTGAAGAATCATGCATTGCAAAACATTAATGGAAATCATACAAAAACCTATCCAGTTTGTAACTCAGAACTTCAGAGCATAAACTAGAGAAGCTACTGGATTGATGACTAGACCTGCACAAAGAGAGGAATGTAACTCTTTGCAAGTTTCCCATCAGCCAAGCAAATCTTCCCCATTGTCAACCACGCTTGAATGTACAAAGAAGGGGCAGTCTGCTTCAAAGATATCCTAGGCCCCGGTAATTTATTTAACTTTGGATCAGGATTCCTTTAAGTTATGACTGTGTATAATAGTGGAACAATTGAGCTCATATCAGCAGAAGGACAGACAACGACCAAAGACCCAACAGTATAAACTGCAGTGACAGTCTTTGACAGTAGCCTGCAAGCTGTTGCTGCTTGCTTCCCTTTTCTGCTCCCACTTCTTGGTAGTGTAAAGAAACTATTACTTTCATTTTCTTCTTTATTCTCAGAAATGTACTTTTCTAAAATTGTACATGCTTTAGAGAGAAGCTGCTGTCCCCATTTCATGACAAGTTGATCAGCCTCCTCAGGATTTAGTGCCTTCCGCTTGCACAATGTTCTGAGAGCTTTTACATGTGCATTAACCTGCCATCAAATATTCTAGCTGATTATGCATAATTGCATATGACATATTAAGTCACTTGAAAAAGCATAAACATTTAACTGCTAACCGCATACAAACAAGTTTATTGCCCAAAACGGAGGGAAAAGGTCCACAGAGGAAAACAAACAAAACATTGCTGCATTTTTTGCGTTTTAATGTACCCAATGATTAATACCTCTGTGGAATGCATGCTGAACTTTTCAACTCTTTTAAGCAAGTTATGGGCTAAATTTGCAGCAGGTTCAGCAGGCAATTCCACAGAAACATTAGAGATGGTTTGCAAGAGGAAAACACGATCTCCTGCCCATGCAACTGAATTGGATTCTATGCCTTCTCCATCTTCATGGGCATTTCCTTGCAAAGGTGGGCTTTGAACCTTGCCCTCTGCTCCATGCTTGTCGAGGAGCTGCAGTGATGTTGGAGAAATTCCCAGTCAACAGCTTTTGAAAGATATGCTGACACTTCTGATAGAAGAAACCAAGCACCAACTGGGGCTGTCCACTTCTCAATTGGCAAGGATGGCTCAACCAGAGAGATTCAGATGTCTTTATAATATTTTGAAGGGAAATCGCAATCTTGGGCTTCAGTCGTTTCTTTTTTCCCAAGCTTGTGCAAATTTTCTTCACCCATGGACTCACCTCCCCATTGCAGATGGCTTGCAAAAGGCCCAATACCCCTTCGGGGAATAACAATGCCATCGCCCTTTCTAAACTCTTTGCTGTTAGATTGGAATCAGACAAAATAGATCCTTTTGTGGGTGTGCAAGCTGATCCTGTTCTAGACACCCTGTCCAAAACCAATTCCAAGAACAAGTTCTCACATTCTTCTTGAATGCTAGATTCATTATCTGTTATTAAACGTGGAACAGACTGCAGCCACTCATTAGTAACACTTTCATCCGAAAATGTTCTGAAGGCCTGCAAAGCTAATGCAAAAATCAACCTGAAATGAATAAATGCATAACAAAGAACATATTGAACATCATTCTGTTGTGCATTGAATTATGATTAAGCATCAAATCATCACAAAGCATCCACTGAGGTCAAATGAGCATCATAAACTAATTGAACATCATAATGTGCTTAATAAGTGAATAAAGAAACATATTGGAACAAGGAAACTAGATTAAGCACAAAAGTAAATTAACCTAAGAAAGAGCAGAAATGGCGGCTTTACGTATGCTAACAAGTGGATCTGAACAAGCCATAGCCATTGCCTTGAGCAAGACTCCATCAAAAGAACCACCTAAAAGGGCTGTCGACTTGGTAACCAGAAGAAGTACTGCCTTCCTAACAGCTGCCTTCTCATCCATGCACCTCTTCCTCAAAAGATCATTCATTCCACCCTCTGGCCTCCTCTTCCCACCTTCATCTAACCCCATTACTTGCTGCAAAATACCTTTATTCCTATCATCACCAGACAAAAACCCCACAACTTGTGCCAAGCTTGAAAGGGTTCGAGCACGAATTCCAGCACTCAAATCAGAACATCTCAGAATCAAAGCTTCCAAACACTTCGTCCCCCAATAATCCCTTATTTCAACATCCGGATCCACTCCAAAAGGATCCCCCAAAGACATCAACATCATTGCAATAAGATCAACACCTAACAGTCTAAGATTAGCCTTTCCTTGAGTCATCTTCAACACATACTCTATATATCCTATTTGATCCTCAAAGTCCATCACTTTAACAACCTCCATTATCGAATCCACAGCCAAAGCCCATGGCTCAGCCTTCTCAGTTGCCTTTTGAGCCAAATACCTAGGAAAATTAACAACAGCTTTCTTATCACCATCACTCTCATTTCCCAATTCTATCATCTTTTTTGTCACGAACCCCAATGCAAAACTTCTTGCTTGTGATTTAACCATTAATATCAATGTCGATCAAAACCTCAGCTGCAGTACTAGCCATCTCTCCATGTTCAGACCTCAACACTTCACTCAAAGCCCGTGAACACAAATTCATTAACCGATTAAAACTTCCCGAATTCGCGAACGTTTCCATTGCCATCAAAGGAATTTCACCGATAGTTTGTATCAAAGACTTCAAACTATCAGGAAACCTATCCAAATGAATCAAACCCAAGACAGAAACCAACATTTCAAACACAAAAAACACTTTTTTTACATCCATAGAATCACTCTCTTCCTCAATAGAACCCCCGAGCCCCTTGTTCTAGGACCCCTCCCCCCACCCTTCCTCTTCCGATTAGGCCGCGCGTGCGACTTTTGGGAAGGGGAAGAGCGATCAGGTTGGGCTAATGGACGGCTTTTGAAACCGCGACGAAGGGAACGGAGGAGAGAAAGGAAGGAAATGGGAGTGAAGAGAGTGAAAACAGGGGAATTTGGGGAGAGGAGAAGAGAAAGGTAGACTTGTGAAGCTAAAAGGGAGAGACGAAGGGAAAGGGAAGAATCCATTGTGAAAGATAACAAGTTAGTGAGATAAGAGGGAGTGAGGCTTTTCGAAGGGAGGTGATCGAAGAACTGGGAAATGAGGTCTGGGTCGTTTGTGGATAAAAGGGAATGGAGATCTACGAGAGTAGAGGGTGAAATGAGTGGAGATTGGGTTTGGGTGTTTGGGATTTGATTGATTTCTTCGAGGTCTGTGAGGATTCTTGCTATGGTTTCTTCCATGGCTATGGCTCTTTGGAAATTTTCAGGGGGAGATTTTGAGTTTGAAGAGATTCTCTGTTTCTGGGCAATGGTTTGCCGGTGTTCGTTGAAACTCTTCGAATTTTTTGTATTCCCGCTTCAATGGCTTTCCTTAGAAAGAAAAGACATTTATAAAAATGAAAAACAAAACAAAAAGGTGAAAATTAATGAAAAAATATGAAGCTTTTCTATGGATTTTTAATTTAAAGAATTATTTATTGCCAAAAAAGAAAACGGGCCCAGATTTTGGGTAGTTTGTTTATTTAAAAAATAGCAGAGGTTTTTTTTTTTTTTTAAGCAAAATAAGAAAGGATCTACACTTGATAATTTAAGGAAAAAAAAATAATAACATAATTTAAAATTTTAATAAAAAATTCAAATTTTAGCTTAATTTTTTCATATAATTACTTTTAAGAAATTGGATTTAGTAAGTATAAGATTCTAATCTTATCATCTGTCTAAGTGAAAAAAAAATAAAAAAAATTAAAAGTTGATTGGAAATCGTAATAGTTAATTTAGTTTAGATAAATTTTTTTATTTGATTCAAATTAAATTTATATATTAAATATATGTATATATATATTAAATTTGATCAAATTTTGAATTAAGAAGTGAAAAATTATTTTAAAAAATTAAATCAAACCAAATTATATATTTTTATTAATTTTTATATATTTTTAAAATTTTTATAGAATAAAATTAATTATTTTATATCTAAATCTATTTAAATAAATTAAAATTTATATTAAAATAATATATAAAAATTAAAAATAGATAATCAAACCGAACTTATAAAATTCAATTTGAATCGAATTATATAAAAATTTAGATTTAATTTTAAAAATTTATAATTTTATAAATTATTTAAAAAATTAAATTGAACTGAATATAATTTAATTTGAATTATTGTTATCTTTATAATCATTTATAATCTCTTTCCTTATTTTCACTTTACCACTCTTATATATATTTTTTAATAAAAATTTATATATAAATTTAACAAAAATTAAAAATTATATATTTTTTTATTTTACGTGTCAATATAAATTTAATATAATAATTTTTTATTTTACATATTTAAAAAAAAAGGAATACAACACATATATACGAAGCGACCAGTAGCGAGAAGCCTAGAAAGCAAATAAAACTACAGAGCCCAGTTAAATTTTCATTGGTAGATTTGTGTTGCAATAATTATTAATAGATGAATGAAATCTTTGTTCTTACCCGTAGATCAAATAGGTTGGGCTTATTGGATTAAGAAAATCCTGACCCAACTCTATGTAAAACAGGTTAGGCTTGGGAAAAGCCAATCCCTATCCCAAGTCAAGCACACACTTGTCCCTATTCCCAAACTAGCTAAAAACAGAGATTCGTCTTGCCTTAGCTTAACCGCAATTCAAACCTCCACCGAAACCCTCGTCTATAAATACCAATCGTCCACTTCCCTGCAAACCCTCTCTCGCTCTCTCTCGTCGTCGGCGTCGCCTTTTGCGTCTCTCTCTTCAATACCCACAAAAGTCTTCATCTTTTCGCTTCGATTTCTGAAAGAGAGAGACTGCAATCATGCTGGTTTACCAGGATATTCTTACTGGTAAGAACCCATTTTTTCCCAATAATTCGATTAGGGTTTTTTACTTCACTGTTTTGTTTAGCTTAGTGTAAGGTTTTTTCTTTTATTAGATCTGAGTTTTAATCCTCTTTCGATTTTGGATTTTGTTTCGATTTAGATTTAATCTAGGAAATTTTAGCTTTTTTATTTAAAAAATTAAAATTTGACAAATTTTAGTAATCTAGGTGTTCTTAAAGCTAAAAATTACAGATCTTTTGTTACTATGATTAGGGTTATTTAGAAAGTTTTGTTGATGCAAGTGTGTTAAACTTTGTGCGGTTGAATTGAACGAACTGCTGACTTTTTAGCTATTGAAATTAAACATTGAAAGATTTTAGCTATTGGGCCTACAGAATTTGAAGATTTTAGCTATCGGGTCCACAAATTTTGGTAATCTTGGTGATTTTAAAGCTAAAAAATATAGATCTTTTATTACTGTGCTTAGGGTTCTGTTGTGGAATTTTGTTGGTGGAAGTGTGTTGAACTTTGTGGGGTTGAGTTGAACGAACTGTTGACTTTTTAGCTAATGAAATTCAACATTGGCAAATTTTAGCTGTTGGGTCTAAAATTCTACTGATCGTGGTGCTTTTAAAGGTAAAAAGTGCAAATATTTTACTACTATGCTTAGGTTATGTTGTGGAGTTTTGTTGATGCTAGTGTGTTGAACTTTGTGCTGTTGAGTTGAACAAACTGTTGATTTTTTACTATGTTAATTAATTTTAGGCGATGAGCTTCTTTCCGACTCATTCCCTTACAAGGAAATTGAGAATGGGATACTGTGGGAAGTTGAGGGAAAGGTTAGTATTTTGTGCAATTGTTATGCTAAAGTTTTAGATTCTTTGTGATGGGAATTGGCATTTAACTGTGTTTGTTGCTTTTTGCTGCTTTCTAGTGGGTTGTGCAAGGAGCTGTTGATGTTGATATTGGTGCCAATCCTTCCGCTGAAGGTGCAGATGAGGATGAGGGTGTTGATGACCAAGCTGTGAAGGTTGTCGACATTGTTGACACCTTTAGGCTTCAGGTTTGTTAGTTTTACTCTTAAAGGAAACTCATTCTTTTTTATTTTTTTGATAATTTTTGAGGTAGATTGTGAAGAATGTATTGTGTATTGCTTGCAGGAGCAACCTGCTTTTGACAAGAAGCAGTTTGTTGCATACATAAAGAAGTTTATCAAGACCTTGACACCGAAGTTGGATGCAGAGAATGCTGAAAACTTTAAGAAACACATTGAGGGAGCAACCAAGTTTTTGCTTTCAAAGCTCAAGGACCTTCAATTGTGAGTACTTCTCATAGTATTTTCTTGTATTTAAGGAATGCTTATCAGGTTTTGGGAAACAAACTGAAGTTTATGTTTGTTTGTTGCAGTTTCGTGGGAGAGAGCATGCTTGATGATGGCTGTTTGGTGTTTGCTTACTACAAGGAAGGTGCTGTTGACCCAACATTTTTGTACTTTGCTTATGCATTGAAGGAGGTCAAGTGCTGAGTTTGGAGCAAAAGTGCTTGCTATAGTTCTAGTTCTAATTCTAGTCTTCATTATTGCTTTGCCTTCTTTTCTATCCTTTATTCTGCTTACACTTAAGGCCTCATGGCTGCTACTGTTTTGTTTTAATTGTTGTTTCTTGGTCATGGAATGCTTTTTATGTTATGGGGTGACTGAAAATAACTTAAATCATTGTTCTATTTATCCTTCTTAATATAATTGGTATGGTCTTTGGATAGATTTTTCTTCATCTTTGGCACAATGATTTCACCGGTAAGCCCCTTAAAGTTACTTAAACAAAGCTCATTAAGTTCATAAGAAAATCCAACCTAAGAACTCGGCTTACTTTTGAAGCAAATGCATAAATCCCCTAAGAAATTGAAATAGCAAACCGGAAAATCAGATAATCATTACTTATTGGAAGGATGCTTCAAAATCTATAGGCAAAAGTGAAAACTAAAGGCAGGGACTAGCTCAATCCCTGTGCTTAGGCTTCTTCACGATCATTACAGAACAGTGAGCATGGTGAGCACAGTAGTCACTTACGCTGCCCAAAACAGCCCTGCATGTCCATTGGGAAATCAAGAACACCAAATCAATTATCAACCAAGTAAGAGAGATCCTCGTTTTACCAAACCTTCTAGTAAATTTAGTTATTCTTTCACTTTTTTAAATTAAAGTATATCATACCTCTTCACAGCTCCATATCCATGGCTTCCCATTATCAAGATTGCTGCCTTGTGTTTCTCTACAGCTTCACACAACACATTTCTCGGATCACCTTCCATTACTTCCACCTTCACATTACTCAACTGCACAGCAGTTTATAAATTCAAAAAGGAAATATTATAATCTCAATATCTCTCAAGAGAAAATTGTAAAAAAAAAAAAAAAAAGTAAACAAAATAAGAACAGATTGAAATGATCATTTACTGATTTCTTCTTGCATAACTCCTGCACTTTCTCTGTTATCCTAGTGGCTGCCTTCTTTAAATCAATCTCCATTATTGGTATAACCTCCACTGATGCTGCATTCAAGAGATTCAAACCCATTCATCTATCATTGAATCAAATGCTTAAGTGTCGTCTATGTTATTTTAATACATCTTTTTACCCAAACTAACATAAAAGAAACTTAAAACTGAAATGTAATAACCAAAGTACATTAGTTTCATGTTACCAGGTCCGGCAAGTCCAAGAACAGAAATGGGGAGGGGTCGGGCGTGGACAACAAGGAGCTGGAAAGGATGGTTAGAGCCAAAAGGAGTAAAGAAGCGATCAAGGGTCCATTCCAGGGCGTACATACTATGTGCACTATCGTCCATGGCGACCATCATGATTGATTTCCCTTCAGCCATTTTACTACAAACTCAAGAATTCCCCCCAAAAAACCTCTTTTTATTCTGTTTCAAGTTTGTTTTTTCCTCTATGCAAACAGATGGAGTTGTGCACTAAGTTGATGCTGGGTTTTAAACTTGACGAGGATGTTTCTTGAAGTGGCTTGTGAACTGGTCAAGCCGGTCGCTACTTTTGGTGAGGTTGTTGCGGCCATGGACTCGGTTTCTGAATTACCAGACAGTCGAAAGATCTTCAAATTTCCATGGATTGTTAATTTTTTAAAGCATGAAATTAGTAGAGTCCATCCCAACTAATCCATCACTCATTTCAATTGATACATTAAGGGATAAAAGCCTAAATACCATTTAACATGACTCAATTCATACGTGTATATGAGTCGAATTTAGCCTGATTGTTATCTTAAAAATTTATTTTCAAATAATTTTTTATACTATAAAAAATATTTTAGATACATTAAAAATCATTTCGATTTAACTAATTTAAAAATAAATATATTTATCAATGAACTGTTAGCTTAATAATATTAGAGTCGATTTCATAACTGAAGATCTCAAATTCGAATTTCGATCTAAATCTAAAAATATTAAATTATATATAAATATATTTTACTAATAACACTTTAATAAAACTATTTAGATCTCACCCTCACATACTTTAAGTTAAAGCAAGGCTTTATTTCAAAAGTAAGTGAAGTGCAAGTTTGGAGAGTTTGGTCCACCTTTGAGATTCAACAAGCCATCATTCTACTCCATGTGGGCCACAATGAACAAAACAAGACACCCTAAAAAAAATCATATTTTCAAGGGTAAAACAAACATATTTTTTAATTACATGTAATTGTTTTATTTAAACTTTTCTAGCTAGGCTCCAAGCATGCAAAGGAGATGAAGATACTGATAAATGCACAATGTTAGAAATCTTTCAATGAAATTTATTTTATATTTGTATCACATAAAGTTCACCTACTAAAATAAAACCCTTTTCCTTTTTTATTTTTGCAATGTTGTCATCATCATTTCTTCCATTGTTTTTTAGTAATCATTTTTACCCATGATCATCATAAATATTTACATTTAGGAAATGTAAAAATTTTTGTATTTATATATTTAAGTAATTTTCTATAAATAATATTAATATGATTTTAAATTTTTATTGGGTAAAAAAAATAAATATTATAATATTCATTATGTACATTACATTTATTTTTATATATTTAGTAAATAAATTTTTTATTAAATAATATAAATTATTATTTTAAATTAATTAAAATTAATATATTTTTATTAAAAATACATATTAACAGTTATAATGTAGATTGGTGGTGGTATAGATGAGCATGAGTTTCAGAGCCAAAAGTGGCTAAAATCCGAACAGTTGTGTGTTTTAACATGATTGAACAAGTGGCATCAGTGTCACATGGAATTTGCTCCACCCTGGTGAAACAGCTTCAGTTGATTCTGACACTCTTCTTGTAAGTTGTGATAATAACGATTGTGTCAATTGTCAAACTATGAATTTGGGCATTGGGATTCGGCAGCTAAAAGATGCTCACTTGTTTCTATAGCTTCATACCATTAAAACAATGGCAGCAACCAGCAGTTCTGAGAACTAAGATTAACAAAGTTTATACTATATCCCCAATTAGGATGTGAACGAAGCTAATTTTTTACGAATTGTTTGTAAATATATTTAAATTTTTTTATTCATAATTTTTTATTAAATTTAATAAATAATTTTAAATAATATTTTTATATTTATTTATTAAATAAATTAAATAAAAAATTTATTCGATTTATTTATATTTGTGAACTAATTCATTTAAAATTCATTTAAAATTTGTTAATTTATTATTTATTTACTATTTATTTATAATAATACTAAAAAAATTAAAATTTTATCCTTTATCGTAATTTTATTTTATATTTGATTTCGTTTGGATTCGTTTATAATTTATTTTTTAAAGTTTATTTGATTATTATTTGTTTATTACTTATGAACATATTCATTATATATGTTTGTGAATATATTCGTTTAATATTTATAAATATATTCATCAACGAACTCGTTTAATTTAATTGAACCAAATATGAACTTAATATAAATCGAATGCAAATATTTTATCCTTTAAATAAATCGAATTTGAATAAACAAAGTAATTTTTTTTTTTTACAAAACACAAATCAAATCTAAACAACTTTAAAAATAAATGAACAAATCTTAAACGTACGTTCGTTTATCCATATTTAATTTGTTTATAGTCCTACCCTCAATATAAAAAAATTTGATTATTATATCATTAATATCCATTGATAAAATATTAAAAATTTAATTTTAATAATTAAAAATTAATTAATTAATAACCACAAATACAAAAAATAATTATGAATACATTTTGATCATAAATCAAATTAAATTACTTTTATTTGCGAATTATAATTTTCAAATTTGTTTATTTATGTCCTTTTTTATTTATTTAAATTTATTTGTCTTCATATTTTATTTTTATTTTTAATGAAGTATGGATGGAAATATAAAATTAGAATAAATTCAAAAAATTGTGGATGAAAATCGAATTTTTCTAAATAGGAAATGAACATTATAATAAGATCTAGAACTAAAAATGCCATTTACTCAATTTTTCCTTTATTGATGGTGACTAGTTTTGAGTTTAGATGTAAATTAAGTTGCATGGTTGAAAATGAAAAACACAAATGGACTGATTTTGCATAGGGGTGATAAAGTTTTGAATTTGATTGAATTCAGTTTGATTTGTTTAGATAATAAATATTATTATAAATTTTTAAAATTTAATTCGAACTCGAATTAATTTTTTTTAAAGGGATTCGATCTAAATCGAATTCAATAAATTTTAGTTTTATTAATCAAATTTAAAAATTTTTATATATTTATTAAATATAATTTTTAATATATTTAAATAAATGTAAATATAAAATAATTATTTTTATTTAATCAAATTTAAAATATATATAAACTAATAAAAAATATATAATTCAATTTGATTTGTATTTTTTTAGTTTTTCATATTTTTATCTAAAATTCGATTTGAACTTAATATATATATTTAACATTTAAATTTAATCTAAATTAAATAAAAACTTAATTTAAACCAAATTAAATATTATAATTTTAATTAAATTTTAATTTTTTAATTTCTCGATTTCTTTTCACTCGTAATTTTGCTTTGAAGGAACACGTGTGTTTGCACCTAAATAAAACAATTACGTTCTGTGCTAATTATAATTAATTAATTAATTAATTATGACATTACTATATTTTTCTCCTGCCGTCCATGCACCGGCTAATTTGATATTCTTGATGACTTTGGCATCTTTAATCATGGACCATACCAAATTGACCACCAAAATTTTCAAAATTACAATGACTTGCCATCCATGTAAGTTTCATTTATTATTAAATTACAATGACTTGCCATCCATGTAAGTTTCATTCATTGTTATATTTTTTTTAGTAGCATTTATTTTCACAAACAAAATATCTTTCCAATGTCTCAAATCAATGTTAGTTGAAATGGTAACCCAAGTTTTTTCTCAATTGATTGAAAAAAAAAAATCTAAAACAACCCGATCAAAATAAAATAACCTTATTATTTCCAAATTAAAAGACAATTGTCTTTATTTAAAACCATAAAATGAAAAAAAATTAATAATTCTATTAAAGGTATCCTTAGATTTTATATTAACTTAAAAAAAAAAATTTAAAGACACATTTTTTTAATAGATCCAAAACATTTAAAATTCACATTTAATATTTTATTTGTAATTCATAAGAAAATAGAATTTTTTATTATTAACTTGATTAATCATCATGGCATATTTTAAAAATTTATTAAAAAAATTTAGTATAAGCAAGCATAACCTTATTTAAAAGTAAGAGTGTCAAATCTGAAATTTATTTCATTTAATTTATGCAATTATTTTTTAAAAAATTATTTAATATATTTGCAGTATAATTTTTTAATTTTACAAATGAAATTAAAATGATGATACATATCTTATTTCTTTTTTAAATGTATAAAAGATACGTATCACCATTTTAATCCTGTATATGAAGTTAAAAAATTTCACTGATAGCATATTTAATAATTTTTTTTTATTTTTAAGAGATAATATTTAATAAATTTAAATTTTAAATCTAATATTTTAATCACTTTTTTTATTTCTACATTATAATCTTTTAAAAAATTTAAAATAACAAAAAAAATTTCTAAACTTACCACCTTACTTAAATAAGTTCTTATATCTTTATTACACCTAATTAAATTTTTAATTGACAAAAAAAAACTATAACTTTTAATTTATATTTAAATATATGCTAAATTTTAAATTTATATTTAAAAAATGAATGTTTAAAAAAAGAGCTTATTCAAATATAAATAAAGGATAAATATTTATTTAAATATAATAAAAATATAAAAAATAAAATAATTCAAAAAATTTTAATACTTAAAAAATGTCATAGCATTTTTGTCTCCAAAATATCAAACAATTCTTCAAACAGAAAAGGACATTTAAGTCATTCAACTAAATTCAACATAGCCGTTCAATAATTAAACAAAAAAAAAAAAAATCTAAATGATCAAAGTTTATATAATCTTAGTATCTCTCTCTAAATTTCATCCAAAGTAGAAAAAAGCAGTATATTAGATTTCATTTCATAAAAAAAAAAAAAAATCTCTGTTTTGCTTTCAATTATCATCGCATTTTTGCATTTCTCTTCAAAAAAAGAAAATTAAACAAATTAAATGAGAAATTAAATTAGAGTTTCCTGCTTTTGTAATTTTCTTTCTCTTTCAGATCTGATCGCAGATCTCGAATCGCCGGTGTCTCTCTATTCTTTTTTTTCCTCTTTCTCTGGTAATTTAATTTAATTTATTTTATTTTATGTAATTTGAATGCGTGAGTTTTGAGTGACATTTTTTGGATAGGGTTAATAAAATTTCAAGGATCATTGGAAATTGCTTTTTCGAAGAAATTCGCTTTCATGTTCTTCTTCGAATTCGGAATTTCTCGTCCTTGTAAGTGAAGCTTAGTTATATTTTTAGTTTCTTTTTATTTGTTATTAATAATATTATTATTTCTGAATTTTGATTTTGGAGTTTGGTAAAATTTTTTGGTTTTTTAATTTTTTTTTATGGTAGCATTGATAAACGGATCTTAAAAATTGGCTCCTCAAAGGCGATCGCAGCGCCACATGGGTGGCCAGATGCAGCAAAGCAATGCTGCAGCGACGGCGCTTTACGATCACGCAGGCAGAGGCGGCGGGTCGTCCTTGCACAATGCGGGTCCCACGGGCGGCGATGCCGGTGATGCCGTTATGGCGCGGTGGTTGCAGTCTGCTGGATTGCAGCATCTGGCCTCTCCCTTGGCTTCTACTGGCATCGATCAACGCCTCCTCATGCAGGTAACCAACGCTCTGCTTTTAATTTCCACGTCTGTTGTTGTCGGATTCTTAACCGTTCATTGCTCGATTCAAATGCAGCCAAGTTGAATTGAGTTGATCGTATTTTTAGTTGCTTTAAATTGTCATTTTTTATGAACTTATTTGGTGAATACACTTGTTGCTATTGCGTTTTACTTAAGGGAAATGTTTTATTAAGTCTCTACATTGTTCTTCACCTAACATGTGTCCTTTTTGCGATTTATATTCCATGCCGAGTTGAAGTGACTTTTGCATGAAGTTCTGAAACTTTCACTTATAGAATGGACAATTAGAGTGGTAAGCGTTTTAAGAAAGTTGGAGTTCATGATTAGTCAATATTCTGATGCTTGTTTCCTTATTTTCCCATGAGTTTATTCATACTTGTTTCCTTTTCACCGAACTATCTGTATTTTAAATACTTCCTCTTGTGGTTACTTTATATGTCTAAATGGGTTTACATTTTATGCGCTCTGAGATAATGAGAAGTTACTTTTACATTATTGAAGGGTTATGGAGCAGAATCTGCGGAAGAGAAGCAGAGGCTATTCAAATTAATGAGGAACCTCAATTTTAATGGGGAATCTGGGTCAGAGCCATACACACCAACCGCCCAAAGTTCAGGAGGGCCGGCTACGTCTGATGGGTTCTATTCTCCAGAGTTCAGGGGGGATTTTGGGGCTGGGCTTTTGGATCTTCATGCTATGGATGATACAGAGCTTCTGTCTGAGGTATGTTTATAGGGCACTGCACATAGCTTTGCAGGAGTTCCACAATGGTTGATAGCTTGGAAGTGTAGATTGATTACATGCAGCTCTACTATTTTTTCGTTCATTTTTGTGGTGATATGGTTGGGTATATCTGCATGTTGTTCCCATTTGATATTTTTAAAATCCAGTAAAAAGTTTATTTCAATTTAAGTTTGGTGTAGCATCTTTTTCTTTTACTCTGGAAATAAATTTTGATTTGATTTGTTTGCAGCATGTTATCTCAGAACCTTTTGAGCCATCACCATTTGTGCCTGGTGTTAACAAAGCATTTGACAATGATTTTGATGTGACAAGTAGCCGGCAGCAAAAAGAGCAAAGTGATGCAGATGTTTCCGCCTCATTATTCTCTGCTAATGAAAAAGAGATCAGCATGAGGGAAAATAATGTTGCTAAGATTAAAGTTGTGGTATGTTGGTTTCTAGCCATGGTGCTTTGTTTCTCTCTCCTCTTTCTCCCACCCTTATTTCCTTGCCAAGATTAAAATTTATGTTCTCCAGTTTTGTATCTTTTTATTCCTTTCATTGTTGTTCTGCCTTGTGTTTTTATTATTTATCTGGGTTGGGCAAAGTTGATGCATGTATGCATGCATGTTCATAGCACAGCATTATATGCCTTGCTTTTTTAAACTTCCTGGAAAGCTAAAATTTTGTCTTACATGTGGTATAAGGTACGTAAAAGACCACTGAATAAGAAGGAGATTTCTCGGAAGGAGGATGATATAGTAACTGTGAGCGAGAATGCTTTAACTGTCCATGAACCCAAGCTAAAGGTTTGTCCTTTATTCACAGTAGTTAATGCGATATCACTATGTGTTCTTGGGATGAATATTTAGAACTATTGGTGCTTGTTTGATATGTAATTTCTTCACTTTCTTAAATCTGCTTTAATTGTAATGTAAAAGGTGGACTTGACAGCATATGTAGAGAAGCATGAGTTCTGTTTCGATGCTGTTCTGGATGAGCATGTTACCAATGACGAGGTAATACTTAGTTGAAATATATTTCCTGGTTGCTATCCAAATTCCAAATGTGGTTTCTGAATAATGTAGACTATATTTTGACCTAAGTTTGTCCTTTGTTTATTGATTTGTTGTAGCAAAAGATTGATTTAAACTATAACATGTTCTCTTGTTTGCTTTAATGATTTGTTAGAGAAAAGATTGATTGAAGCTATAACATGTTCTCTTGTTTGCTTTAACAGGTTTATCGTGAAACTGTTGAGCCGATTATTCCCATCATCTTTCAGCGAACAAAAGCCACTTGTTTTGCATATGGGCAAACAGGTGCATAGAGTTTCTGAACTTTCTTCCTGAATGGCAGGCGCATTTGCTATATTTATTATGTTCTATTTTGTAAGCTTGAAGCTATATTCATTTAGAAGGAAAACTTTTTAAAATTTTGAAGTCTACATGCATCTTGGATGGCATCTAGGCATCTATTCCTTTCAGTTTCTTCCAAAATATATTTTTTACATGAAGACTAGTTCTCAGACCTTCTAGGGGAATTATATTTGGATATAAAAAGTATAAACATCTTTTTAGCTCTGTTTTTTTCTGTTCCATTGTTTGACGTTTTCCCTTGTGCCTTACCCAAGTATTTTGCTTTGGATTATGCAGATCATTGCTCCCCAAATCATTTTACAATATTCAAAGAGTTAGGAAGTTTGATGTAAAATTTCGTTTATCTAAGTTTGTAAAAAGTACAGCAAACCCTTCTGTTAGATCCTTATATCAAAATTGGAAGATTGTATAGGAACTCCCTATAGTATACTTTGTATTGTTCATTGTAGCAGGTTTTCCTGCTTCTTTGGATGATGAAGTACTACTTATCACAAAAAAAAAAAAAGAGTTAGGAAGAAATTAGATTCTAGTGAGAACCATAAGCTTTTGGTTAAATGATGTGCTTGGTATTTTGTGGTATTTTAAACATAATGGAGGAAACTATTTGGGACGTTTAGAATTATTACTAGAAAGTTGATGCATATGATTGGTCTTTGGAATTTAGAGACTGCAAATGTTTGAGTAGATTGATGAGAGAATTAGTGCTAGGAGAACAGCTAGTTCCAGAAAACAAGGGGAAACACTGTTATAAAACTAAAGAAATCACATAAACCTAAGACATGATAGTCCTTTTTCTCGTTTTCCTTGGTCCTTATTCTTGTTGCACATCTCCTTGTGTTTCTAGTTCGTGGTTGTGTGGCATTGTTGCTAATTTCTGCACTATGTCATGGGATATATTTTTTATTTCAGGTAGTGGTAAGACATTCACAATGCAACCATTACCTCTCAGAGCTGCACAAGACCTTGTCAGATACTTGCATCAGCCAGCTTATCGCAATCAGAGATTTAAATTGTGGCTTAGCTATTTTGAGATATATGGTGGAAAACTCTTTGACCTTCTGAGTGATAGAAAGTATTTCCCTTTTCTTTCCTTGCTTATTTGCGTGTGTGTGTGTTTTTCATAAATCTTTTCTTTTGGACATATGTGATTGATTTATGATGTGTAATTACTTTGAAATGTCTGCTGGTCTGACTGTCAATTGAGCACAATTTGTCCAATGTCAAGCACACATTTTCTCTTTCAATATGTATCTTTGGTGTAAATGTGGATGCATATATGTATTAATAACAATTAGATCAGTCAATAATCTAAATGTTCTCCAATAGGAAACTTTGTATGAGAGAAGATGGGAGACAACAAGTCTGCATTGTTGGACTGCAAGAATTTGAGGTGTCAGACGTGCAAATTGTGAAGGAATACATTGAGAGGGGAAATGCCGCTAGAAGCACAGGATCTACTGGTGCAAATGAGGAATCTTCAAGGTCACATGCTATTTTACAACTTGTCATTAAGAAGCACCCTGAGATCAAGGAGTCCAAGCGGAACAATGATGGGAATGAGCCTAAACCTGGGAAGGTTGTGGGAAAGATTTCTTTTATTGATCTTGCTGGCAGTGAAAGAGGTGCAGACACCACTGATAATGACCGGCAAACTAGGTAAGTTTGAATCTTTCTGTAGGAAAAAGAAGGGTGCCGAAACAACTTTCAAAGGTCTATATACTGGTTGGCTTTGTCTGTCAGCTTGTTAATTGTCTTAAGATGTATTTTTTCGCTCCCCACCTGGTTTATTTTTGGCTTGTTCTGATACCACTGGTTTGAATTCTTGCCAGGATCGAGGGTGCTGAAATCAATAAGAGCCTTTTGGCTCTTAAGGAGTGCATTCGTGCTCTGGACAATGACCAGATCCATATACCATTTCGTGGGAGCAAACTCACTGAAGTGCTCCGTGACTCATTTGTCGGCAATTCAAGGACTGTTATGATATCCTGTATTTCTCCAAATGCAGGTTCATGTGAACACACTCTCAATACTTTGAGATATGCTGATAGGTATGCTTGTTTCTATATTGAGCCTCCACAAAATGGACTTCCTTTGTTGCAGTAGATTGTATTTTCGTACTTGTTGACTAAATAAGGATTATTATTATCCAAATGAACAGGGTTAAAAGTCTTTCCAAAAGTGGTAATCCGAAAAAAGATCAGGCTGTAAATTCATTACCACCAAGTAATAAGGATGCTTCTTCAGCATCTTCTCTTTCAGCTACTGCAGGTGTAGAAGATGTTTATGAGACACAACAGGAAGTAAAAGTTGTTGATACAGGTCCAAGGGTTGTAGAGAAAGATGTTTATACTGTTGACTTTGAAAAACAACCCTCAACTTTTTTGTCAAGTTACCCTTTCAACGGGAGGGAGGAAAGTGAAATGGCCTCTGGCCCAGTGGATAGGGAGAGATTTGAAGTGAATAATAATTATGGAGGTTCTACAAGTCAAAGAGTTTACTCATCAAATTCTCAAAATTCAGCTGATACAGAAGAGAGATTGCAGAAGGTGTCACCACCTCGTAAAAAAGTGACTAGAGAAGAAAAATCAGAGAAGATGGGGAACCGGGCCAAGAAAGATGGAGGTGGATCTGATTTGTCCACTACAAACTCTAGGCAGGCTAATGCTGTTAATTATAACAGCACAAATAATGGACATAGAAAATATGATCCTGAGCCTCCTACTGATGAGAATATCAATGCAATACTTGAGGTAGGCCATCAATATGGTTCATTTTGTTTTATTATAGTAGGGGCTCTCATGATTTTCTTCATTTTGTGTATACTTTTGTTCGTTGCAGGAGGAAGAGGCTCTAATTGCTGCTCATAGAAAAGAAATTGAGGATACAATGGAGATTGTTCGTGAAGTAAGTCACCTCGCAATTGATCAGTGGTGAAAATTTTCATGTTTGAGTATTATGTTGTGAGGCACTTACATTCATTACTCACAGCTAATAATTGAGTCTGCCATCCTTGCTGATCAGTGATTTGCACAAAAGACCAACTACTTTAAGTTATTTTTTCTGGGTCATGCTCTACCTGACCTGAACTATGCTACTGAACCTACGACCCATGTCAATAAGCTGGAAAAATGATCTTTTTCTGTTTTCACAGTTAAACCACTGCTCATCTTGTTTCGCATCCCTATTACAGGAAATGAAGCTTTTGGCTGAGGTGGACCAACCAGGCAGCCTCATCGACAATTATGTGACCCAGCTGAGCTTTGTGCTTTCACGCAAGGCTGCTGGTCTGGTGAGCCTCCAAGCTCGCCTTGCCAGGTTCCAGCATCGACTAAAAGAGCAGGAGATACTGAGTCGGAAGAGAGTTCCTCGTTAAGGCAGCAGTTTGTTCTCTGCTCTCATTACTGCAATCAGACCCTGTCCTGTAATTTCCCTTCTCATGTAGATTGTTATGGAACTATTTGTCCTGGTGGACATTTACATTAAATATTGCTGTAAACAGATAAATGTATCTCTTAAATGAATCTACTCGGTTCTGGCAGTCAATGCTTGGAGCTGTTTTAGAGTCTTGAGAGGAAATTAAAAAGTGGACAGATGGTCTTTCACGCAGGCATCAATGTTTCTGATAACATACATGTTTCCTGCTAATACAAGGGCAACGATGATTCAGGTGCATCCGAATGTGACAATTTCTTGTTTAGATGAATCTGATGTGTTCTTGTTGAGACTGATACGGGTTTGTGGCCTTCTTTTGTTTAACGGGTGAGAAGGAAATGTTTTCATAAGTCATTTCTAGGAGAGCAGGAAAAGGAAAATAGAGTATTTTTCCCCTTTATATTGTTTATTTGTACTCTTGAAAAGTATATTTTGCTTTTGAAGAATTATAAATGTTAAATATTTCCAAATGCCCTTAAACAGTCCATCTTATCAAATATTGCATTTCAATCTCATCGTTCATATGAATGATTTCTATATCAAATATTTATATTTGATATAATTGCATTGTTTCAATTATGAGCTCAATGTAAATCTATATGATCCAAACCCAAATTTAAAAATATTTTTAATTTCCTTCGAACCCGAAATAACTCACTCTGACGTTACAAATCAGCCCTACCCAATTGCCACCTCCAGGTTGAATCTGAGTTGTAATTTTATGATCCAAGGTGAAAAGTAGAAAGATTTGGCACCAGGAAAATATAAAGCAAATGGAAAGGGCAGAGGGAAGACAGAAAGCATATCCTACTCCAAAAAAGATAAGGTATTAGACGCAGGATCACAATATGATTGACCTTTTGATACCCCAAATTCCGTTAGGCCTAGACCTCTTTTCTATATATATAAAAAGACATATCACTACCATTGGGAGAAGCTCAAAAGCTGCAAATAAAAAGCCAGGCACAACTGATTCAAAAGAGAGATGGGAAGATGTTTGAAGTAAAAGGAGAGACCTTTTCATGGTATATGGAAAAGATACAAACAAAACCCTGTCTTCAGAAAGTTCTGCTGCCCTACATCTCATGCCTTGCATTTACACTTAAAGCAACTAATTACGCCTTGTACGCTAGTGGCGTACTTCGCCAAGTCATTACATTGATAATCTGATCAGAAGAAAACTCTGACACACCGTTCCAATTCCTAGTAAAAGCCTTCTCAGTAGTTTAGACGAGCAGGCATATCTATACATATCAAAAAAAAAAAAAAAACCCCAAAGATCTTAAAATTGCAGATACGTTATCAGTGCAGGTGAGTTCACACTTTTAATCAATCGGCTTTCAATCTCAGAATTTCCTTGGCTGTCCTTGATCGAAAATAGGGCATGTGTTCCTACAAAAGCATGGAAAATCACAACTCAGTTTGAAGACAACATCAAATCATCATTTACTTCATGCTACAGAACAGTTTCTTCTTGGCAATCTGCCCAGAAGCTGGATAAAATTCGGCAGGCTGAGGTTTCAAAAGGAGAGTGTGCAGATGCCTCACCAAAGAAATTCTTTTAAGTTTTTCTTAGCAATCAGAGATTAATAGTCAGACCTCATGTTTCAAACAGAATGTGTGTGCATGTGGGAATATCACCGATATGTGCTTCCACCTCTTGCAATATATTTTGGCAGATAGATGATAGATTTTATATCCCAATTTAACCTAAGTACTGCAGTTTAATCACACAAAACAAAGAATAAAAAAGAGAATTACATGCCTAAGAAATCATTGTCCATGGACTAACCTGGTCAAAACAAAGACTTAAGCCTCTGCTATAAAAGTCGATATATTTTAACATAAACATGCCACAGTCAAACCTGTACATAAAGAAAATTGTTTAGGGAACCAATTCAAATTCTAATAGAAAAGGCACATGACACCATGAAACTAGCAGTAATAGTTAACAATAATAGTTAATTATGAGCAGTAATGGTTAATTAAGGGAGGTACTGTAATTACTATGTTAATTTGGGTTCATCAAATATCTGGAACCAATTGCCATAAAGGGTTAGTACAAAAAGGATCAGATACCTAAATAGCTACTGTATAATAAGTTACTTAACGGAATAGTTATTTGTTTATGCAATTAGCTTATTGAGAATAGGTATTCTGAGCACTGATCTTTAAAACATGACTGAAACGGATAATGGAATACGCACCCATTCTCCTGTGCGGGAAGGTCTTCAACATATTCTTGTTCCCAAGAACTTACATCGATGTCCTTTCCACTCTTGTCCCTCACTTCTTCAACAAAGTATTTTGCCTGGCACATAACAACCAATATTAAACAAGTTTTGCAGAGGTGCCAAAAATCATATATGAACTTTTTCTTTGATAATATATATATATATATATATATATATAATATAGAGGGAAGAGTGGGAAGGATGGGCTGGGAGATAAGTAAACCCTATTATCATGAATTAGACAACAAAGATTAACAGCATAAAGAAGTAGCAGGCGAATGAGTCTTGCAGCCAATAGGGATCTTAAACTTCAATCCCTCTTACATTTAAACTACATAATGCACTTTGAATCAATTAATTACATGCATCAAAATAATATGACATCTAAAGAGGAAAGATGTCACTGAAAATAATACCAATGCTCTCAGCACTTTAGCATCTCTTCCTTTTAGTGAATCAAGATACTGGAACTTCTGATCTTTCTTATTGATAACTGCCAAGCACCAATGTATTTCTTTGTGTATGGGGACAAATATCTGAGCAAAATGGAATAATTGATTTAGGGATAAATACCATTTCATGCAAAACAAATGATTGTAGAAAGAAAAGATAAATACTTACTTTATCACAGTCTAATAGGTAATACCCCAACTTCCTTTGTGAAGTCCATCTTTTGACAGCTTTATAGTTATAGCCACTCTCTGGACTCACTAACTGAGCATCACAAATCAGAAGGGAAAAAGTAGTTGAGAAATGATAGTTAAAAAGACTTGCATGAAAGAGCAAAGTATGGTAAGCGGAAATTGAAGGCGGTAGAAGAGCAAGTAACTACCTTCTTATAGAAGAAGGTGTTGAAGAAATGACATTTCAGAAACTTATTTGGCTCTCTGTTTTCCCTTTCTTTCAGTAATTCAAGATATAGATTAATGACCTACAAAACAGAAATTAGATGCGTGTTAAAACCAGATTACCAGCTAACTTAGTTCTAGAATGTCCTAATTGCATGTAGACAAATTAACAAATCCTTTCAGTTACTACTATCTGCAGATACACAATACAAGAAATAACCATGAAAGTAAATGAATATGACCTCATCATTCAACCATGCGCTTGGTTTCAGACATTGCAAAACTTCTCCTCTAATATCAATGCTTGAGTTCTCATGAGAGACCAATATCTTCTTCCTGCAAAAGCAAGTGCAAACAATGTTACAGCACAATTAACACCCAATAAAATAATCAAATACTAACACATGCATATTACATACCAGTTCTTTGCAGAAAAAGCATGGGAAACCTCAGCCATCTCCTCCTCCGTAAGAAGGATAAAAGGTTCACGAGGTATCGCCTGAAATTTGATAAATAATAAGTTAATGCCATCATTTTGAACAAACTACAAATGCCTTTTATTCTATTATAGAAGCAACAAAAATTCTTCAAAAGACACTACAAGGACAATGCAACTCAATTAAAACTAAGCAAGCAAAAGGATTCACCTCTTCTTGTTCCTCCTCCGGTTTCTTCTCAGGTCGCAATGCTTGAAGTCCAGTGATACGCTTCTCATTCAACTCAATCTGAAAATTCAAATCTTTCAACTTGGATGTTCTCCTCTCTGCACTCATCAGCAACTTCTTATAAGCTTCTAAATCAGTAACATTGGAAACCTCCCTCAATGACAACATATCCAACGCACTCTCCACTCTCGAACTCCCGTTATACAACTCAGTTACCGCAGATGAAGATGATGGTTGGACATGCCTCTCTTCCTCTTCCACATTATTCTTCCCTTTTTCAATAACCTCAATCTCTTCAACACTAAAATCATCAGAAACCACCTCTTTTCCTTTCTCCTCATCATCCTCCACAAAAATCACTTCTTTTTCCTTCTTAAGGTACCTCAAAGCACCCAAAGCTTGCCTTTTTGCATCACTTAATCTACGACTCAGAAAACTCCCCATAGAGCTTTTTACAGAATCCTGATTATGATTTGAAGCTGATAACACAAATTTAAGGTGTCTAACAGGGGCATGAACTTCTCTAGGAAAAGGAGACTTAGCTTCTGGGTAACGAGAGATTCTCAAAACCGTGTTGTTGGAGGATAAAATTACTTTTTCTGGGCTTTGATTCATCAAAGAAAATCTGGGTTTTTTAGAAAGTTGAGAATCTGGGGAATTTGAATATGAGGCTTTGTTTTTGTGATTGAAATTGGAATTGAAATACTCATCACCACCGCGTTTCCTATTACTTGCTAAAGCACCCATTGATGAAATTTACAAACTTCAACCCCTAAAAACTCAATACCCATTTAAAGAAAACCATGAAATGAAGATTTGGTAGGTTAGGGTTTTTATAAAAACCCTAAAATCTTACAAACCAAAACAACCGTTTTTGAAGTAAAATATTGAAAACACAGAATTTGAAAAACCCAGATATATCAAAACCCCATAAAAAGGTAGGATTTTTCTAAGACTAAACCAAGACAAGAAGTTTTCAAGAGGAGGAAATAAGGGGGGAAATGGGAAGAAAATTTATGGAAAATTTTGAAAAACTTTCAAGGAATTGTGTTAACCGATGCTGCTACTGGGGCTGTAATTTGGATCTGAAGAAGAAATGAAGATTGAATCCGTTAAAGAGTTGATGAGATTGGAAATTGGATTTGGAATTTTTGCATTTGCTTTCCCGGGACAAAAAAGAATCAACTTTGTATGAACGGTGCGTTTTTAGGTTTAGGTTTTTATCACTTCTTTTTTCCATAAGATTAAGGATTTTTTTTTTTTTGTTTTAGGGGAATTAATTTTACTAAAACGAAGCTATCACTTTTTATTTTTGTGCATTTTTAGCTTACTATTAATTAATTCATGAAAGAGCGAAAATTTTAATGAAAAAAATTTCTTGATGACTTATATCTAAAGGAAAAAAAACAATTAATGCATTAGTTTTTCTTCAATTTTGAAAAAATAATAAATAAAATTTATTTTTTAAATAATAACTAAATCATTCTTAATCCGTGTCTACAGACATGTCCAAATTAAGATATTTGGAGATAACTTTCAAGTTATTGAATCCCCAAAACTTTTTGCAGGATAAAATTGATTAAAAATTCTTGTATTCGGCATTGATTCCATTGGGAAGTGATTTAAGGAGTTTTTTTTTTTTTTTTTTTTTTTTTCTGTATTTTGTAATACTTGACTTACATAATGAAAAAAGGGGAAAAAAAGAACAAATTTGACATACAAGAATTACAATTGATCATCACTAAAAACTGCACAGGACAATGGATGTCAGGTTTTAGTTTCGTACAATTGTCCTTGCACAAGGAAAAAGTATCAGCAATTTATGCTAAAGATCCAATATGGATGAATGCTGAGATTTTTGTTTGATTTCAAACAAGCTGCACGACAGCAGCTACTCTTAAGGCTCCATTTTGAAGAAGATCAGCAAGCTCATCGAACAGCAGAGCTGTCCGCCATCCCCATCCTTTGGGGGCTTTTGGTAAAAGAGTGCCCCTCTGTTTGAAGCTTCCGAACACCATGACTTCTCGCTTTGATGGACAAATTAACTGGAAAATGAAGGCATAAGATGCGGAGTAACAAAAAAACATCATCTTCGCGTAAGATTATTATCGAAATAACAGAGAGAATGGACTTGCAACTCTTTTCTAACATGTCTATTACCTGGTATCGGGCGGTAACCTTTTCGCGAGAATCTACATACGTGTGAACCTGAAAAAAGGATGTTTGTTATTACTCAAAAGCTCTGGTTAAATTCTTGGTTACCAAGATCTAAACAGCAAAAGGTTGTTCCACAGACGAAATAAAAGACCATATCACGCTTCGATTTGGCAAAAGAGGGCTGACCTTTCTGAGAGAGTCAGTTATCTCAGCCTTCCGCCGGTGAAGAAATAATCCTGAAGCAAGAGAAGAAAGGAGTTGAGAAAATTTTTTTGCAAAATCATCTCTATTGACCTTGAAAAACACAGGATAAAATGTTCTTAAGGTCGATCCTTCCATTAATTAGAACATTACCTAGAGTCCTACGTCCTTGAGGATCTTCATCATTAAAGGCCTGAACACTAACCTGTAAATTGAAATAGATCTTATAATGCAAATCTTCATACAAGAATGCTTGATATCAAGAAGTTTTATAAGCAGGAGAATTAGAAGCCATTTGAGAACATTCAAAACTGGAGCATCAGGTTATAGTTTTTAAGTTTTTTCAGTTTCATAATTTTCTTTCAGAGAAAAAATCTTCATATTTGGATAATATGAGATCTTAAGACATGTATGGGGTCAAACTAAATCAGTTTCTAAAAGGTTCTTCATATTCAATTACCTTCCACAAAGAACCAGCATAAAAGAATTCTGGAGAGTGCTTGACTTGACCGTCACTGAGCCTGTGCACATCCTCAAATTCAACCCTGTAGAGCCAGCAAAAGATTTACAGAACATTATCAGAATAAGTCTTCAACTTTGAAGCACCAAATAAAAAGAAAAGGACAACTGGTGACACGAGTTTGGGGGATTTTAACAGAGGCAGTATAGAACAGATGGCATCCTAAAATCCCAATGACTGAGGTCTTGCTTCTCTTGAATATAACAAGTGATCATTGTTAGAAACAAGATCAAGAATGCCGACCCTATTAGTAACTAATGGAGGTCAAATGTAGTACTAATAGTAAGTTATCTTCCAAGAAAAGAGAATAATGCTCAAGTAAGACACCGAGCGGAAAGATTTGCACCTTTAATTGTATGTACCAACCTCTGCAGTTCACAGAAGCTCTCATATGACCTCTTTCAAATTACAAAGCAGAAACCGATAGTTATTCATAATAAAAATAACCTACCCAAAACGAAAGGGAGGGAAGTGACTCAGAGGGGTTTTCATGTCCAATGATATAGAAGAATTAGTTGCATTCTCCCACTCAATTCCAATGTCATGTTCTGGTGACTCTAATATCTGCATGGCAATCCCACTAGTAGCTGGCCCAGCAATCGAAGTTACAGGCACTCTGCTTTGCAGATCCGTCTCGTAATTCCTCTCCATTTGTTCTTCATGAACATTACTGACATTACTTCCTCCTTGGCTTAACTCAACCAGAGCTGTTAACCCACCTCCAGACATGTCTCCATTATGGTCAGCTCTAGCCTCTGAATCATCATTAGCAAGAGATTGCTGGCCATTTCTGTTGCCCATACCAAAGGGTACACGTGAAAAGACAAAACGTGTTGGAGTCCATGCAGTGGCAGGAACAAAAGTAGCACCACGTCCAATACCTGCAAGACCATCAATAGGCCCCCTGACATGCACTCTTACTGGCCTAATCAGGCCATTTCCTTCAGCTTGAGCATTGTCAGCCACATATACATTTCCAATGTTGCCAGTTAGATGATTTTGATCATGCTCTTGCACGTAATAACCTGTAGTAGCCACTCCATGTGGAACGCGAAATGGCTGCCTGCAGGCGCATTGCATGCTAGTAAGGCAGCACTTTTTGCATGTGTCAGCTCCAATTTCTTGCACCCGCTGGCTTAATAGCATCTACATAATAGCCATACAAATATGATCAAATCCTTATCAAAGCCAGAAGCAGAGGCCATACCACTAACAAATTATAAATGCTTAAATTAGAAAGGGAAAAAGTAACGACTTCCAGGACAAAAGGTAAAAGAAGTCTTTGCCATGTTCCATATGTCTAACTAAAATATTATTCAAACACCACCAGATTCAAGGACTTCCCAAATATTCAATCCAAAACCTCTTTATCAATACCACTTGCATCTATCACTAACATAACAGTTAATATGCACTTGATAGAACAGACATGGGAACAAATAGGTACAGAAAACAAACCTGAAGCCAAAGACCATCATTCACAGCTTTGCAAGGAAAACCCAACTCTTCAAGTTGCTTCCTCACATTCAAAAGTGCCTCAAAGGACATGTTGCTATATAGAAGAGATCCCCCTTCTAATATATTGACAAAAGCATCATATTCCTCACCACGAACCCCGCAGTTCCCTTTTGCATAGCTTTTTACCTGTCTTTTACCCACAACCCTGCCACCCCAAGAAAGAGAAGCCACGCCACATCTTCCCCAATCATTCAACATAGGCCCACCACAGGAAGAGGTCACTGAAGAGCAATGCCTTGATTGATCGCTTGCAAGCCAATTATTGTTATTCAAATGGTAGCACGAGGCTTCCTCAGATGGTCCTTCCATTGCTATTCCTCCACTTGTTCCTACACCAATTGGCATTTCAACATATGAACATGAAGTTCTTATCCCCTCTGCATCTGAAAACGAGTTACTAATTGATAACGACTGATCCATGTTGCAGGGATACATACGCTCTGAGTGAGCATATTCAGGTTGCTGCACCTGTTGGTACGACGAGCTAGATGCTCCTGCCTGGAAGTCAACCATGCAATCTGCAAGCTCAACCAGGAGTTTCTGAGCAGCATTACATTGCTCTAGGTCATCTTTTAAACTTAGGCGTCCCAGTTCAGATTCCAACCTGTTATCAGGACAGCTATCAACTAAATCTTTTCCCTTTGCTTTAGACGACTCATGAGAAGCCCCCATTGCCATCTCAGCAGACGAACTTTCTTGATCAGAACGTTCAGTCTGGTAAAAAGCACCTTTTGCAAGGAGGGTGTATAATGCCAGTTCAAACCTTTCAATAAAAATGAAAACACTGGTTCATCCAACTGTACAAACAAGAACCACAAAACCAAAGTTAACAGCCTGCCCACACATCTTACCGTTTTTCTTCACTAGGCACCCACAGCTCATCAGAGGTCAGCAATGCATGTAAAGTCTGAGAAGAAAGTTTAGGTAGCACCTATCCATTATGAGAAGAACCAATGACCAGTTAGAGAAGCTGCTATTGAAAAAAATTCATAACAAATACCATTCACCATTAACCTACACTAGAGGAAAAAATTTTCGGCTTCTTAAATTTCATTCTCTCTTAATCTTGTTAGTTCCATTATTTTTTTAGTCCTAATATCATCGCTACAAACACGAATGGGAGTTGGTAAGCACCAAAAACTTGACCTTTTCAGCTTTACCTCTTTCAATTCCATGGCACCACTTTGACAAAGATATCCCCAGCAAGCATTTCTCACCCTTTCTCCATGTATCCCATAATCTTGACTCTCAGCAAAAACCTAAATTTACATCAAAATTTCAATGAAAGAAACAAAAAAAAAAAGGGAAAAAATAAAAAGAAATTGTGAAATTATCATTCCAAACCTGATAAGCTAAGAAATTCGAAGTCCACAGCTCAGATATAATAAAATCCGTGCATATAGCACATAGATCCTATAATCAGTTTCACATGCCAAAAAAAAAAAGAAAAAAAATAGCAATTTAAATTCATTATACATATAATGATAAAAATTAAAAAAAAAAAAAGCCGATCTTTTTAACGACCTGAAGATCAAGAAATGAAGCAGCAGCTAAAACGCGAAATGCGTTATTATCATTAAGCTTGGGGTGGTGTCCGTACAAATAGGCCAACGCGATCGCGATCGCTTCACCATTAACGTTGTTATCGTCGACATTTAACGCTACAATCGGAGCATTGGCTTCTTTCCAAGGCCCGTGCAACATGTTCCTGATTAAAAAAAAAGAAATCTAAATCAGAATTTTATAAGCAAGAATCTAGGTCTTTGTTTGTTTGTTTTTTTATTTGGAGAACCTGAAGTAGGAGCTGCGGGAGAGGATTAGGCGGTGGAGGTGGTAGGTGGACCCCATGGTGTTAACGACGATGTCGGAAAAGGAACCGCCGTTGAAACCTTCCATTTGGATATGTTCGCAAAGGGAATTCAGGTTACAATCGACGGCTCTGAGTTCGCCTCTGCTCCGATCGTTGTCGGAGTGCTGTTGTGGAGGCGACGGCGGCGGAATCGTCATTTTCAATTGCTGCTAGTTGTGGCGGTGCGTTGGCGGCCCGTACTATCGGGGATTCGAGAATTGCGGTTCCATTTCCTGTTTAAACGTTGTCGTTTAAGATCACGAGTAAGAGAGAGAGAAAGCCATTGACACCAGAGAAAACAAAGTGAGAACTTTGCTTTTCCTTTTTTTTTTCCACTTGTCATTGTGGATTAAAACGCCGCGTTAAAAAAAAAAAAGTAAAAACGCGTCGTTTTGTCTATTTGAAGAATCTTTTTTCTGTCAAAACAGTGAACATCTTTCCTTCCTTATCCGTCATTCCTCGGTTCTTCTCTGTCTAAACCCTGTCATAAACCCTAAATTCTTGCAATTTCTTTTGATTAATTCTTTTTCTCTTGGTATTAAAATTTTATGTTATTATTTCCTTTTTTTTTGTAATTTCTCTCAAAACTTTGATTGGAGATTACAAATGTCAACATGAAGATGATCTTCAGAAATCCAGGTAATTTATTAATGTCTGGAAATTCAATATTAATTGAAAAAATTGGATCTTTTAGTTATATAATGTAAATTAATCAAGTTCCTGTCCTTGGGTGTTTTTTTTTCTTCCATTTTCATGTGCTTAAAGATCCCAAATTTACTATATTTTTTTTCCTTTTTGATTGATGCAGGATTAAGACTTTGTATTCGTACAAAGGGTTATCATATTTTCAATGCTTCTAAGAATCTGTCTTCCTTCTCTGATGGGCCTTCTTCTGAATTGTATAAGAAATCTGTTCCTTTTGTGGGTAAGAGTGGTGATATTCAAGAAAACCCAAGTAGAATTGAAGGGGTAAGAAAAGAAGTGGATGATGTGTGTTGTATATTGGAGAGTGGTCCTTGGGGCCCTGCCATTGAAAATGCTTTGTCTGTGCTCAATGAGAAGCCTCAACCTGGTTTGGTCATTGGGGTTTTGAGGAAATTGAAGGATGTCAATCAAGCAATAAGTTATTTTCGATGGACGGAGAGGAAAACTGACCAAGCACATTGTCCAGAAGCCTATAATTCACTTCTCATGGTAATGGCTCGGAATAGGAAGTTTGATTGCTTGGAACAGGTCCTTGGAGAAATGAGTGTCGCGGGATTTGGCCCGTCTAATAACACTTGCATTGAGTTGGTTGTTAGTTGTGTCAAGGCCCAAAAGTTAAGAGAAGCTTTTGATATTATACAGACAATGAGAAAGTTCAAATTCCGGCCGGCTTTTTCAGCTTATACCACTCTGATTGGTACTTTATCTGCTGTCTTTGAATCTGATCTTATGCTTACTCTGTTTCATCAGATGCAGGATCTAGGTTATGAAGTCAATGTCCATTTGTTTACTACACTTATTCGTGCGTTTGCCAAGGAAGGCCGGGTTGATGCAGCTCTTTCTCTGTTAGATGAGATGAAGAGCAACTCTTTTGAAGCAGATGTTGTTCTTTACAATGTCTGTATAGACTGCTTCGGTAAGGTGGGTAAGGTGGATATGGCATGGAAATTCTTTCATGAGATGAAAGCACAAGGCCTAATTCCTGATGATGTGACTTACACGAGCATGATAGGTGTTCTGTGCAAAGCCAATAGGCTGCAAGAAGCTGTAGAATTGTTTGAGCAGATGGAGCAGAATAGAAAGGTCCCTTGCGCTTATGCTTATAACACCATGATCATGGGTTATGGCTCTGCAGGAAAGTTTGATGAAGCATACAGTTTACTAGAAAGACAAAAGGCAAAAGGGTCCATTCCAAGTGTGATTGCATATAACTGCATTCTTACTTGCCTTGGGAAGAAGGGAAAAGTGGAGGAGGCATTGAGGATCTTTGAGGAGATGAAGAAAGATGCAGTGCCTAACCTTCCAACTTATAACATTCTTATAGACATGCTTTGTAAGGAAGGTAATCTTGAGGATGCTTTGAGGATTCGGGATGCCATGAAAGAAGCTGGCTTGTATCCCAATGTTTTTACTGTGAACATAATGATTGATCGACTATGTAAAGCGCAAAAACTTGATGAGGCATGTTCTCTATTTGAAGGAATGGATCATAAAGTTTGCTGCCCTGATGAGGTTACATTTTGCTCGCTTATAGATGGCTTGGGAAAGCATGGCAGAGTAAATGATGCCTACAGACTTTATGAGAAGATGCTGGATTCTGATAAGATCCCAAATGCTGTTGTATATACATCCCTCATTAGGAACTTCTTCAAGTGCGGCAGGAAGGAGGATGGTCATAAGATATACAAAGAAATGCTTCGCAGTGGGTGCCCTCCTGACCTTATGCTCCTCAATACCTACATGGATTGTGTTTTTAAAGCTGGAGAAATTGAGAAGGGTAGATCTTTATTTGAGGAAATAAAGGCTCAAAGATTCATTCCAGATGTGCAAAGCTATTCAATTCTGATTCATTCCCTTGTGAAAGCAGGTTTTGCACATGAAACCTATCAGTTGTTTCATGCAATGAAGGAGCAAGGCTGTGTTTTGGACACCCGTGCCTACAACACTGTGATTGATGGATTCTGTAAGTCAGGTAAGGTGAACAAAGCTTATCAGCTGCTAGAGGAAATGAAGACAAAGGGTCACCAACCCACCGTTGTTACCTATGGTTCCGTCATTGATGGTCTTGCTAAGATTGACAGGCTTGATGAAGCATATATGCTCTTTGAAGAAGCAAAATCACAGGGCATAGAGTTGAATTTGGTAATCTATAGTAGTCTTATTGACGGGTTTGGGAAAGTTGGAAGAATAGATGAAGCATATCTAATATTGGAAGAGCTGATGCAGAAAGGTTTGACGCCTAATGTATACACATGGAATTGCTTGCTTGATGCTCTGGTGAAAGCAGAAGAGATTGATGAAGCCCTTGTCTGCTTCAAGTCTATGAAAGAAATGAATTGCACTCCCAACCACATTACATATAGCATTTTAATAAATGGTCTTTGCAGGATTAGAAAATTTAATAAGGCCTTTGTGTTTTGGCAAGAGATGGAAAAGCAAGGGTTAAAACCCAATATCATCACTTACACCATCATGATCTCAGGACTTGCGAAGGCTGGTAACGTTCTGGAAGCGCATGGACTCTTTGAGAGGTTTAAGGCTAATGGGGGTATACCTGATTCTGCTTGCTATAATGCCATCATAGAGGGGTTAAGCAATGCAAATAGGGCGATGGATGCATATAAACTTTTCGAAGAAACTCGACGAAAAGGTTTTAATATTCATACCAAAACCTGTGTTGTTCTTTTAGATGCACTGCATAAAGCTGAATGTCTTGAGCAGGCAGCAATTGTGGGGGCTGTCTTGAAAGAAACAGCCAAGTCTCAACATGCTTCAAAATATTGGTGACTTGTTTCTCTTAGGTGTTGAACAGATCAATTAATGTGGTTTACTTCGCAGTCTCTGATGCAACAATGAGGTCTTACTCATCTCGCTGGTGGAGCAATGTGGGTGATGGACAATTTATTGTTACTACTAACCCATATCTGGAGATGAGCTTAAGCAAAGGTATTTCCTCATCGTATTAAGTATTTAATGTGATTATCTAAGCTATAACTGCATTTTGTGTGCATACAATTTCCTATGAACATCTAAGAAAGATTTCTGTGCCTAATGAGCATTTCTCTTTTGAGTTGTTAACCATGTAGTGAAGTCGGTGTGTGAGTACACCGGTGATATGGCTCCTTGATATGTTTTGGTTCTCTGAATTTCAAATATTGGCTAATGGCGACATATAGGATCTGTAGCAACTAGTAAATTTTCAATCTCCTGACAAGGAGAGTTATGGCAGGGCATTGAGATAGCCCGCAAAAAGAATAGCTAGGACAATATGCCTAAACTTTTTGTTCCAACATTTATCATTCTAGTGACTGATGTGAATCTAGTAATGATATAATGATACCTTCATTCACGATATCTATTACTTCTTGTGGATCTAGTAATGATATAATGATACCTTCATTCACGATATCTATTACTTCTTGTGATACAGGATTCTTGGTTTAGTAGGCCTATGAGACTCGTGCATCCAAAGACGATTCGATGGAGACGATTCAATATGTTGACTTCACTATATGAGCTCTGTCACCGAAGTCATTTCGAATATGTCATGTATGATAGAGAAAACAGAAACCCTCAGGAAATAACAAAGACAGCAAATGCCTCCACATTTAAATTTTAATCCTTTTACAGTTTTGTGCTTTGGTACCAGTACAACCCAACCAAATATCAGACATTCCTCCTGGGGTTTTCTTTCTAATTTGAAGGTCCCCCCTTGAGCGCATTGTGGGCATGGTTTCATTCTAATTATGCAGGAAATTTTGTTCATCTAAGTTCTCTAATGTATTATCACTTGCTAGAATCATTTGCCAAATAAATACAATGTTATAAGCATCAAGCTATATTTTTATGTTATAGAAAGAAAAACATTTAATAATCACTGTTACGAGAAAAAGATGAGGAGGTCCTTTTTCTTGATATGAGAAAAGGGATTAGGGATGGTGACGAGTTAGGTTAGGGTAAATTTTTACTTGTCTTAAACACGACTTAATTTTATAAGTTTAATATCTAATTCGACATTAAAATATTATTTTTTATATTTGAATTTAACTCAATGTGCATATATTTAAACCTATAATTGATTTAATTTGAAATTAATAAATTATTATTTTTTAAATATAAATATAAAAATTAAATAAAAAATAAAAAATAAAAAATATATATATTAGGTTGAGATGAAATGGATTTGTATAAAATTCAGCTTGATTTCAATTTTTTTTCAAGAATACTTAATATAAACTCGATTAAAAAAAATTAATTTATAGAATTGAGTCGAAACCATCAAGGGTTAGATGATCAATTCTAAGAAGGATGCAAGTACAAATCAAAAATTAATTATCGGATCATATGTTTGGGTGTTTGAAATATAGATTTTTATGAAATATACTAACTACAAACCCTAAATTCAAACAATATTAATTGAATAGAATCTTAACTCTTATACTAAATAAATTCTTTGAATATTTCTTATTTATTCAGTGTCATGCCACGTGTCCTAGCAGATATGAAAATGTGACAGCAATAATACAACCGGGTATGGAATATCATTACTACTTTACAGATTCGACCGTTAGACCTTAGAAAGCAAAGTCCAACGTGTCTTGTCCACTTTCTTCAAATTTTAAATTTTGAACGCTTTTGCCTTTCCCTTTTCCTATCAAAGCATATTCGATTTCAACCCTTTAAAATCAACTTTAAATCAATCTGTTTTGAGATCATAGATTCCTCTTTTTGTCATAGAAAAAATGGCGTTGAGACCCATTGATAATGCACTCCCGATTCCGCCAGAGAGACCCAAGAAACAAGCCAAAGTGTCGATTCCAATCCAGAAAAAACCATCAGAATGTGGTGTAAAAGACGAGAACAAGGCTCCTTTGCCACCATCTGAGAATCGGGATGCCTCCGTTGATTACATCTCTTCTGAGAATCTCAAACCCTTTCAAGACCCAGAATCAAACATTCATGTAATTCCCCATTTTTACTAGTCTGTCGCATTTTCATAATTTTCTGATTGGTTTTTCTTTGTATAAATTTATTTGAATTTTCAGAGCTTAGTCGAAGGGTTGGATTCAAAGGATTGGATTAAGGTGTGCGAGTCATTGAATGATGCTAGGCGGTACTCTTTGTATCACTCCACCCTACTGCTTCCAATCTTGTAAGATTCTAAATTTTCTTATTTTTGGTGCCTTGTTGGTGATGGGTTATTAAATGATAGCTATGTTACTCGTAACAAGTGAGTGTCAGATACGGATATATATCATAATATACTCGAACCTTTTTTTAAGTGTTTTCATATATTTGGAGGGTTGGACTTTCGTATCCATGTCCAGATATATGTCTGACCCGGATGTTGGACATGGGTACTTTAGGGTAAATGAAGAGTTGAAGCAACATAGGCTGATAAAACGTACGTGATTATGCAGAGAGAAAGTGATGTTGGTAGTTGTGAAGGCAATGAAGAACCCAAGAAGTGCTCTTTGCAAGACATCGATTATGGCTGCTTCGGATATCTTCAATGCCTTTGGTGAAAAGTTGCTTGATTCCACTGATTCTGGTGCATTTGATCAGTTGGTAAATACCCAGTTGGCCCAATTATCATTTCTCTTTTGAAGTTTTCAGTTTTCTATTTTCAGGTGTTAAAAATGGTGTTAAATATGTGGTGGGTTTACAGTTATTGCAGCTGTTATTAAAAGCTTCTCAGGACAAGAAGTTTGTGTGTGAAGAAGCTGATAAGTCGCTGACTGCAATGGTTAAGTCCATTGCTCCTTTGCCTCTGCTTCAGAAGCTTCGCGGGTATGTTAATCATGGCAACCTCAGAGTCAGAGCTAAAGCTGCTGTTTCCATTTCCGATTCTGTTTCCAAGATGGTAAACTACCGAGAAAACTCAACGGAAAAGCTGCTGTTTCCATTAATAAAATGTTTGAACTTTGTCTCACTAGTTGGATATGATTATATGATTCCAATTGCAGGGGCTGGAAGAAATCAAAGAGTTTGGGTTGGTTACACTGCTTCAAATGGCTGCAGATTTGCTGAATGATAGACTGCCGGAGGCCAGAGAGGCTGCAAGAAGCATTGTATTTTCTGTACACAAGGCATTTACAGAAAATGAAGAGAAGAATCCGGAGGAGGCTTGGCAAAGCTTGTGCCAGACAAATTTATCACCCATTCACGCTCAGTCCATGATCAAAGTTATTGCTTCTCATTAGAATTTAGAGTAACAGATTATAGCAGCAGCACGGGTGGTAGAAAGCTAGGGGTTGGTTTCATGTAAATGCTGTTTTTACATGATTCTATAGAACAATTGTTTCGTCCACTTTCTTTGTTTATTCTTTCTTTATCCTTGAATTGAAATCGACTTCAATCGCACATTTCATTGATTTCTAAGTTTCAGAATTTGATCTGCCCTTTGATAATCAAGAACTTCTGTTCTCATTTCACCATCTGAAGTGATCAAGAACCCATCAGCTGAGATTAAACCAGCTAATAAATCCAGTTTGATACAATAGAAGCCTGCAACCATGAATTGCAGCAATGAAATCTGAAATTCTTGAAAGAATTAATTAATCAAATGATTGAATACATTGTTTTTTACAAGCTGTTTTTTTAGAATGCCGTTACAGAATCACTGTTGTTATGAAATAAAAACTTTAATAAAACAAGGGTAAAAAAATTTTCGTGGCAGGACATTGTGATCAGTTCCAGCACTTAGAAACTTAAATCCCAAAACGCACCAAAGCTAATAGGTCATCAAGCTGCATAACTCTTTAACAGACGATAAACAAGACCTTGTAGACGTAGAAAAACAAGTAAAATAATTTACAAAATGATACTCATTGGCACTTGCACTTGAAAGACAGCAAGATTAACAAGGCAGACAAATGAAACTCATTTCACTATGGCACTTAAAACCCACTAGACTAAATAAAACAGCAGAGTAGAGAGAGAGCACAATGTTGAGCTTAAGCTTCATCCGTGGCAGAAATGAAAACAGCTAAAAACTTGGATGTTGCACTTGCCAATACCAACTAAAACAAGTTTCAGATCAAAAGAATTAACTGAAACAGGGTAACAAGAAATGGAAAATCTGAGTGCACCAAAAATAATTCTCAGTCCTAATGTGCACATTCTACAAAATACTAATGCTGTAGTCTATATTTACTCACTTTTCATTTTTTTTTCTTGAAATATTCAGTTTTTCTTCATATAGTTTCAAGAGCTCTGGTGCTTCGTTGGAATGACGGTTAACAAAGATCCTAAGGAACACCTTCTCCGACGTGTCAAATAATACAGACAATTTTAAGTCATTAACCAAACCTTGTGATAAAAATTCTTGCACAAACAGAGCCCTCGGAACAATTCTCTTCTCCAAGCTATGACTAAGAATACTTGATTGTTTGGCAACAAAAGTAGAATTGAAACCCATTTTATTCACAAGAAAATCCATTATAGCCATGATCTTGACCTCAGAAACTCTCATGCATGAGGGATGCTTTTGAAAAGCTTCAAATATCTCTTGGTCAGACCAACCCCATCTCCTATAAACATCAAACTTCTTCTCTAATGTGGATTTGCTCATTGATCTCAATGCAATAGCCGCATAAACAAACTTCAGTCTCGAAGAATCAAACCCCATTCTTTTGATTTCCTCCACAATCTCCTTAAACCGAGCCGGATCACATATAAATGATCTAGGATGACGGTGAAGCATTGTAACAATATTTGATTCAGGGACTCCATTTCCTCTCAAAATATTCATATTTGGAAACAGATAGGACTCAAAATTACAAACAAGAATACCCGTAAACCGTTTTATTGCTTTCATGGTCTTGTCATTGGATTGAAACAGGTTCCTTAGAAAATTAAATGAAGGGATAATTTGTTTCTCTAAACTAGCTCTCAAAAGTGCAGGGTGACTAGTCAATAGTTTGGCGAGGTCAGGCCTTGAAAAACCTACAGAGTAAAGAAACTCTAGTTTGGGCAAAAGGGTTTTCTCCGTATCACATACAAGCAGCATTGGCCGTCTTTTGATGAGGTTTGTGATTTGGGTTTTGGAAAAGCCATGCTTTTCAAAAAAAGCAACGAAAGAGTCAGGTTTTTCAGGGGTTTCAAAATGGACATACTTTGAAGCCAAGGAACCTGATTCTGGCGACAATCCAAATTTGTTTATGAGGTATGAAACCGTGAATGAGTGGTGATTTGAGGCTGTGGAGATAAATCTAAGAATACTTGATAGTTTAAAGACCGATGGGTTATCCTGAAGAAGTTTGTAACTTGGAGAGGCAGTGATTGCGTGCCTGCCATGAAGAAACCTAGTACTACAGAGAAAATGAAACATAGGAGGTCTCCCTTACTCACCTCTTGTCTTGAAGAAAATCTGTCCCCTGAAGAGAGAGAATCTGGTTTCCAGCAGAGAATAGGAAAACTGAGCTGAGAGCCGGGTAAATCTCCAAAAACCTCTTATTGTGTAATTTCCCTACCGGATTCTAGTGTCTTTTATTGTATAGAAGCCAGGGACTTCGTTTGTGTTGTGCAGCGCCCAAGCCCAACTTGCTTTTTTGTGGCCGGATGGCCTGCCAAAATGAGCTTTGAACAAACATTTTTTAACTGAGCAGGATTCAACCGATGGAACCTTTTTTTACCAGCATATTATTATTAAACATTTCTTTTCTTTTAGGTATTATATCATTTTAATTTGAAAGAATTTACTTATTTGATTATTACAATTTCTTCCATTTATATGTCAGCCTCATGTTATTTACTTTTAAACTAAGAGTTTTTTTACAATGGGAAGCAAGCTGTTACAAATTTGATTACAATTTTATGGAATGGAAGATGCAGTTGAAGATGGTAATGCTGATTTATAATGACATTATAGCCTCCAAAGTTAATTTAAGGCATGACTGCTTTTGATAACAGTATTCTCTGTTTTCTTTTTCTTTTTAAATAAATTTTTTCTAATGATTTGTAAGTAAAATATTAAATTCTTAATTTCAATAACTAAAGTTTAAATTCTACCCATCTCAAATATTGAAAAACAGTTGTTCTCTGGTCTTAGAAGCTCCAATTTGCATCACCGTTCAACAAAAGAGTTATTCTGATGGCCTATATGATACAAACTGTAGGATTCACAACTTTTAAGATCTAGCCTTCCATTGGTGTTGATGGCTAGATACATGCAACATTGCCATTCAGATCCCAGGTTCAAAGGCTATCAGAATAATTGAAAGAAGAAAGAAAAGCCCCTTCAAAAACCTAAATAAAAAAAAAAAAAAAATGAGATCCACGCACTATGTCACCTTGGAACAAGATATAGTGACAGGACTTTGTCAAGCTCCATTTTTTTTACAAGAAATATATTATAGCCATAAACTTTTTCTCAGATGCTGTCAAATACAAGGGACACCTCCGAAAGCTAGAAAACTCTGTGCACCAATCCAACCACACGTAATATAAACACTAAACTTCCTCTCCCATGTGGATTTGCTGTTTGTCCTCAATCCAACACCACTAAGACCAATGTAAACCTAGAAGGTTATAACCTCGTTTTCTCTATTTCCCACTCTCCCTATACTGGGCAGCTAGTGGTGGCTACCAGCAGAATTATAGTAGTTAAAAACTGCAATGACAAAGCTACATCAAAACAACAGAAAATTTGACCTTCATAACTTTAAACAAACGAAAACCAAGATGCAAAAGTTGCATGAAAAAGAACATCATTGATAGGTAAACCAAGAGATAGGTAAGTCTGCAAGTAAGACTCATTTCACCGTTGCATTTCAAGCAAGATAACTACTAAACCACATAAAACAGTCAGCTCACAATTTCATTGATGACAAAAGTGAGTTCTGCTAAAAATATTGTACTAGTTGCACTCATTAATTCAATCTGGAGCAAGTTTGAGATCAACGAATTCAATTGGATAAAAAAGTTAGAATCAGAAATGTTGTTCTACAACTATCCTGATCTATATTTCTATTCTACCGCAAGATCCATTTTTTCTTTGTACAGCTTTAACAGCTCCGGTGCTTTGTCTTCATATTGGTTAACAAATCTCTGTACGAACACCTTTTCTGAAGTGCCAAACAGGACCGACAATCTAAAGTCCTTAATTAAACCTTTTGATAGCAAGTCTTGAGCAAACAAACCCATTGGAACAATCAGCTTTTCCAAGCTCCGTCCAAAAACACTTGGTTGATTGGCAATGAGCAAAGTCTTGCCCATTTTGTCCACTAGAAAATCCATTATTGCTGCAATCTTCTCCTTGGATGCTTCCAAAACACCAGGATACTTTCAAAAAGCTTCCCAAATCTCCTGTTCAGACCAACCCCACTTCTTGTAAACATCAAATTTCCTCTCCATTGCAGCTTTGCTAACTTTTCTAAACATAATGAAAACAAGAAGAAATTTAAGCAACAAAGGATTGAACCCCATTTCCTTCACTTCCTTCACAATCTCCTTAAACTGATCAGGGCGCACAACAAAAGATCGAGGATGGTAATTGAACATTGATATGATATTTGCATCAGAAACCCCATTATCCCTCAGTGTTTTGATATTAGGTAACATATAAGCATCAAGTTTACATGGAATAAGATAAAGATTGCGCCTTATAGCTGTAACAGCCTTAGAATCAGATTGGACCAGACAGCTAACCTGATTAAAACAAGGGATAATCTGTTTCTGTAAGCTACGAGATAAAAGCATGGGGTTGTAGAATAAGAGTTTGGAAAGTTCAGGGCTTGAAACACCTCTAGATTGGAAAAACTGCATTTTGGGCAACAGTGTTTTCTCAACATCAGAACACAACAGAGGTGACCAACTCTTGATGATTTGTCTGATTTGGGTTTTCGAAAATCCATGTTTCTTCAAAAATGCAATAACGGCTATTTGAGCCTACTTGTTCCATAATGAAAGATAAAAAACCATGAGGTCCAAGCAATAGGTCATTGAGCTTCACAACTCTTTAACAAATGATTAACAAGATTGTGTAGATGCCGTAAAAACAAGGAAACTAAAAGGATAGGATTGCAAATGAAACTCATTTCACACTTGCACTTAGAGACAGCAAGATTAACAAGGCAGGCAAACGAAATTCATTTCACTATGGCACTTAAAACCCACAAGACTAAATAAAACAGCAGAGTAGAGAGAGAGCACAATGTTGAACTTAAGGCTTCATCCATGGCAAAAAAGAAAACAGCTAAAAAACTTGGATGCCGCATTTTCCAATTCCAATTAAAACAAGTTTCAAATCAAAAGAAAACTGAAACAGGGTAACATGACATGGAAAATCTGAGAGCACCAAAAATAAGTCTGAGTCTTAAGTGTGCATATCCTACAAAATACTAATGCTGCAGTCTATATTAACTCACTTTTCATTTTTTTTTTCTTGAAATATTCATTTTTTTTTCATATAGTTTCAAGAGCTCTGGTGCTTTGTTTACATCACGGTTAACAAAGATCCTAAGGAACACCTTCTCCGACGTGTCAAATAATACAGACAATTTTAAGTCATTAATCAAACCTTGTGATAATTCTTGCACAAACAGAGCCCTCGGAACAATTCTCTTCTCCAAGCTACGACTAAGAATGCTTGATTGTTTGGCAACAAGAGTAGAATTGAAACCCATTTTGTTCACAAGAAAATCCATTATAGCCATGATCTTGACCTCAGAAACTTTCATACATGAGGGATACTTTTGAAAAGCTTCAAATATCTCTTGGTCAGACCAACCCCATCTCCTATAAACATCAAACTTCTTCTCTAATGTGGATTTGCTCATTGATCTCAATGCAATAGCCGCTTCAACAAACTTCAGTCTCGAAGAATCAATCCCCATTCTTTTGATTTCCTCCACAATCTCCTTAAACCGAGCCAGATCACATATAAGTGATCTAGGCTGACGGTGAAACATTGTAACAATATTTGATTCAAGGACTCCATTTCCTCTCAAAATATTCATATTTGGAAACAGATGTGACTCACAATTATAAACAAGAATACCTGTAAACCGTTTTGTTGCTTTTATGGTCTTGTCATTGGATTGAAAAAGGTTCCTTAGAAAATTAAACGAAGGGATAATTTGTTTCTCTAAACTAGCTCTCAAAAGTGTTGGGTAATTAGTCAAGAGTTTGGCAAGGTCAGGCCTTGAAAACCCCACAGAGTAAAGAAACTCTAGTTTGGGCAAAAGGGTTTTCTCGGTATCATATACAAGCAGAATTGGCTGTCTTTTGATGAGGTTTGTGATTTGGGTTTTGGAAAAGCCCTGCTTTTCAAAAAAAGCAATGAAAGAGTCAGGTTTTTCAGGGGATTCAAAATGGACGTACTTTGAAGCCGAGGAAGCTGATTCTGGAGAAAACCCAAATTTGTTTACGAGATATGAAACAGTGAATGAGTACTGATTTCAGGCTGGGGAGATGAATCTAAGGTTACTTGATAGTTTAGTGACTGATGGGTTATCCTGAAAAAGTTTGTAACTTTGAGAGGCTGTGATTGTTTGCCTCCCATGGAGAAAACTAGTTCTACAGAGAAAATAAAACATAGGAATTGAAACTCAAGTCTCCCTTACTCATCTCTTGTTATGAAGAAAATCTGTCCCCTGAAAGAGAGAATCTGGTTTCCAGCAGAAAATGGGAAAACTGAGGCGAGATCCGGGTAAACCTCCAAGAACCTGGAGTGGAATCTCCTTACCGGATTCTACTGTCTTTTGTTGTATAGAAGCCAGGGGCTTTGTTTGTGTTGTGCAGCGTCCAAGCCCAACTTGCTTTTGTGCTCCACTAAGCTGCCCATGGCCGGACAGCCTGCCCAAATGAACTTTGAACAAACATTTAAGGGTGTTAATCGAGTGCGATTCAACCGATGGACATCATTTTTTACCAACATATTAATATTATAATTATATACATTAAAATTAAACATTTATTTTCTTTTAAGTACTATATCATTTTAATTTTAAAGAATTTACCATTTGATTATTACAATTTCTTCCATTTATGTCATATTATGTTCAGCCTCATGTTATTTACTTACAAACTAGGAGTAGTTCTTTTTACAATGGGAAGTGAGCTATTACAAATTTGATTACAATTTTATGGAATGAGAGCGTAAAAAGATGCAGATGAAGATGGTAATGCTGATGGGTAATGGCATCATAGTCTCCAATGTTAATTTAAGGCATGGTTGCTTTAGACAACAGTTGTTCTCTGTTTCTTATTCTTTTTAAATCAAGTTTTTCTCTGGCTGTCAACAGCCATAAAATATTAAACTCTTAGTTCTAATAACTAAAGTTTAAATTCTGACAGTATCGAGGATTAAATGAAAGTTTTTCTCTGAAGCTCCATTTTGCATCACTGTTCAACCCCAGAGTTAATCTGATGGCCTATTTGATGCAAGCAGTAGGATTCAAAACTTTTGAGATCTAGCCTTCCATTGTTGTTGATGGCTATATACATGTAAGATTGCCATTGAGATACCAGGTTCAAAGGCTATCAGAAGAATCGAAAGAACAAAGAAAAGCCCCTTCAAAAACCTAATAAAAACTCATGAATCCACTGTCACCTTGGAACAAGATATGGTGACACGACTATGTGAAGCAAGCTCCATTTTTTTAAAAGAATATATTATAGCCATAAACGTTTTCTCAGATGCTGTCAAATACAAGGGGCAACTCCGAAAAGCTGGAAAACTCTCTTCATCAATCCAACCACACTTGTTATAAATATTAAACTTCCTCTCCCATGTGGATTTGCTGTTTGTCCTCAATCCAGACACCAGTAAGAGCAATGTAAACCTTGAAGGATATAACCTCATTTTATTTCCCACTCTCCCTCTACTTGGTGGCAGAATTATAGTAATTAAAACTGCAATGACAAAGCTGCATCAAAACAACGGACGCATCAAAATAACGGACAGCTTGACCTCCATAACTTCAAACAAATGAAAAGCAAGAAGCAAAAATTGCATGAAAAAGAACACCATTGATAGGTAAGCCTACAAGTGAGACTCATTTCACAGTGGCATTTCAAGCAAGATAACTACTAAACCACTTAAAACAGTCAATTCACAGTTTCATTGATGACAATAGTGAATTCTGCTAAAAATATTGTACTAGTTGCAATCATTAATTCAATCTGGCGCAAGTTTGAGATCATCGAATTCAATTGGATAAAAAAGTTAAAATCAGAAATGTTGTTCTACAACTATCCTTATCTATATTTTTATCTTACCACAAGATCCATTTTTTTTTGTATAGCTTTAATAGCTCTAGTGCTTTGTCTTCATATTGGTTACAAATCCCTGAACGAACACCTTTTCTGAAGTGCCAAAGAGGACCGACAATCTAAAATCCTTAATTAAATCTTTTGATAACAAATTTTGAGCAAACAAACCCCTTGGACCAATCAGCTTCTCCAAGCTCCGTCGAAAAATACTTGGTTGATTAGCAATGAGCAAAGACTGAAAACCCATTTTGTTCACTAGAAAATCTATTATTGCCGCAATCTTCTACTCGGATGCTTCCAAAACACCAGGGTAATTTCGAAGCTTCCCAAATCTCTTGTTTAGACCAACCCCACTTCTTGTAAACATCAAATTTCCTCTCCATTGCAGGTTTGCTGACTTTTCTAAACATAATGACAGCAAGAAGAAATTTAAGCAACAAAGGATTGAACCCTATTTCCTTCACTTCCTTCACAATCTCCTTAAACCGATCAGGGCGCACGACTAAAGATCTAGGATGGTAATTGAACATTGATATGATATTTGATTCAGAAACCCCATTATCCCTCAGTGTTTTGATATTAGGTAACATATAAACATCAAGTTTACATGGAATAAGATAAGGATTGCGTCATATAGCTGTAATAGCCTTGGAATCAGATTGGAGCAGACTGCTAAGCTGATTGAAACAAGGGATAATCTGTTTCTGTAATTTACGAGATAAAACCACAGGGTTGTAGACTAAGAGTTTGGAAAGTTCAGGGCTTGAAACACCTCTAGATTGGAAAAACTGGATTTTGGGCAACAGTGTTTTCTCAACATCAGAACACAACAGAGGTGACCAAGTCTTGATGATTTGTCTGATTTGGGTTTTCGAAAACCCGTGTTTCTTCAAAAATGCAATAACGGCTATTGGAGCCTACTTTTTCCATAATGAAAGATAAAAAAACCATGAGGTCCAAGCAATAGGTCATCGAGCTTCACAACTCTTTAACAAATGATTAACAAGATTGTGTAGATGCAGCAAAAACGAGGAAACTAAAAGAAAAGGATTGCAAATGAAACTTATTTCACACTTGCACTTAGAGACAGCAAGATTAACAAGGCAGGCAAATGAAACTCATTTCACTATGGCACTTAAAACCCACAAGACTAAATAAAACAGCAGAGTAGAGAGAGAGCACAATGTTGAGCTTAAGGCTTCATCCATGGCAGAGAAGAAAACAGTTAAAAAACTTGGATGCTGCATTTTCCAATTCCAACTAAAACAAGTTTCAGATCAAAAGAATTAACTGAAACAGGGTAACATGACATGGAAAATCTGAGTGCACCAAAAATAATTCTGAGCCTTAGTAAGCATATCCGACCAAATACTAATGCTAGAGTCTATATTAACTCACTTTTCATTTTTTTTTCTTGAAATATTCAGTTTTTCTTCATATAGTTTCAAGAGCTCTGGTGCTTTGTTTACATCACGGTAAACAAAGATCCTAAGGAACTCCTTCTCCGACGTGGCAAATAATACAGACAATTTTAAGTCATTAATGAAACCTTGTGATGACAATTCTTGCACAAACAGAGCCCTCGGAACAATTCTCTTCTCCAAGCTACGACTAAGAATACATGATTGTTTGGCAACAAGAGTAGAATTGAAACCCATTTTATTCACAAGAAAATCCATTATAGCCATGATCTTGACCTCAGAAACTTTCATACATGAGGGATACTTTTGAAAAGCTTCAAATATCTCTTGGTCAGACCAACCCCATCTCCTACAAACATCAAACTTCTTCTCTAATGTGGATTTGCTCATTGTTCTCAATGCAATAGCCGCTTCAACAAACTTCGGTCTCGAAGAATCAATCCCCATTCTTTTGATTTCCTCCACAATCTCCTTAAACCGAGCCAGATCACATATAAATAATCTAGGATGACGGTAAAGCATTGTAACAATATTTGATTCAGGGACTCCGTTTCTTCTCAAAACATTCATATTTGGAAACAGATACGACTCAAAATTATAAACAAGAATACCCGTAAACCGTTTTATTGCTTTCATGGTCTTGTCATTGGATTGAAACAGGTTCCTTAGAAAATTAAATGAAGGGATAATTTTTTTCTCTAAGCTCCTCCTCAAAAGTGTAGGATAAATAGTCAAGAGTTTGGCAACGTCAGGCCTGGAAAAACCTATAGAGTAAAGGAACTCTAGTTTGGGCAAAAGGGTTTTCTCAGTATCATAAACAAGCAGGTCTGGCCGTCTTTTGATAAGGTTTGAGATTTGGGTTTTGGAAAAGCCATGCTTTTCCAAAAAAGCAATGAAAGTGTCAGGTTTTTCAGGGGTTTCAAAATGGACATACTTTGAAGCCGATGAAGCTGATTCTGGAGACAACCCACATTTGTTTATGAGGTATGAAACTGTAAAAGAGTGTTGATTTGAGGCTGTGGAGATAAATCTAAGAGTATTTGATAGCTTAAAGACTGATGGTTTATCCTGAAGAATGTGAAAAGGCTTGCAACTTTGAGCGGCTGTGATAGCTTGCCGCCCATTAAGAAAACTAGTTTTATGGAGAAAATAAAACATAGGAACTGAAATGAAACTAATCTCTCGTTACTCACCTCTGTTTTGAAGAAAATCTGTCCCAAGAATCTGATTTCCAACACAGAATGAGAAAACCGAGCGGACAGCCGTTTTGCCACTGGATTCTAGTTTCTTGTTAGGGTTTGTGCAGCTTCCAAGCCCAATTTGCTTTTGTGCTCCAATTAATAACTTTAAATTTATTCTCATCAAATTATTTAGGTGTTTTTTTTTTTTTTTTTTAACTTATTTTATATAGCTATACAAAATCATGATTGGACCTGGTCATCCAATCGTAATTCTTTTCGTTTTATTTGGATTTGAAACTCGTAACCAAATTTATTAATATTGCAATGGATAATATTTTAATTATTTTTAAAAATATAGTATATATAAGTACTAATTGTTTTGATTTTTTTTAAAATTTTTTAATTTAATATAAATATATTTATAAATATATGATGAATTTGTATATTATAATACTATTCATAATTTTATAAAATAAATAGTCAATATTTTTAAAAATTAAATAAATAAGTTTTAAAATACAAAAAATAATATCATAAATTTTTTATAATATTTTTAAATAATTAATATGATCATATGATATTTAAATAAGTTTTTTTATGTAAATATTAAGATTAAAATGAAAAATTAACATTAGTTTCATAATTGTTAAACTTTAAAAAAGAAAAATAATTGCATTCTTGAAAAAAATTGAAATACTTAATTTTAAAAAATAAAATATAAAAAAGTTATAATAGAAAATAGAGAAATTCAACTTTTAAGAGTTATTTTATCAATTATTTTTTTTATTATACTAAAAATAATGAAACAATAAAAGATAAATTAAAAATTACAAAATATATTTTACATTTATATACCAATCAAAGATAACTAATTCATCGAAATTCATTGAAGTAAGTCAAAATCAATGAAAATAATTGATTTTACCTAATACCAAATCTAATATAAAAAACATCTTTAAGTGTACCTTATTTTGATATAACTGAAGCGTATTGATTGATACAATCAATATCAAAATAAAATTAATAACTATGGGTAACACACAAGTGAAGTTAAGAGAAATGAGCTATTTGTACGCCAATTATAAAAAATGACCTTCTAAATTTGAGAGAAATCAAAACTTATATAATAGATTACGAAAGACATGAATATAAGTAATAAGATATAATATAAGAGAATTAAATGAAAAATATTATTTTTTATAGAAATGAATGGCATAATAAGGTTTAAAATTATAATCTAACATGATTTTTTTTGTCTTTCATATAATTGATCTCAGAATTATAAGATATAAGACTTTGTCTATTGTTGTTGTATATAATTATACAAAATATTTATATAATTTATAATTTATTATAATATATTCAAATATTTTTATTTATCCAATATTGATTCAAATAATTCGATGATTGAATTATTAGATCCAAGATAAAAAAAACTTTGATTAAATTATTATTCGAATATATTCTGATATCTATAATTGATTAAAGATTATTAAGTATATATCTCATTTTATTGAAAAATAAAAAAATAAAAAATATGCATCTCATTTTGACTTTAATTAAAGGAAGAGAAAATTATATTTTCTTCTATCATCACATTTTACATGCATAATAGATTTCTTCAAAAAATAATGAATTGAATATATAAGCATGCTCAAATGCAATTTCCTTCATTGGCAAGTTATTAAAGTTATGCCTTACTCCAAAAAAGAAAAAAAATAAAATTTTTTTATGGTAATGTTGATTAGGTACAACTTAATGACTTATAATTTATTAAATTTAGGTATCCATATTAAATTTATAGAAGTATAAGTCTTTTTTTTTTTTATCTTTGTCTCAAAATTAATTTCATTATTAATTCAAAGAAAATAATATTTTTAATTTTAATCATTTAATTTAAAAATAAAAAATGTAAAACTTACACTAAAATAAGTGAATATCTCTTCTTAATTCAATAATTAATATATATTTCTTTCATTTAACAAATCTAATTTTTATCTTAAAAAACTTATGATATAAATATAATATAATTTATTAAACCTTTGTTGCTTCAATCAAAGATATGAAGATCCTTTCATAGCAAAGTTTTCAAAGGAATCACACCTTTGAGAACCATACCTCCCACACGTAGCTCATCAAAAAACTATCATCCATTGATGAAAAATTGGATTGTTGTGAAATAACATAAATTCTTCTCGAACCAAAAAGAATAAACATGAAATTCTTACATGTTATAGATAAATTTAATAATTTAAAATACGATACAGTAATATAATATGAACACGATATAAAAGTAATATAATTTAAAATTTTAATAATAATTATATATAAATTAAATAAAATTAAAAATATATATTTTATATTTTTATATACACATAAATTATAATACATAATTTTTATATAAAATATAATATAAATATATAAATTTTTATATTTTATGTAATACAAATATATAAATCCTCGTATCTAGATAGATCTATAATTTGTCACACATTTTACATTTGTTTTCTTGGCCAACAAGCAGGTAACGTGTGCGAAACCGCCAATCCTAGTAACAGAAGAGTACAAAATAGGGTTTTTTGTTTTCCCTGGCAGTTTCCCAGCCGCTTTTCAATCTTGAGGCTCTTGACTTGGCACAGTATCGGGCATGAGTGGTTGTCTCACTCTTTCACTCTTCACCAACCAAACCCAAAACCCAACACTCTCCAACTCAACACAAACTTAAACATCATCGAAACTAAACAACAAACATAACAAAGCCTGCCCTAAAATCCACATCCCGAGGAAAAAAAAAACAAGTAAAAGGCTCCCCATTTTCTTTTTGCTCATTATCTCTTTGGCATCCATTGTTTGTCTTAAAAAGAAGAGCTCAAGTCCATGGATTCAATGACCCCCCATGTCTCTTTTCCTTCAACAAAAGAGACCCCATCTTCATCATCAGGTTCTTTTCTCATCCGAGCTCCTTTAACTGCTGATTCTGATTCTGATTCTGAATATGAATCTAACGGTAATGAAACTGCAAGCACTGTTGGTGGGAGTAGTTTGAATAGTTTTGAGAACAACAGTGAGTTGGAGTCTGAAGTTGAGGAGTTTTTGAGTGGTGATGAGGAGTTTGAAACTGCTTCTGAGATGGAGAGGCCTTTGGTGGGAGACCCAAATGAGGAAACCTTGGAAGAAGAGAATAACGGTATTAATCGAAGTTACAAAATTTATGTTGCTAATAAAGATGATGATATGGATGGCTTAGAGAATTCAATGGAAGATGAGGAAGAGAGTGGTGTTGCCATTGGTTTGGTGAATGGTTCTAATTCAAACCCGGTTGTTCCTATTGCCCAATTGTCAATGGATGATGAAGAGTTTGCTGAAATGTTGACTGATGAGGAAATGGTGACTGAAATGGAAGATGCAGGGTTTCCTGGTGCTGTTGAAAGCACACCTAGAATAAATGTGGCTTTGGGGGTTGAAGGTGGAGAAGAAGAAGAGCCATTGAAGTTGAGAAGTTCTGCTTTTCTTAACCAATATGACTCGTCTATGCTGGTTAAGGAAGAGGTTGAGAATGGTGGTTTGGAAGATTTTGTAGCTAAAGATAAGGGGTCTAGTTTGGAAGGGAGCCAAAAAGATGTTCTGATGGAAATTTCCAAATTGGATGAGGATGTTAAACATTCTGATGATAAAACCGTAGCACTGGAGAATCTGGTTGATGAGAGGAATGAGACAAAGCATGGGGATGGTCATGAGATAGAGGAAAAGAGTTCTTTTGCGGTCAATGATCCCAATCTTGCTTCTCAACCTGTGGTGGAACCTGTTGACGAGATTGTTGTGTCCAATGTGAAAGAATTGATGAATGATATGGACTCCTCTAAATTTTCATCTCCAATATCAATTCCAGACCAAAATGTTAAACCAGAAGTAGAAGATGTAGATAAGCATGTGGCAGAAAAAGTTTTCCTTTCTGATGAAGATGTTGTGCAATCTCCAATATCAATTCCAGACCAAAATGTTAAACCAGAAGTAGAAGATGTAGATAAGCATGTGGCAGAAAAAGTTTTCCTTTCTGATGAAGATGTTGTGCAACTTATTTTTGGAAGCTCCGATACAACCAAACAAGTGCTGAATGAGGTAGAGCATGGATTAACCTCCACTTCTCTTTTGAAGGTAAGTTCGGAGGATCAATTGGAGACATTAAGTCAGCAAATTGCTATGGACTCAGATGAAGAAGTGGAAGCAGAGAGGGAAGATGAAGCAAAGGGACTTTTCAATTCTGCTGCATTGGCTGCTCTTCTGAAAGCAGCAACAGGTGCTGAATTAGATGGTGGAGGCCTCACAATCACTTCTCCTGGTGGTTCTAGGGTAGTCTCTCTCGAGCGCCCAGCTCATTCAAGTTCCTCATTCCATTCTTCAAAAGTTGCTCCGTCAAATATGGTTGAGGTTGTCTCCAAGGACAATATAAGTGATGAAGATAAGAAGAGGTTTGAGAAGTTACAACTAATAAGAGTGAAATTCTTGAGACTTGTACAGAGACTAGGTTATTCTGCCGCTGATCCCATGGTGGCAAAGGTGCTGTACAGGCTGGCCCTAGCTTCAGGTAGTTTTTTCAGTCAAGAATTCACCCTTGAATCTGCCAAGAAAGCAGCTATGCAGCTTGAAGCAGAAAATAAAGATGACTTAGACTTTTCTTTGAATATGGTGGTTCTTGGAAAAACTGGAGTGGGAAAGAGTGCAACCATTAATTCCATTTTCCGTCAACAAAAATCCAGAATTGATGCTTTTGAACCAGCCACAACTGCTGTGAAGGAGATTGTTGGAACAATAGATGGAGTTAAGATCAGAATCTTTGATACTCCTGGTCTTAGATCTCCTGTGACAGAAGAAGCTACTAATTGCAAACTATTAGCATCTATAAAGAGGTTTGTAAGGAAGTTCCCACCAGATGTTGTTCTCTATGTTGATCGTTTGGACACACATGACAAAGATCGTACTGATTTTCTGTTACAAAAGTCACTCACTGATGCTCTCGGTTCATCAATATGGCAAAATGCCATTGTAGCTCTTACTCATGCGGCATCTGCTTCCCCAGAAGGGCCATCAGGGGAACCCCTAAGTTTTGAGGTCTTTGTTGCTCAAAGGTCCCATTTGGTTCATCAAACTATCAGCCAAGCACTTGGTGATCTGCGTTTAATGAATCCAAGTATGATGCATCCTGTGGCTCTTGTTGAGAACCATCCATCATGTCAGAGAGACAGAAATGGAGAAAGTTTGCTTCCCAATGGGCAAATTTGGAGGTCACAGTTGCTACTCTTGTGCTATTCAGTGAAGATCTTATCTGAAGCAATTTCTTTGTCAAAACCTCAAGATCCTTTTGATCACCAGAAGCTTTTTGGCTTCCGACTTAGATCCCCACCCCTAACTTACTTGCTGTCTTCTCTATTGCAATCTCGTCATCATCCAAAACTACCAAACAATCAGGTTGGTGAGGAGGATGTTGACATGGACATTGAGTTGGGAGACTTGTTTAATTCTGATGGAGAAGATTATGATGAATATGACCAGCTTCCACCATTCAAGCCTCTAAGGAGATCTCAGGTTGATAAACTTAGCAAGGAGCAGAGAACAGCTTATTATGAGGAGTATGATTATCGTGTGAAGCTACTTCAAAAGAAACAATGGAGAGAGGAGGTGAAAAGGTTGAGGGAAATTAAGAAGAAAGTGAAAGATGGTGAAAATAATTACATTACTGTTGGACATGATGTAGAGGTTGAAGTAGGGGATCGAGCTACTGTACCAGTCCCTTTGCCTGATATGGTTCTCCCTCCTTCCTTTGATGGAGACAACCCTACTTACCGATACCGGTTTTTGGATTCTGAATCTCAGCTTCTCATGAGGCCAGTTTTGGACTCACAGGGTTGGGATCATGATATTGGATATGATGGTGTCAGCCTTGAAAGAAGTCTTGCTATAGCCGGTTATTTTCCTGGGGCTTTTGCTGTTCAAATCACAAAGGATAAAAGAGAGTTCAATATCCATTTGGATTCCTCAGTCTGTGCAAAATATGGAGAGAATGGATCTACAATGGTGGGATTTGATATCCAAAATGTTGGAAAACATCTTTCTTACATCTTCAGGAGCGAAATAAAATTCAGAAATTTCAAAATAAACCAAACAACTGCTGGTTTATCAGTTACTTTCTTAGGTGAAAATGTGGCTACTGGACTTAAGATTGAGGATCAGATTGCAGTAGGAAAGCGCTTGGTTTTTGCTGGAAGTGCTGGGGCTATGACATCTCAAGGTGATACAGCATATGGCGCCAACATTGAAATCCGCCTGAAGGATAAGGATTTTCCCGTTGAGCAAAATCAGTCCACATTTGGACTGTCTTTGGTGAAGTGGAGGCGTGACCTGGGTCTAATGGCCAACCTACAGTCTCAGTTCTCTATCGGACGTAGTTCTTCAATGGCAGTTCGTGTAGGATTGAACAACAAGCGGAGTGGACAAATCACTCTCAAAGTAAGCAGCTCCCAGCAATTACATATAGCACTTGCATCATTGCTTCCAATCGCAGCTTCCATCTTGCGGATGATCTATCCTGGCTCTGATTTAAAAAGTTCTGCATGCTAGCATTTTCATTATTCCAGGGTCACTCTGACCCCTAATGGTGCTAAATTTTGGTTTGTCTAGCAATTTCAATTTATTTTAGCAACCTAGTAGGTGATCTGAACTGAAACTTCAATGAAACAGAAGCTACTTAATTGATGGTTTTGAGCAACCTTATTCATTGTTACTATCCCTCTACCTCATCTGGCCATATGAATGCAATTTGGAATAGACCAGGAAACTCAAAATTGTGCTGATGAGTCGGTGAAAGTTTCTTATCCCTGCTCATAATACTTTCAACTATGGTCGTTTTGACATTTTCAATTTTCATCTTATGGATTACTGCATTCACTCAATGATTTCTGTGCTAAATATATTAACCTGTGTCATTGCTACTTAAAATTACTGTGTTCATAAAGTGTATTGTGCCAGATTCTTGAAATACAATGCACAAATCTCATCTAGGGGAAGTTCACTTATGGCATGCACCGATTAGTAGGACAGTTATGCACGTTCTAAGGCAAAGAGAAAACAAAACAAGCAAATCTTCACGTTTGAGCATTTGATTCAATGATTAATGCATAAAATAATGATAAAAATCTGGTTATTAAACAAAACAAAACAAACAGGATTTGATTATTAAACTGGTTAAATCATGATAAAAATCGTGCAAGTTCCCACACAGCCACTCAAACAACAATAGTGAATCACGTCGATTTCAATTTACTGGAATCAGAAACAAATGACCCAGGTAAGAAGTAACCAGGCGAAACCCTAGACATTTACCAGGGTAAAACCAAATTTATGTTACAGACACATGTCCGTTAGAATCCCTGTGAACTCTAAAATTCAAATATTTTTTGCCAGTTACTTATTGGAGCTGAGCTCCCGAATTTTCTGATGGCTGCTGCAGCAACTCAGGTTCCTCTAAATCTTCAGTGATTGGTATATCCTGTTAAAAAGCAAACCAATGATCATCGTTTATGAGTAACAATAAGATCACTATTCAAGCAGCCGATAATTTCAGAGATGCATGAAATTAATGCAATCCTGAAATTAGCTAAAAACCATTAATCTTAGATGAATTGAATAAATCAGATAAGAGCTGACAGGATAATAAGCTGATACCTGAGTCTGTAGTAGATGATGTGGTTGCTGGTCTTGTGCCATTGTGTAGGGTTGTGGTTGTGACATTCTGTAATAAGGCTCCTTGAGATCAAGTTTGCATGTCGAGGTCTGAAGAATTCCTCCTTGTTCTGCCCCGGGGCCCCACATTTTAGCTATAAGAGTTTATACACACCTCGTTAGAAAAACGAAACATCAAATTAGAAACACAAAAAACAAGATTGAAACCAACCTGACAATGTTAGATATATGGTATAACTTTGAGCATTATGGGCAATCATGTGAAGTCGGCCAGTTATTTCTTGCCCAGCCATAACATAAATTGGCTGAGAAAGAACACATCGTATCTGATACCAGTGGGTTGTAGGCGCACCAGGGGCAGTGGTAAGCCATCTTTGCACAGTACTGTTCATAAAGCAGTTCAACAGCAGTTAAATAGGATGAAACTGCAAATCCAATGAAAATGCAAAATTTGAAAATATTACCTCCCATTAAAAAGAACATCAAACCAACAGGCCAACCCATGCACTCTAGTCCCCACAGATGCTATGAATTTTAATGGAATATCTATTTCATACAAGTCCTCTTCCTGCAAAAAGAATGAACAGCATTTGACTACACATTTTACTAATAACCATCAAAAGTAGTCAACCATAATCAGAGAAAAGAAGTCTAAATCAAAGAGCTATGATTAAGTGAAAAATATTTCAACACTCAGAAAAGTGGTCTTAATGTCCCATGGACATTAAAGTCAACCCACAAGTCTACAACAAGCCAATAACTAAAAAAGGCTTTCCCGATTACAGAGTTCTACAAAGCAACCAAGAATCAAAACATAGGACATAAATGGATGTAATAGAATATGATGAAAGTGGAAAAAATAAAATATTCATTGTCTCCGAAAATCATATTAAGATGGAAAAGCACAAATGCAAATACAAGATACAGCACTTTGATTAAGGAATATGAAATGGAGTTTACTATAGAGACTAAATAGTTAATAAGAGGCATGAGTCAATGGCTCACTGATACCTTTATTTCACTGAAGTCAAGCACATGGAAAATAGGAGGAGACACCAATAATCTTGGATCAAATGCATCCACCACAGGCTGTATGTAAAGCAAAAGGCATTCTATTAAAATTTAGCTGAAACAGAATGCAACATCAATGGAGAAACCACAAACACATGAAGAAAGATCAGCATGGGTAAAGAAATTTTATAAGCAAGTTCCGAGAAAAACCCAATGTAAACCTTGTATTTTAATAATGCTTACTGCCACATTTTCACTCTACGGATGCGTATAATGGTGTACAAAACAAACCTGAGAGAAGTATCCCTGGAATGCAGACCCATATAAGGGTGTGAGATCTACACCATAGTAGTTTTGTTGCTGCCAAAAAAGAGCCTGCAAGAACTTCAGGGTTAGGGAGGAGGAAAAGAAAGGTACATAAAAAGCAAAATTAAACAGAAAAGTAAAGGAAAATTGATAGCAAATCAAGAAATACAGAACGGTACACTGTCTGACCTGTATAATTTATGAAATGCATAATGAAAAGAAAGCATTGTAGTTTATAGCATTAAACATTGGGGTTGACAGCATTACAATGCATATACATATACGTTTCAAGGGAGCTTCTGGCAGCAAACCATATAGCTCAATAAAACAGAAATAAGGGAAGGTCTTCTAATAAAGTGAAGCTTGAAAGACTAAGCATCTTTCACTTTCTTTTGAGAATTTTATAAAACACCCCCTAAAAAAATGTGAAATCTATAAGGTTCTTTTATTTTTAAAGAAAAATACATTGATGGGTACAAAAAGGGGGGAGGGGAGGAAAGAATGTTTTGGAAATGTCTGATGTGAATCACACAATGGAAGCATAGAAACAGTATAAAACAATTTATATAAACAATAACTTTCTATGTAAATTCTCTTAATGAGACTGGAGGAGGAAAAACATTCACACCAACAAGTCATGAGATGTTTCAAATCAACTTTTTCTTTCTTCAAAGACAATAAATCTACATAGGCATGTACAAAAATGCATATATTACTCCAGCAAAACAATGCAAATACATACCTTATTTGCAATTTCTACAAACAAATATTCATCACTGAAAGGTGCCATATGTATCCTACAAGATTAAGATAGCATGAGACCATCTCAAGGAACAAGACCTTAAGCATTTTACAGCTTGATGTTCAAAACATAAATCAAAGAAATTAACAACACACAGGACATCCTTGAGATACAGATATAAGTAGTCAATGACATTAGCGATCTCATTCCAGTAAAAGAGCAAAGATAAAAGCGGAAAAACCATATGAAATGAAACAATTAAAATTAACAACCAAGAGGTATCATAGGATGAAGGTATGGCAGCAACCATAAAACTGCTTATAATTCACACCAGTTTAGTATGATAATTCATTAAAAAAAGAACTCATAACGAAAACCAACAGAGTAGGAAGTGAACTGCAAGTTTTCATAAAAAGCGAAAGTTCTAAAAGCTTTGGGACCCTATTACCTGCAAATAAGAAATCATTAATCAACTGCTTGAGAAACAAACAGATTTAATGGCGTAATGTTTACCTTCCAATTGATGGAAACATTTTCCCCTTAGGCACAAGAAACCGATCCCTTGCAATTATGTAGGACTCCAACATTCTCTCATTAACTAATAGGGTGCCTGCAAGTAACCCAAAAATCAATTAAAAACTCTTGCTTCAATGAAAACTAAGCAGCAAAGTTTAAACATCCACAAAACAATTCCAGCACATCTTCAAAGCATTTTCATTTTTCATATTCTGACTGAAAAAACTTCATCTTCAATGCATGGAAGCAAGTACTATAGATGCATCAGTATCATGAGATTTTCATCATCACACAAAATGACAAAAGCAAAGCCTCACACACTAACATACCCATTGGTTCAGAGATCAGAATATCCGCTTTCTGAGGCAATTCAACTTCCTCAACTTTACCTTTGATTACCTATATTTTACACAACATTATAACCAAACAAATTAGAAACCAGATCACTCTGGATATAAGAGAAAACAGCAACAACATGACAAGACAAGCACATACAGTAATCCGTTGGCCTAATGTGGAGTTTCCAGCAATAAGTTTTCGAGCATATTCTGCCATTTCAGAAGCTTCAACAGCATAAACATGCTTTGCACCAGCCTAATAGGAAGAAGAAAGGGAATTGAGCATCAATCTACAAACCATAGGAAAACTAAGAGTACATATGCATATTCAACATAGACCAAAAGATTAAGAATACCTGTGCAGCAAATAATGACAAAATACCACTGCCAGCACCAACATCAACCACCACACAATCTGTAAAATCTGCCCGGTTCTCAATTACAGCAGCATAATAGGTTCCTGAAGAAAAAATAGTTAATCAGTGATCAGCATCTAAAAAATATGACCTGCAGTTTAAGCTATTTGACTGGTGACTTCTTTGGTATGTTTATGATACATAATGGTATAATGTCTCATACCAGTGGGCTTTATTAGCATTGTCTACAAAAATTCAAAGTGAATTCGTAACACAGAGTCAAAAGAAACAATGAAACACAGCTCTGTGATATAACCTGTCCTCACATAATCTTGTAACATATTTTGCTGATGTAGCAATTGTCCATAATAATGGAAATACATTTTAGCTGAAGATGGCTCGATTTTATTATCAAACTTGCTCTTACAAGAAGAAATGGCTCCATTGGGCAAATGTGTTCCTGGATGAGAAGGAAAAAAAGATCAAACAAAAGCCTATATAGCAGTCAGTTTTTCTGTATGGTCATAAGCAGGTTTCAAAAGTAGCACTCTGAATAACATCTTCATTCTGCCATTGCTCAAATGCAGAATGGAAGTCCCTGCTCTCCTCCTCGTTTCTAAATTGGATTGCAACTCCCCGCGAAAATGATTTCTGATACAAAAGTAATACTGTAAAAAAATGTAACATCCGGCACTGTTTGAAAGTAACATCATACTGATCAACAGCAATGATTATACAAATTTTTCAATAAAAAAAAGGCATTTGGCAAGGATATATACTCCAAAACAATACAAGTAGTACGCAGAAAGAAGTAGCTACGTCTAACCACTAACCAGCATTTTACCATGATCGAAAAAAGGGGCATTGCATTTAACCAAACCATAAAAACAGTGGAAAAAGCTCAAGAAATTAAAAGAAAGAAAACATAAGCGTTCCTTCTATTGCTAAAATTTCCATACATATCTAGGCAACAGTTAAAATGAATGAAAAACATAAGCTTCCTTCTATTGCTAAAATTTCCATACATATCTCGGGCAAAAGTTGAAATGATTTCAATACCTCTTTATTGATATCAGAACTCTCCCAAACCCAAAGCGATTGAACAGGTCCCAACTTGAAGAGCTGAAAACAATAAAAATACGAACCTTAACCATGTTAACACTCTTCGTAGCTGTCAGTAACTAAAAGTTTTAATTCAAAAGTTGTAAATTTCAATAATCCAATGCAACTTCACTATTCTTCCTCAACAAACAAACTATACCAAAAAGTAGCAATTTTGAAACAAACCCAAAGCAAAAAAAAAATAAAGAAAAAAAACGTAGTCCTTCATTAATCCAAGAAAAAAGAAAGCTTTTTTCCTTTTTTTTTTCTAATTAAGACAAGAAAAAAAATCTATCAATGTTAACCCTTTCTTTACCTTTGTATCCCGTGGCCATTTTCTCAAGAACCAAACAACACTCTCTTTTTTCTTACCTGAGAGGTTCCGAGATCGACATTGAAGCCGTCAGTAAATTCCGAATCACGGTGAAACCGAAGCTCAGCAACTCCACCATCAACATTGAACCGAGCAATCAGTGGCGTAGAAGAAGACGAAACCGATGGAGAAGACAGCTCAGAAACTGCCGCCAAAGTGAACTCCAAGTGTTTGTGTTCTAACCCAGCTGAACCCTCCATTATTATTATTATATTATACCAAAACAAAATAGGAAAATAGAAATCTATCAAATCTAATCTATTTCCAAACTAGGGTTTTTGTCAAAGAAGGAAAAAAATTTAAAGAGAGAGAGAAGAGAGGGCCAAGCTTTAGAGAGCCGCCACCGAGTGAGAGAAAGAACAAAGAGAGTAGCTTTAGCTGATTTATTATGGGGACAGAACAAAGGTTTTTTTTTTTTTTTTTTTTTTATAAAGGTAGATGCTGAATTGCTGAGAGGGAAGTTTGGGTGTGAGTGATGACGTGTGAGGATCATACCCGTTGGCTTGTTTTGATTGTGGGTCCAAAGGTGGATGGTGGTGCAGTGGCCTTGGCTTCAAGTTGGTGGAATGGAATTTTGTTTTTATTTTCTAATTTTCAGTTTATTAAAATTTCCAGTTTAATGAATGTTTTATTTTTTATTTTAAAAAATAAGGAAATAGAAAAAATAATAAAAATCAAAAATCAAAAGTATCTTTCAAATAAAATTTAATTAACCCAATTATTTGCAAATTAAGAGTTTGAATCACTTATTTTTCTTGCCTTAATCTTAATTTGAAAAAAAAAAACTTATTTAATAATAAAAATTAAAACTTTTTAATTGCTATGAAATTATGTGAACTCTGATACTAACTTTTGATATTTTTATAATTCAATGTTGTTTGCATGACGTAATTTAATTTTATTTAATTTTAGTATCATGCAATTTTGATATATTTTTTAAAAATATTATTGAGGGATTTTATATCTCAGAGCCATTGAGAATCACTACTTTAAAACATCCTTTTTTTTAAAAAAAAATCAGAAAAATAAAAAAAATCCTAAAAAAAAAAAAAGAAGGGGGAAAAGGCCGGTCCAGGAGCCATTCTCTTTATTATTTATAGGTTTAATTTAATGAGCCCTTATAGCTTTCGAATAATTAATACTTATTATGCCACTCAAAAACATTAAAGCAAATTAGAAGTAAATCCTTCAAATTAACTTAAATATTTGTTCTTGTTAACATTTATATACGCTTGGTTAGTGGTTATTACTTTTTATTTTGACTTTAACTTGAAATTTTGATGTCGATTACTTTTTAAATTAATTGATATATTATTAAAATTGACATTTAAAAGTTATAGTTTTAAAAAAATTTATACTCAGTAATTTTTTTTTCAATCAATTAAGTAATAGAATAAAGAATTTTACAAGTAGATTAGGAATTTAAAATAAAATAAAAACTTAATACGTCGATCATGTTGAGCAGAACCAAGATATGAAAGAAGGCAGGATCAATGAACTTGAAAATGAAATTTTGTCATCAATTATTTCATTGATGTCTTGAAAAGATGCAGTTCGGGTCAAGAAAGTATCAAGAAAATGGTGAATGTGATTGCCAAGTTTCATTTCAACTGTTTTCTAACGCATCAGAGCTGAAGTATTTCCTTCTGAATTTATGTAACAAGGCACCAACAATAAGTGGTAAGTTGCTTTCTTTAACAACCCTCAAGTTGGAATGTGTAAGATTAAACCAAAATATATTGGAGAGTTTTTTCTCTTGTTGTGTGAATCTTGAGCGATTGATCCCGCAAAGATGTAAGCTTTCGAATTGCGAATTTCAGACTTCAAGTCCTTGCATCCCTTAGAAGTTTCTGCAGATTCTTCACTGTGATGAGGTGAAAAGTATCAAAGTTTCTGAAGCAGTTGAACTTGTGTTTTAATGGAGGAAAATTTTCTTTTTCTCTTGTTCCCAAGCTAGAAGAATTGCGTCTAGATGCAGTCCTTGACGATCAATGTTTGGATGGTATTCTCAACACCAATTCTGCAAACCATATTGTACAGCTGAGAAAGTTGGTGTTGCTTTCTGACATTGAACAACAAGTACCTGCAAGCATAAGAACATTCTACCAAGTCAAACAATTGGAATTGATTCTAACTGGAAAGTACCATAGTTATGATCTTTTCAAGGTTGTTCCTCTACTTGTTGCCTGTCCCTTGCTTCGGAAATGTCAATTGCTAGTTTTGGCTCAACCACTGGAGGTATCAACAAAACTGAAGAAGCTTAATCAACACCAGTTTACACACTTGAGGGAAGTTGAAATCTATCAGTTTCATGATAGCCAGAATGACATTGACTTTGTCCTTTATTTGCTGGAAAATGCTGTTGTACTTGAGTAAATGATACTTGACTCAAGGTGTGAAACTTAATGAAATGGCAGATTACAACCTGGTGTTGGTTGGGTTAAAGAAACAGCTGAATTGGCCTGTCAACAGCTTCAGACAAAGGCTTCAGCTTCTTCAAATGCATAGCTATTCATCAGAGATGCCTTGAGTTCTCCATGATGATAAACTGTTGTTTCTTTTTCTTTTTTTTTTTTTCCAGATGATTTTGCATTTCAAGCTCCTATAATTCTACTATCAAGTGAACAAGAATAACGAGATCAGATGCCAGAGTAACCTTTTTTGCCATTCAAGTTTTAGCGATACTTCGCAATCTATCCTAACACCACATGATTCTTGGCAAACTTATCAGGCATAATTCAAAGTAAGCGCAAACATAAGACTTTCAGGAACTGGTAACACAACATGAACCTCTTTTCCAGGGGATGGTTTCATTAGCTTTTGTATTCCAGATACATAAACTCCACTCTCTTGAGCAGATACACAACATTCAATTCTATTCTCTTCAAGAATTCTATAGAGAACTCAAACAGAATTAGGAAAGCACGATGGAAGTGGAAGAACTGTAATCTCAAATGCAACAGATAGTAAAAATGTGACAATGTCAATACCCTCCCATGAATTCAGTGCCAGAGTATGCTTAAAACAGCGAGGCTAGTTCCCAGGATATCTATTTTGTTCTCCGAATCGAGTTAACATTTGAAGCAGCAATAACATAAAAACAATTGCAACATTATTCATCCTTGCCCAGCTATAACAAGGCCTCTTTAAATTTGATTCAATTTGATTACTATGAAAATAACAATGTCTGGTTCCCTCTGCATTGTTTATCTACAAACAAATTAATACCCTCTGAACACAGACAACCGTTAAGAGTCATCAGCTCAGCCAATTATATATGTGCAAGAACAAGTACAAGCATTTCAATTCCAACACAACAAATAAACTCAACTGAAGTCATCATCGAGCACAAAGTTCTACTATTATTTCCGTTGACAGTGATATCCAACATATCTAAGCAAAATTTAGTCAACATGACATGCAAATAAACTATAAAAGAGTACTACAATTCCAACCATTAAGCATCTAATAATGAACAAGGCAAATCGATACCAGTAATAATTTTTCCTTTCTATAAATCAATAACACAAAAAATTGAGTACAATATCCAAGCTACCAAAAGGAATGGAAATTGACAAGTTTAAGAATAAATCAAGAACAGCAGTGTATGACTGTTACATATCAGCTATTCCAATGAACCATTATCAAGAAGCCGATACCTTAACAGCTTTAAAAGCAGGATGAAGCAACCCTAACTCATCTTTAACTTCAAGAGGATTACCGGTCTCATTCCTAACTCTCTTAACTCTCCTACCAGCCAGCGATTTATGCATAAACCCATACATTTGCAAGATCTGATTATCCCCAAAATTAAAAGCTCTATCCATTTGTCTCAAACACCTCTCCACCGGATAATCCCCGAACTTCCCACATGGCTTACACCCGACAAAATGAGTAACCAACGGCCATCTATGATCCCCCAACCCCGGATGATAATTCTCAATCATTTCCTCATATCGATCCACCAAAATCCCCCAATAACCATGCAAATAATAAGCATTCTCTAAATAAACCTTTTCACCCCATTTTGCTCTTTCCTTGACCAACAAGTAAACCATAGCAGACTGATAATCGGCTTCGAACACCGGCCTACCTTTTAACTCCCTAGTTAAAATTTTCCCAGCTTCTTCCCTAATCTTCCCTTTCGGACCCATAGGAGCCCAAGCATCTAAAAGATCAAGCGACCATTGACAATTCCTTAACAAAAAACTACCCGTATTTAAACCAATCCAATTTTTTTCATCATAAACCATTTCATTCCAACCATGCATAACCAAATTAAAATCTGTGTACCTTTCCCATGGAACCTCGTACGCCATATCCGTAAACATCGCATCACTGTCCATCCACCAAAGGAACTCAATTTCAGGATGCGAAATCAAAAGCTTTCGAATCAACGGTAATTTCGCCCAAAATCCCGCCATTTCAGCATCCAATAAAGCCATGTTGTAAAAAATCTCGATCCCGTGTACTCTACAGTAATCGATCTTGTTCTTAATCGATTTCAATAAGTAATGATCGCCGACCGGGTTTTCGCACGGTTTGGGTGATGAACCGGTGACGAGGAGGACTTGGGGCTTGTTTGGACCGATGAAGTTTGGGAAATTCGGGTTGTTTTTTAGCCATTCGGATCTTTGTTGATCCCAATCGGATATTTTAGGTCCGAGTGAGTACGATTTGTTCGGGTCGGGTTTTTCCTTTTCTCCGTCTTCTTCGTCGACGAGAATCTTGGAGATTACCAAATTCAGCGTAGTTCTTATCATTGTTGTCGCTCTGAACGGCGTCGTTTTGAGCTTCTTGGATTACGCGACGAGGCTCCACGCGCTTGCGGGAAGCGTAGGAGTGGTGGTTGGTGTTTTCCTCAGAGAAGCCCGGTTTTGCGGCGCTGAAGGTGCCATGTAGGACGATGAGACTTAGTATAAAGCAGAGAACGGTTATTTTGGCTCGGGAACGGCGAAGTCGTAACCACCGGTCCAACATCTTGGTTTCCTTCCCGGTTGAGGCGATTAGGTTCGATTGTAAATAAAGGGAAAACCGGGGGAAATAACGCGGTGGAGTGGGAGAGTGAAGGAAGGAAGAAAACAAGGGAAAATTAAAAAAATAAATGCAGAGTTGGAAACAGAGATCGGTTCTTTATTTATTATTATTTTTTAATATTTTATTTGGGGTTTAAGGCAAGCACGTTGAGGGGAAATTTTATTTTTCTGATGGTGTAAAACGACAGCCGTGGATTCCATAGGTGGGGCCTGGTAAAGACAGATCGTACGGTGTTGGCTTTCATTACAAGGGGTGTGAGTCATTTGTCGAGTTAGAATGACGCACGTGTCGGTGTCATGTATCATTGATATATTAAGATTTGCATTTACATCAAATCACATGGTTTTCAAGGATGTGTTTTAATGTGGACGCCGATTTGGGCAGCATTTCATTTATAATATTTTTTATTAAAATTTTGTAATTATTTTATCATAATTAAAAATTATATAAGAATTTATCATTTATAAATACGAGTTTTATATATTATTTTGATGATTTTACATAATTCTAAAATTTAATTAGTTAATTATAATATAATTATTGTAAGTGAAATATTTTTATCAATCTTATTCAAATTAAATGGGAAACTTACTTTTACTTAAATAGAAATAAGATAGGTACTAAATTTTGAGATAAGGATGAAATTAGATATGATTTTAAAATTTTTTCAATTATAAAAATGAGGACAAGTAATATAACACGTACTGTATCAATAATATTTATATATATTTAATAAAATTTTTTTTTTTTGATAATATAAACTTTCATTTTAAATTAATTAACCTCAAGTTAAATATTTTTGCAAAGTATATATTAGATTTAATATATTTTTATTTAAAATATTTACTTATATATATAATTATAGGTAAGTGTAAGATAAAAATAAAAAAAAATTAAAATTTAATTTAATCTTTTATTTTTTAAAGAGTTTTGGGATATGGAAAAATTTTATACCTATTGAATTTTCATAAAGATAAAAATGAAAATAAATTTAAAATATCCATTAAATAAATATACAAAGATATATATAATATAAAAAATCAGAATGTGGAAGGAAAATACTCTACTTACCCCATTGACATCCTTAGTGTCTAATGTTAATAAATTGATTAGCATGTTAATTAATAGTTAATAACACTAATTAAGGTAATACTTAAAAATGCAATATTTTTTGGATAAAAAAGTTACAAAGTCATCAAGAAAAACATTTATATACAAATTAAAGAGTAGGGAAGAAATGCAAACCAAACCAAACAAGGTTTAACAAGATCTCTCTTACAAGGATTAATTTTTCTAAAGTTGGAATAACAAGCAAAAGAATCTCAAGATGTAATAAACAAAACATAAAGTCAAACCAAATTGTATCCATAACAAGCTGGAGAGGATCCCAACAATGCTTAGTGAAATTTGAGAAATATAGAGAGATAATGCATTAGAATTCAAATGGAATCTACCATTGACCCAAACAAGCCAAGCAGCAAAGTTCATGCTGAAACTTGGATCATTGGATACACCAAAATAATAGTGCAAGGGTTTAAATAATCTTTTTATTGTTTTTTTTTTTATTTTTTATTTTTTATTATTATGCCATCTTTCTTTTTTAGATTTTTTTTTTATTTCATTTAACTTTCGCACATATTAAATTGAAATTTAATTTTAGGAAAAAAGTTTTAATCGACTTTATGGTTAAGATTATTTTAAAATTCGTTTGACGTTTTTATGTTGAATCCAAACAAATACTCTAACGCAATGAAACCAAACAGACTCATTGATCCAAAAATATCCTTGGACCGTCATATCTCGTATGCTATAGCATCCGCAACAAAGTTGGGATAAAGGCTATTTCATCTCCAATAGCTCAAATTGTCGTCGTCACTTCACTTCTCGATCTCTCAGTCGGTTGTAGAAATAACAAAATAAAAAATAATTTAAAATTATAATTTGTAATTTGATTTAGATTAATTTTTATTTAATTTAAATTAAATTTAAATATTAAATTTAAATTAATTTTTGATTGAATTTAAGTTAAAAAGTGAAAAATTTAAAAAATCTAATCAAATTGAATTATATATAATTATTTTATATATTTTTTAATTTTTATAAAATAAAAAATGATTTTATATTAAAATTTATTTAAATATATAAATATTTTATATTAAAATAATATATAAAAATAAAAAATTTTCATGATAAATTAAAGTTGATTCGTTTTTATCGTATGTATAAAAATTCAAATCTAATTTTAAAAATTTATAATATTATATATATATAAAAAAAAAAAACCCTAAATCCGGTGTTCATATCACCGTACTGCGTCGTCACTTACTCTCCAAAACTTTAGCCATTTCCCTTCATCTCCACTGCCAAGCAGCGAAAAGTCTCTTAGCCATTAAAAATTTCGAGAATGGTAAATTTTCTCATTCGTAATCAGATTATTTTTCTGTAATTTTTTTTATTTTAAATCTAATTAATTTCTTTATTTTTCTAATCATTCATTGAAGAGTACTTGATTAGAGTTTTGAATTCTTTGTTAGTGAATCTGATATGTTCCCTTGTACGAGGTAGCCATCTTCAGGATTTTTTCCTTTTTTTTCTGAATTTTAATTTTAAAAGTTTTGAATTCTGTTTGGTGGCTGAGAAATGCTCGGAATTTGGAAACTGACCAGTTTTGAATCTTTTGACCGTATGTTTATTATATTAGGCTTGTTAATGGAGTGTGAAATGTCATTACCTATTGCTCAAAACAGGAACTGTGAAATGTAGCTATGGTTGTAATTGCTGAAGTTCTGTTTGGTTGCTGAGAAATGCTTGTAAAGTTAATGTAAGTGTTAGATTCAAATGTTTAACTATATGGAAACTGACTGGTTTTGAATCTTTTGGCGCTATGTTTATTACATTCGGCTTGTTAATGGATTGAGAAATGTCATAATCTATTGCTGAAAACAGGAACTGTGAAATGTAGCTATGGTTGTAATTGCTGAAGTTCTGTTTGGTTGCTGAGAAATGCTTGGGAAGCAAATTGGAGTATTAGATCCAAAAGTTCAACTATGTGGAAACTAACTGGTTTCCAAGATATGTTTCTTATCTTTGTCTTGTTAGTGGAAATGTAATAACCTATTGCTGAAAACAAAAATTGTTAAATGTAGCCATGGTTTTAATTGTTTTTGTGTTGCAGTAACATTTAATTTTAAATTTGATTTGAATGAATTAACCTTTTGGGTCTAATTAAGTTGATATTCACTAGCCGATACGTTTTTGGGTTGAACTTTACTTTCATCGAAGAAAGATTTGCTTCCTCCAGCAACTATCAAGCATTTTGATTTCATATGGTAGCAGATATCTATATTCTTGATAGCATTTTATGTTGCATAATTTGCATTTTATATTTTATATTTTATTCTGCAGGATGGGAATGATTCTATCCAAAACAGAACACCACTCATATGGCAGCTTCCGTAAGTTACTTTACAAGTTCCCTGGTACTTTTATGTATCACAAATAAATTTAGACCCTTTCCTTCTCTTCATGTTTATTTAGACCAGACAATATTAGCCATGCTGTTTTGGGGGTTTTTCCGATCATTGCACTCAAATCTGTTGGACCGTCCTATGTTTTTACTAATAGAGGAAAGCTTGGGAATTTTGTTATTTTTTAGATATGCATATTGCAATATGATGGTTCTATGGTTTAAATGACTTTCATTCAGCTTCTACTGAATTTTAGTACATTTTTTTGCAGGTCCAGAATCTACTTCAATAGATGGTGAGTTCTTATTTTCAACTGCTTTGAGATTCTGTATGGAATTAAGGAGCAATGGATTTAAAGTAGATGTAGCTAAGTTCATTCTATATATAATTCTTGCAGCAAACAATAAAGGTTCCAAACAAGGTCTGACTCCATCATCATGAAGAATATCCTTTTCATATACTCTACTCTCTAGTAACTGCATGATACTAGGAAACTGAAGCTTGAGGTGATGAAATCGCTTCATTGGTTTCTAAAGCATCAGAGAAGTGTTGTTATGTTGATTTTGGGGTCCTTTTGGTTGAGGTTGGGTTGGTCTTAAACATTTGACATTACAATTAACAAAATGGAGACTTCTTTACTTGCTCATTGCCAAGGATTTAGTCTGCTTTTAGCTTGGGTCTTTATTTTTTTGGGGAAAAGATCTGTGTCACGGTGGAACCCGAACTTCATTTCACTTGTCCTTGTTCCTTAAGTGCCACCAAATCCTTCCTTAAGTGCCACCAAATCCAAAATGAAGCAGTTTCATCATATAGTGGATGCATATATTCCTGCTCCAAGGGAAAAAAACAATGCATTCCGTTGTAAACATTTTCTTGATTTCCTTGACTTCATTGCACTTGATGAGATGAGCAGCAGGATAGATAAGCTAGAGCAAAGCATCAATGATCTCAGAGCAGAGGGGGGTGCAGAGAACTTTCCTTCTCCTTCACTTCCTTCTGGTTCGGAGGATGATTCCAAGTCATCCAATGAATCCTAACGGTGTTCTGTGATAGTTTAATGAATCCAGCGTCTAAAGCATGGTATTTCCAGACTATTTCATTTGGTCCCCTGCCTTTCTCATATAGAAAACCTGTAGTATACTAGTATTTCAACTTTTGGAACAAGAACTATACTTTATATTTGTAACTAATCCCTCCTCTAATTCCCTAATTTCATCGAATACGGTTAACCTTCTTGAACTGTTCCTTCATCCTTGTCCTGTATGTCAAAAGACCTCGGCAGCATGTATTTTATTCTTTGCATTCTATGCATGTTCTACTATTGTAATGAGCTGTTGTAGCATCAAATATCAATCAAGGACCACTGCGACACCATGGTCACCTGAAGAGGAATTGATTTGTACATAGAAAATAGCAGTAGTTGGTAGATAGGTTCGTGCTCAGAGGAATCTCATTATCTTTTAGATCATGCCACCCACTAACAAATTAATTAGATTAATGTACATGATTTGGCTCAACTAAAGCACAAAAAACTCAGGCAGGGTAGTCTTGCAAAGGTGGTCCTGATTTTCCTCATGTTAATCTTTATATATTCTTGTTTTTTTTATCCACATACAGGCAAATATGACAAAGACACCTGAGGTGTGAGTTCAATTGTCTTGCAAAAAAGGTAAGAGACGCCAATTACAGTTGGATTGCTTTCACTGAATTTTCGTTCTCTTTGGCCTTTCACTTTGGAAAAAATAATTAGATTCCACATAGAAGCCTTGCTTTGCACATGAAACCCCCCCTTAGCACTCGGCGCAAATGCTGGGTCAATCTTATCATATACCCTAAGCTTGATTTTTAAATTTGATGTCATGATTTTATTTCTTTTATAATAATAATTTTGTATGTTTTATTTTTAATTATTATTTTTTTAATTTTTAATCTATTCTTAAACCCCTTATTCCACTGCTTAATTGAAAAAGATATTTCGCATATAAGTTTTCTCGACCTCATAACTCGTCGTGACAATATCAATTACATACCAACTGATTCAAAAAATAATCTAACTTATTCTGGATTAATGTTAGTCGCTCAATTAAACTATCACTAATCAAAACTTAATACTTTGTTAAATCTAAAAAATGGAGGCTTTAAATGAAGGTGGGACAATTTGTTGTAACCAACCATCCAACTATTTTACAACAACAAATTTTACTTTTATTGGGCCATTTGTTGTCTGAAATCTCCATAGAAAGAGAGATTCAGGATCACAAAAACCTCATATCCATTAAAAAAAAATCAATAAAAGAAATAAATCAAATTAATATATATTATTTATAAATAAATAAGCAAGGTTTAATTACAACACATTAGCAACATAATCATAATTTATGCAATACTCTTCATCTTTATTCCACTCACTATTTTATATACGTATTTAATAAAAATTTTTAGAAAAAAAAATAAAACAACAACCCCATCACAGAATTCAAAATCAAATATAAGAAAAAGAAAACGAAAATTAATTTTTTTTGTAAGGACATAAAAATAAATAATCCTAACTCCTACAGCGCGTGATTCTACTGCATCCGCGTGAGTAAGGATTTGCCTGAGCTCCCGGCTGGCAGTTATAATACGACGCGCCACGTCGCGAGCATGGCACCCTGTTTCTACTCAGCGCGCCGTAGCTAATGTAACGAGTCGTGGCTAAAATGCGCCTGGTGATCTCGGAGCCCATGGCGAACTCGGCGTCGAAGTCCGAAGATTCCTCCCCGCTTAGCATCAGGCATTCGGCGATGGATCCGCGGCATTCCGATTTAACCGGGCGGAAATGGTCGCCGACGAAATCGAGAGTGGGAGACGAAGATGAAACCTCCACGTGGACGGCCAGGATAGCACAAATCGCGAGGAAACTGAAGGAGAATCTAGAGCTTCCCATTTTTGGGTCCTGGTTTTCTGTTGATGAATATGTGGAAGCAAGGGCAGGTTTTAGGATTATAAAGTAATTGTCATTAAGAGAAAGCCACTGATGTTTGGATTTATTTTCGATTATGCCACTTGACTTTAACGTGACCAGCTTTGCGTATAATCGAAGTGTGTCAATCACTTTGTGGACATCCACTAATCATCTTTTGACTTTTACTTATCACAATTGTTAAAAAAAAAAAAAATTCATATAATCATTCATTAGGTGCATGATTATTGGAATTATTTGGGAATTAAAATCAAATTTGTAATTATAATAAATGGGTATTAATTTCATCATTGTGCTTCAATTTTTTAAAAAAATTTACCACTGCATGTTTTGTTGATTTTCATTGAAGTTGACAATAATATTTGAATTCGTTGAATTTTGAACTGGATAGATTTTTTTTTATAAAAAAAATTTAAGTTTTGGATTAGATTAGGTTTTTTAAAATAAAATTCAAGTTGGATTTTAAGTAAATTCATCTTGATTGGATTCGATATATATAAAAATTATTATTTATTATTTATTATATATATATTATATTAATAAATTATTATGAAATATTTTAATTTAAAATATTAATTTAATAAAAATACTATATTTATATATAATTAAAATATAATTTATATTAAAAAAATAATATTTTATAAATATTATACTAAATTAAAATTATTAAATTAATTTCGAATAAAATTGAATCAATTGTATTTTACGTATATATAAATCGGGTCGAATATAATAAATAATATTTTAATATCGAATTAGATCTTTATTTTATAAAGTTGAGTCGAGTTCGAGACAAAAAAATTCAACCCATTACTATAACTAATTTTTGGATATCAACCAATAAAATGGATGAAAAATTATCATTTTAGAATTTAATTCGATTGGTTTATATAATTATCTAAAAGATGACAAATTCTAACATCTATAACCCATTCATATACTTTTAAACTTTGATCTTATTGTAAAAAAATCATAAGCATTAAGATGAAATGTTGAGACAGCAAGGGCAGATAGTGGATGACTAAGGTGAGAGTGAGAGTATGGGAACATTTGATAACTATGGGAGTGAGGGAGAATTTAAAATAAAATAGTATTTCTCTTTCAAAATCATGTGAATGCAAAGGCGAATGAGTGCTTAAGAATAGAATGCTATATACTCAAGTGTGTCAAAGTCTTGTGTTAAGCAATTGGCAAGAAATTTTGTGCTATCGATGCTGATGGATGGTATAAAGGGGCCTCTAAGGTCTTTTTCTTGTAGCATTAAATTAAAGTTTTCGTTTTATGTAAGGGATCATATCACTTTCTATGCTTAGAGATTGAAATGAGTTGTCGATATTGTTTTTGGTATTTGAGATTGGCAAAGATTGAATGTTGGGTATTGAAAATAAGACTTCAATATTTACCCAATTTGATTCTTTTCTCGAATATTACATATGTTTAATCATCATATTACATTTTTTTAACAGATTTATTATACTTGAAGTTATCGAAAACACACCAAAAAGTTTATTCATACATATTGGTTTTTTGAGTTTTTTTATGTATATATAAGACATCTTATTAGATTTTTTAATGATGTGAGATTCTTTATTCACATATGAACTATTTCAATAGATCTTACCATTCGTCTATCCTACCTCTTTTACGTTCTTCACAGCCCATCTTTATCTTTGAGTGGCATGTTTCGATCCTTCAATAGTACATAATCAAAGATCTATTCAAGCATATGCACCAACAGACAACAGTTTTACAATTAACGTGTTTTTACAATGAAGCATAGAGAATTGGAACAAAAATCGCCACTAAAAACCCAATTTCCTATAACTAGCTGTTGATGGAATGATAATATTATTAATAGGATATGCTTGAATCTTGATAACACGAAGAAAGTCAATTGAGTGCTTCATATAACAAAGCATCACCATTCTCAGTTGAGTGTTTCACCATTCTTTCTTCCTTAATCACCCATAGTTCAATGTGTTTTGAAGGGAACATTGAAGAAATTAATCTTGTGGTTGAACTCAAACACTGCGAAACTTGACCTTGCAAATGACATATAGGCCATTGGATTATGAAGTTATGCAGCCGCCAACAACCGGAGAGTCACCAAATTGCAATAAACATAAAGGATAGTCAATGATTTCAAGCATAAGCATCAATAATAATTTAATTAAATCTAGGAAATTCATAAGATTGCTGAGGATATGAACATGATGAAAAGACTGCAACTGTTGGAAACCGTAATAGAGAAGCTAATGAAATAAAATTTTGTATTTTTAAGAGCTTTTGATCCGTGATTCAATTTAGATAAGTGTATCACCCATATAATCTGAATGAAACCAAGAATAACTATAATAAAATGAAAAAATAAAGATTGATTTTATTCATGCAATCGTTCTTAAAATGTGATAACTAATGGATAATTTTAATACTTACGACTTATTTTGTATCTATAAAATGACGAAATCTAATGAAACATATAATAAGGTAGAGTCCAAAACAATAATATGGAGTTCTAATTATATCTAGTTGTGTTTAAGTGGCACTTACATAAAGATTAAAGCACAAATTTATAGTTTGAGAAAATTTGCTCCAATCAACCTTTGTATATGTGAAATGGTGAAACTAAGCTTTCCATGTATGGAATTACATTAGCCCAATATTCAATGCCATGGACGGCAAGCCTCTCATCATATGATTCATCTTTGGGGTTGTAGAGAAAGAATTTGTTGTTATCTACACTGATCAAAACTTTGTTTTTCTTGATATAACATAGAGGAAATGGTCGCCAACTTCTCCCACAATTTGGATTTTCTGGAAGTAATCTGTTTCATCCTGGATTTAAATCTTGATTCATTTTCCTTCGTTAGCCACACATCAATGTCGCCAATGACTTTATTGTGCCTCAACATGCAAACAGAGCCATGCAAAAGCCATAATTTAGAACTGTCAACTTCTTCACTACATGGAGGGTGTGAGACCTCTCTCACTCTCTCTTCCCCTAAATCAAAACATAAAATCAAATCATGCTCGATCTCAGAAGCCGAAAGTTTCCAGGCAAACCAATAAAGGCAGCCATTGGAAAAGATTGATTTTTGCCTGGATTTGCCAAAGTAAGGTAAGCCCTTCTCAGCTGTTCTGATCCAAATGTTTCCCAGACCCAAGACTTCAATGTCCAAATGGTTATTGCTAGGCACTTGAACGAGTTTGTATTCATCAGTGGAGAAGTCACGACCAAATCCAAGAACTTCCCATGAACTTGTTTCCCAAGATGTTGGCAATGGAAATCGCTTGAGCTCTCCGATAGACGGATTCCATAGCATTAAAACGTGCAATCAAGCTTTGGAACATTGTTTAACCAAACATAACAAGCCATCGCAGTGGCCTATAAAAGCAGTACACTTGGTTGGCTTCATTGAAAGACCCTGTTCACAATAATGATTCTGCAACTTTGTAGCTTGAACCTCTTGTTGTAATTGATCGTCACCATATCTTTTACTTGATATTCTTGTATACAAAGCTCCAAAAACGATATTGTGAAGAATAAAATCATGGTGGGTTTCGATGGCTGCCATGGTTTCTAGATGTGCCGCAGTGAATTATGGATCCGACATCAAAAAGTGCCATGGTTTGTAAACGCACTTGAACCGTGTCAAGGACTTGACAGGAAGTTTTTGTAGGATTTTAAGGTAACAGCATGAACAAGTTCTCTCTTAGCCGTCAATCCCATTGTTCCTTAACTTTGTTCTGCTGCTATGTTCGTACTACATAAGAGATCACATGAGTTTTAATCTGTCCAAATTGCTTTACTTCCTAACGAAGTTAAGGTTTCTTTGGGTTTCGATTTAGTGCTCTGGTGGCAATGATCATGCAAATTACTAGGTACCTAAACCAGCTGCTACCCTACAGTTCAGCCTCTTAACCATAAGAATGGGATGGTTAGAGTTGGGCTGTGAACATGAAAACTCAATGGGCTTTCCTAAGATTCAAAACCCATTTATGTGGACGGATGAGTCTCTTTTAAATTTTATCAATAAATTTATTACTTGAGATAGCTGTATCACAGCCCTCCCTTTGTCTTGGTGGCTAGATGCGCATGTAATCTATCTCTCCGAGTTCCTAGGTTCAAGGGCTATCAAAAGAAACAGCCAAAAAACATTAAACCCTAAACTGAAACAAATGAGGTATTTCAAAATACCTTTTCTTTTTGTGTTATGGCTAGGCCCAAAAACAAAAGAATAAACGAAGAATCGGGAATAACAAGCACAAAAAGGACCAAGTCATCAACAATTGTTTGCTTGACTTTTGTTATTAAACAATTTGTTTTATAAAAAAATGGGGTTTATAAGTTTTTTTTTTTTATCAATTTAATTGAATCATAACCCATATGGTTTGAGTCCCCAAAATCATTAACTAGCAACGCTTTCTGGGGGTGAAAGAAAGTGAAAGTGGTTATTCCTTTGGGCTCTTTTGTGGTTCAAAAACTGAATTGTATTGGTCCAAATAATGAATAGGCTATCAGCCCAGCTGCAGCTTATTAGAACTAAAAGATTTACTTGTGAGACTTTAGTTGAACCTTCTTTATTTTTAGGTGGCTAGTTGTAAATAGGAATATAAATGATATATTAGTATTTATAAATTATTCGAATTTAATTTAAATAAAATTTGAATTCGATTCGATTATCATCGAGTCAAGTTCGAATTTGAATAGTTCGACTTATTGATTGAGCTGAGTTCAAAAATTTTTATACTCGACTTAAGTAGCTCATGAGTTTAAACGAGCTTTAATATTTTAATATATTTTAATTATTTTAATTGATAAAATATCTCAAACTTAAGTTCGAATTCAAGTACAAATAATTGAGCTTTTGTCGAATATAATAATCGAATTTATTTTTACATATTAATCGAGCTTAATTAAGCGAATTAGAATAGTTTGATTTTTATTTTGAGTCGAGCTCGAACTAAAAAAATAAAACTTGATCGAGTTTCAATCGAGTTTTGAGTCTCGAATTTAAAATCGAATTCGAGCTCGAACTTAATACTGTGTCAGTTCGAACTCGATTGATTATACCTCCAGTTGTAGTCCAGTCTGGCTTTGAGTTCAAGGATTCAAAGACAATACTTAGTTTAGGATCAAGTTTCAACCATGGTTTCAACTAGTTTCCTTTGAATTCTAAATATAAGCAATAGCTATGAGATATTAAATTATTAATAACTTGTAGTACTATGTTAACTTCAATGGTTTTAAAATGCAGAATTTCCCATGGATCTTGAGAAAACAATGCCCACATATTATAAATATAGAAACCACCATAGCTTGAGTTTCTAGTTTTATATAGCAACTTGTCCAATTTCTAACATCGTAAAGATGTTGAAGGGTAGGCCATGTCGAGATTATATTAGTATTTTCTAAAAGAAAACGTGTGGGGCGGCACGCCTTTCAATTTTTTAATTTGCAATTGCAGGTGTTCCAGTTGTTTATGTTGACACTTCAATCTATAACTAAAATATTAAAAGCAGAAATGCCTTTCAGTCTTTGATTTTGCATGTTGTAATGGTGTTTATCTCAAAAAAGAATTAGACAGGGAGATTCTTTTCCCATTTTCCATTGCCTGTTTTACAAGACAATTCTCATGTTTGTTCAACTTATAATATTGCCCACTTGCTTTGATGACTCCTATATAAGCTTTTAGTCAGGGCTTGTTAGCTCCATGCACATTTCTATCTTTGTCTCGTAAACCATAAAACATACATAGCTAAGTTTCAGAAGATTCAAATGGCAAACTTGTTCACTTATCTGTTGTTATTTCTGCCCATCTTTTTAGTGATATCTCCAGCTGTATCATTGCCTTTGAAAAGAGGCTTTTATCAGAAAACATGCCCATCAGCCGAGGCAATTGTCAAAAGTACAGTAAAACATCATTGTTTAATGATCCTGGAGAACCTGCAGCTCTCATTAGACTTCATTTCCATGATTGTTTTGTGAGGGTAATCCTTAGTTAATCACATTTCTTATTTGCTTCATTGACTCCATTTCTGTAAAAATTTTACATCCTAATTTTGTCTAACAGGGTTGTGATGCTTCCATGCTTCTGGATTCCACACCTAGCAATCAAGCAGAGAAAGATAGCATGGGGAACAAGGGTGTTCAGGGTTTCCAAATCATCGATGAAGCAAAGGCTAAACTAGAGGCTTAGTGTCCAAACAATGTATCTTGTTCAGATATCGTTGCCTTTGCAGCACGTGACAGTGTTACTCTAGCAGGTAGCATTTACTATGATATTCCTTCAGGGCGTCGCGATGGAAGAGTTTCTTCCATAGCAGAAGTGAATATGAACCTACCAGATGCATTCTTCAATGTGACAGAATTGAAAGAAAATTTTGCAATGAAAGGTTTGTCAGTAGAGGAAATGGTAACACTTTCAGGTGCTCACTCTATTGGGGTCACATTGTTCTTCATTCTCAAAACGTTTATACTCTTTAATAAGACTTTTGCTCAAGATCCATCCATGGATCCTTCTTACGCCAGTTTCTTGAAAACTAAATGCCCTCAACCATTGAACAATAGGATTTGCTGGGACTTGAATCTCATAATCCCACATCGAAAGTTAGTGAGTTTTTGAGTTTGTCTTGTATCTCACATCCGTAGTTTAGTAAATGTATTTAGTTTGGTAGTCCCAGAGAGTTAGACACCAAGAGAATAATAAGTAAGTAATCTACTAAATAGTGTAATTGAATTTTGGGTTAAGTTTTGAATAAGGAGTTTTTGAAGATTTTTCTCGTTCTGAAAGTTTCATAGTTGTAAAAATTTATTTGTTAATGGATTAGGTTTGAAATAGATTATTTTGAATTTAATCAAAATAAATATATTTGTGTGTTTTTTATTCTTAATTTGAGCTTACTATTTTATGTGTGGGTGTTGCGTGTGTGTGTTGATTTTTTAGTAAATGGTATTAGAGCTGTGGTGATCTCTAATAAAAATTAGTCCTGATCCATTGGTACCTTTTGATCCTGTGACTCCGAACCTGCATGATAATAACCATCATAAAAACTTGAAGAGCAACAGGGGACTACTGGCTTCAGATCAAGTGCTTTGGAATAGTGTATTAACAAGGAATATTGTGAAAGAAAATGTGAACCATCCCAGTGCTTGGGGTGCAAAGTTTGCTGCTGCAATGGTGCATATGGGTTCCGTCGATGTGCTCACTGGGAAACAAGGAGAAATAAGGAAGAATTGTAGGGTTGTGAATTGAAGATCTGATGCAGCTGTTGAGAGTGCTGAAATTTCAAGTTTTCTGTTTTGCTTTGATCTCATGCCAGAGTTTTGTTGCTTTCATAATATATATTATGATTTTGATTTCAACTAAAGAAAATTTGTTTAAAATTAAATATTGTTATGTCTTTTCTGGTGAGTACTGAGTAATAAAAAAGAAAACTTTTCTTGCAAATATAGATGTCATTTTACAAATTGTATTTTAGCTTATGGATAAACAGACTTTGGGCTGTGTGATGAACTGATGATTCCTATGGTTTTCTGGACTCCAAAAGGCCAAAACCATCCACTATTGTTGTACATTTTTGCTCATAGATTAATAATAGCTTGCTCACAGATTAAGGTATAACTTGTACTTCTGGTACTGATTTACCAATATTAAACATGAAGTTTAAGTTTTATATGGCTAGTTGGCTGGTGATTTTCCACCTTCATTCTGATTTCCCTGTTGAAATCAAGTCATTGAGTCGCTTCCTTATCTTTTTCATGATAAAAGTTCGTTGAATATCTTCCTTTCTTGACTGCAAGGACCCTGTGACAGGTCAGGAGTCGGTGAAGCTTGGCAAATCAGAATATACTATTTACATTTTTGTTTGATATTCTTCTCTTACTACTTTTTAAAAGGAAATCGTGCGGAAGGCACACGCCTTTCAATTTGTAATTTGAACTGCAACAGTAAATTTGAATGGGAATCGTGTGGAGGCCACATGCCTTTCACTTGTTAATTTGCTAGTTGTAGTTATTTTATCTTGGATTAAGTTCACATGTTTCATCAAAATATTTTATTGCATGTTTGATAAGATGACTCACCATACAAAGCATGGGCCATGGCTTGTAAGCTGCCTATAAACGACCCTTCTTTCTCATAATTATAAGCCAAAGCTAGTCAATTTCATCCATCGGAAGTTGCTTTTTGGCTTATATGTATGGCAACCTTATTTAAACATCTGTTTTTCTCAAGCCATATTGATCACTTAAGCTGTCACAATGCCTTCCCTTCAGCTGAGGCCATAGTGAACAGTAAAAACAGATCTTACTCGGTATAATCCTCATTCTATTAGCGTTGTTTAGAGCCTAATATAACTGCATACATGGAATTCCTTGGTAATTAACAGGGTTGTGATGCCACTATACTTCTTGATTCCACACCTAATTAACAATCAAGCAGAGAAAGATAGCATGGGAAACAAAGGTGTGCAGGGCTTCAAAGTCATCGATGAAGCAAAAGCTAAAAAGCCAAATTACTAGAAGCAAAATGTCCAAAACATTGTTTCATGTTCAGATATCCTTGCCTTTGCTGCTGCAAAGGTGCACATGGGTTCCATTGATGTGCTTACTGGGAAACAAGGATAAATATGGAAGAATTGTGGGGTTGTGAAATGGAGATCTGATGTAGCTGTTTGAGAGAGCTGAAATTTCAAGTTTCTGTTTGATTTGATTTCATAAAGTATTTTATGATTTTGATTTCAACCAAAGAACAGCTGAAAAATTAACGAAAACAAATCCTCTTTAATGATATTGAAGAATAATAGGAAGAAGTATCCGGGCGGAATTATCAAATCTTTATGAAATACAAATCGCAAACTTTTATTTTGGATATTTGAATGTATCTTTTTTTTTTTTTTTTGCTTTTCTTCTTCTTTACTGCAACTTCATCCAAATGCCCTGGCTGGGAATGTCTTGATGGACCACAAATAAAAGATAAAACCCCGGTGGCGCAAGGTTACCCGAACCTGGCATCGTGACCTCAATGCTATATATTGAGTTCCCCAAAGCTGTGACTTTGTCATTACCAAGTACAAGCAACCTTTGATTCATAGAGAATGAATGTGTATTGAACGCTGGTGCAAACATTGTTACAAACAACAAATTTTCAGCCACTCCTCCCGTAATCATCACTTGAATCGTATATTGTTTCCTGTATGTGATCCTGGACATTGACTTTGGAGCAACGATTGTGGGTCGCAAATTGTCGAATTTTGCGTCCAAATATGCTGGAGAGAATGCCTCTAAGCTTAGTTCGGTAGGGAATAGGACCCCTGTAAAATTGTAAAACGCGTGAGGATTGCTTCCACCAACTAAAACTCTGCCATCACGAAGTAATGCTGCTGTGGAGTGGTACATCCGAGGAATTGTTGTCGGGTTTTGTGTCTCAAACCGTGAACCAATGTTGTTATGAGGCATGTACAGTACGGGACTCAAAACAGGGTTCCGTCCCAATTCCCATCCTGCTGATCCGGAACCTGCGCCGTTGATGAGCAAAACGTTGCCGTTGGGAAGCAATATCATGTCACCCATAACTCTGGCTAGAGGCATAGTCTCCATTACCCACTGTGGATTGGGGTCGGTTATTGTGATCCTGGCGCAAGTGTTCAAGGCTTCAAAGAAATTACCTTTTATGGCTTCGACATAAGATCCTTTAGGAGCACCCCCACAAACCAAAACTTCAGCTTGAATAGCTGCCGCTGTCAAGTTCTTCAATGGAAGCAAGACAGCCGAGCCAGTGCTTGGATAGCTTCTAGGATCGCCACCAGGAATAGTCGGATACGTCTTCACAACTTTATTGTTCACATAATCAAGCAAAATAGCTCGATTGTTAGCGAAAATAAATAAGTTTCCATCAACATTAAGGAAAACAAAAGGGTAGAGATTGTTCTCTACTCCTTTGTCATTGGTTTCAGCCAAGAAAGGCAAATTGAATGTGTTGGCGGCAATGTTTTTAGGAACAAACTCGTAGTTAAATTGTTTGCGACCACCGACAATAATTTGTCTTCCATCTGGCAAGATATGGTTGGTGGCATACCATCTTTTGGCTGCCAAGCCGTTCGGTATTTCCTGCCAATCGCAGGTGCTGCACGGGCTAAAAACCCTGACCCTACGTTCACCGTCATTGAAACCACCGGTTTGGACCAAATTACCATCAGGCATGACAGCGCCTGAAGAGCACCAAACGTCGGATTGGACCATGAGAGCCCTGAACTTATTAGAAAAAACATCGTACTCGACAGAATGAGCAGTGCAATCTACTTTGAGAGCTGTGTCAGTTGAGTCATTGCGGCATTTCCGATTTGGCAATAGCAGATTTGAAGGCCCAAAATCAGTTCTGTCAAACACAACCACACGGTCGTTTCTAAGGAGTTGCACGTGCATGGCTGAGACACCGATGCTTTTTTGTAGAATTTGCCACTGGCTGCCGTCTGCTGCTGATGGCTGCCAGGCAAAGAGGAGTTGAAGAAGGAGGATTGAGAAAATAAATATTGGGGTTGGGGCTGACATATTTGCTGAAGGCTGTCTGTATGGCCCTATTTATAAATGCTTCATGAAGGGGACTTGTTCAGATCAGTGACTGTTAATGTAATATTTTCTTGTAATATTACAGATTATGATTAGAATAATATCTAAGATTATGATAAATATCAAATAAAGTTTTTTATATATTTAATTAATAAAAGTAATTATATAAACAGATCGCCTGAATTCACATTTCATCCTTTTATAGATATAATCTTTAATTAATGTCTCAAGCAATAGTTACATTAACTTGTTAAGATGGGTTTGCATTAGTTTTACCAAGTTAGAATTATTATAAATCACCTCTGCCAACATTCATGAATGAGAATAATTAAGTATATTTAACTTGATCTATATTTTTCTCTTTTCAATTTCATCTATATTAATTATTGGTAAATTTTCAAGATTGTTATACTAATTTAATCATCAAATTGATTTTATTACTAAAGTGATCTCTATTAACAATTATTAATTTTTAAGAGTTAAAGATTATTATATTTGATATTATTAAAAATTAAACATTATTTTTGGAAAATATTAAAATAATTATGCATATTATAATAATTATATAAGTATAGACGTTGAATTTTATCCGAGATATTTTTCAACATGATTGATTCTAGGCTTATTTATGAATGAGACCATTTAAAAGAACCATTTATGACCTATAAAAGAGTTCACAAATTTACCTATTCATAAATCCAAAATCAATTCGAGTCAAATCTTGTCAAATAAAATCAAAATTACACAAAATTTTGTCAAAATGAACATAATCTAGGTCAATTTTGAAAGTTCAAAACATAATTAAACTCAATGTGGTTTAAAATTAAATTCAAGATTTTTTTGAAACACTAAAATTTTCATTGGATTCTAAAAATGATAAAATTATGAAAATATCCTCATAAGGAGTATTTTCATAATTTGACCTTTTCGAGTTTAGATTTTTGTGAAACTTTTCAAATCTAAATTTAATAACATTTTATGATTTTTGGTGTATTTGAAATCACAACAGTATCTAAAAAATGTGAAGTTATCAAAATATCATTTATAAGAGTATTTTCGTAATTTGACTTTTTCGAACTTGAAATTTCATGAAACTTTTTAAATCTTAATTTTATAATATTTCATGATTTTTTGTACATCTGAAATCACAACAGTATCTCAAAAAATATAAAATTACCAAAATACCCTTACAGGGGATAATTTCGTAAATTGGCCTTCTCGAAATCAAATTTTCACAAAATTTTTCAGATCTTAATTTTATAATATTTGATATTTTAAAATCATAAAAATGACATGAGAACATTAATTTCTAAAAAAATAGTCTAAATACTAAAATTTTTTTACTAAGGTAAAATGATCTTTTCATGGATTTAAAGGTAATAAAAATCTAATTTTTACAATGAATAATATAAACCATTAAATCTTCTTTGAATTTTGATCTAATAGTTAAAGCTTGTTTCTTGTAAAAAAGAAAAGAAAGAAACTTTGGCTCTTGGATGCTACTTGATCCAAGGGCCTATATTCACCAATAAGAAAAAGTTAGTTTTTCTGCATAAAAGAACGGTCTGCTGAAAAAAAGCAAACTGGCTGAAAAAAAAAAAAAAAAAGCTAAACACAAAAGAGTAAAGAATGGAGAAAAGCTAAAAAAGAAAAAGAAAAATTTTTAAGAGAAAAAGTTTTGGAAAGGTGAGAGCTTTTCACAAAACAAAATAAGAGAAACCAACTTGGAGAAAAGTTCTAAAGATAAGGTAAATAGTCTATAAGCATAGTCATATAGAGTATATGTTGGCCGTTTTCTTTTATTGGTTGTTACACATACAAAGCTTCATCCTGTAGGGAGTTTTTGTATGAAAGCATAAAGCTTCAGTCTTTTTAGATTTTCTAGTTTCTTTTTTTTCCATATAGATTATCATATGCACAAGTTTGTTTTAGCTTGTTTGCTTTACATGGGAGCTGTTAGGGATATGGTTAATACGACATGTGTGTAGGAGCTTGAAACTTCATTCACGTCAATTGTTTGTTTTTTAGTACGTGGGTTGTTCATGGAAGAGCTTAAAGCATTACATTTTAAAAAAAAAAAGGGAATTAATATGGATAAAGTGCCATGTTTTTTACTTTTCTTTCATGTGGGTGCAGTTTATATGGGTTAAAAGTTTCACAAATGATTGTCTTTTTCCAAGTATGGTTTATATTATTGCCTTTTTCAAGTATGAGTTATGTCATTGCTTTTTTCAAGTATGGGCCATATATGGGAGGAAAGAAATTTAAAGATTGGCTTTTCTTTCAAAACCCAACTATCCATGTTTTTTTAGCCATGGGTTAGATATATTGTTTGTGAATAGTCCAATAAAGTCGTTTGCTTATTCTCATGAAATATTTTTTTAAGTTTAATTGCAATTTAAATTCCATGCATGTTCAATCTTTTTTTATTGATTAAGTTTCTATATTTATTTCAATTCAATTTCCCATACTTTAATTTGCTTTTGGTGCAATGTGTTCTCCATGCACTTCATACTATTTAATTTCATAATCGTTCAATAATAAGATTAAATAATTAGATTTTGAAAACTTTGCTTAAATATTAGAACGAATTTAAAATTGGTTTATTTTTAAAAAATTTAATTTCACCTAGATGTTGAAAAATTAAAGAACCAAAAAATTAAAAAATTAAGTTAAGTCAAATTACATTAAATTAAATTTAAAATATAAAGTAAAATTTACATAAGCAAATTAAATAACACATGAAATTTATTTCACTTTTAATTTTAGAAAGAAAAAGATAAAAGGTAAACATAAGTAAAATATATATAAAAACTGATTAAATTTGTTGTTTTAATTTTGTAGTTTTTATTTGCATAATTTATTGATTTTATGTCGCATTAATATAAAATTGTAAAGGAAAAGAAAAATTATAAAAAAAAATGAGTGTGCTCTAAAAGTTTGTCTAGATATTTGAGATTTTTAAAGAAGTTCATAAAATTTTGAATTTACTCAAAATTCTAAATTCATTTTAAATTTTTAAGGATTTACATGAAAACTTTTTATGAAGTAATCTATTTTTAAATACTGCCTAGATGTTAAGGTATTTAAAAAATTTTATTTCATTAAGAATTTTTATACATATCCATAACTCAAAATAAATTCGTTTCATTAAAACCATGATTATAACAAATATAAAATAATAAAAATAATAGGACATGACTTTAAATATAAAAATTTACACCCAAATTCTGCCTAAATGTTGGAAAGTTTAGGTAGTCTCTTTGTATTTAAAAACTTGATTTTTAAATTCATACTTAATAATCACTTGCATGTGTTTCATTTTTAAATTAATGTCTTCATTTATAATGCATATATGTATGTTTAATATATTTTTTTTTAGTTTTAAACAAATGAAATCAAAATAGCATTATGTGAAATCTAATTAATTGATACTCTACCTAAATGTTTGGAAGTCATCAATAATCATTATTTAAAAAGAATGTTATTTTATTATTTTTGTAAGGAACGTTATGATAAATCTTAAATAAAAAGACTATTTTCAAATTCTGTCTTTATGTTGAAAACTTTGAAAGATTTTTTTTAATTTGAATATTTTTATAATATTCCTAAATAAAGATTTTTTAAAAAAACTAATTTTATTTCTTATAAACAAAAGGATTTATAATTAAATTTCATATAGAAAACTATTTTTATCTAAAATTACAAATAGTGCATAATTAATTAGTATCAATCTTATGGGCATTATGGGGGTGCTAATCCTTCCCCACGCGTAACTGACTCCTGAACTCAATCTATTTTCATAGACTAAAATTATCTTTTTAATAAAACTTTAAACTTGTTTTATTGTTTTATTAAAAGATAAAATTTTTGAGTGGTTAGTTACAAGTTAAAAAATATTGGTGGTGACTCTACATGTTTTTTACAATTTTTTAAAAATTTTTACGTTTAATGATTGAGTCTCTAAACTGACACGTTACGACAATAAGTTATTGATTTTATATTATAATAATTACATAAGTTATTGATTTCAATATTGTTGAAAGATAATTTGTAAAATATTAGTAATATTTTTTTCTTCTAAATAAAACAAAATTAATTATTAAATTAATAATTATTATTTATTGATATCTAAATTACTTTTTTATAATATAAATTATGTAAATAACTTTTGAATTAAAAAATAAAACTAAT